CTAGAGTTTTGAGTTAAAGTTCGTTGATGGGTACATTTATTAATGAAGTCCATGTATCACTCAGGATGAACTCACTCACAGTTGAGTTAGCTTTGGACTTGTTGTGAGTGGACATTTGTTTTTAAATGAGCATTGTTTTTCAAACATAGAATTGCTTGCATAAATGTGATTTGTTTGGAAAATTGGTTTTTTTTTGCTTAGTGAGATTATGAGATTTTATTATCAGGCTAGTCCTGTTTTTTACAATATGATATGGGATTTCCAGTGATTTTTACTTTATTATTATTATTATTATTATTAAAGTATATGGATTTGGGTTTCGGACTATGATGATATTGGTTATGTTTATGGAATTTGGATATATTTTGGGATATGGGATTTATGTGACTACACACCATTTATTCTACCTTCCCCTATTTCGATATGGAAAGGATGACGGAATTATGGAAAAGAATTAAAGTTGGTCTTTGGGATCCATCAGGTCACACATATACTTATTGGGAGGTGTATTAGGATGTTAGTCTTCTCGTATGACTGGATTCAGCCGCACGTGTGATGTAAGGGTCGACTTGCGTGCTAGGCAGCAATAGTCCCCCGGTTGGATTGCTCATCCCTAGCCACATGTAAGATGCAAGATCTCGACATGTGGTTGAGAAGAAACAGTCCCTGAGTTGGATTGTTTCCCCTGGTACATATCTTGATGTGGTGAACGTGTGTGCGTGTCTATTTATATATATATATATATGTATACGGGTATATATGGATTTATTTGCAGGTTGAGGTTGCTTGAGCATGTGCATTGAGAGTACTCTGCACAGGTATGAATATTTGAAATGAAGTTCGGAATGGACATTTGGAAAATTACTTATCATATTGTATTTTTACAAGAGTATAGTTGTGGGAAAAAGTATCTTGGGTTCTGATGATTATCTTTTAAATTAACAAGTTTATATTATTTTCTAAAATGGAGGGGTTATTTATGTTGAACATAAATGGTGTTTAACGCTTGATTTCATCCACTCACAATTTCTTTTTTGCCCCCTCCCCCCTCAGGTTCTAGATAGCTAAGGTCGAGACCACTACGTCGAGGCATCATCGTTATCCGTTCCATAGTAGTGTGCTACTATCACTTTGTACATTTTATTTTTCCCTAGGTTGTAAACTTAATCTTTAGTTGTTCTGCTTGCTCATTTTGAGTTTAGGTAGAAGGCATGAAGCCCATTTGAATAGTTTTAAATGTTGTGCGTGCCTTTACTTTGTGCATGTTGGAAGTTGGGTTTATTCTCGCACTTGTTTTACAGGTACTGTAAATTGGGAAATATTCTAGTTATTTACAGGGGATATTCTGCCGAAATTTTGGTAGAAGTCGAATAGTCTATCAGTTTAAATAGGGGCTAAATGACTTTTTAGTAAAGTGGGTTCGACATCTGCCGGATGCCAGATTGGAAGCAGAGTTCGTCACGGATTCTGATGGGGAATCCAGGTCGGGTCTTGTCATTTACCATTATAACAATAGTTATTTACTATACGAATAGCAGCAGTTCTATCACAAATAATCAAAATAGGTGGTTTTGGCTTCTCCCAAAGTGGGATTTCATACAATAAAACTCTCAACCAATTTGCTTCTTCAATAGTTGTAGCCAAAGTAATGAGCTTAGCTTCCATTGTTGAATTACAATAATTATTTGTTTCTTTCATTTCCAACAAATAGTACAACCACCTAATGTAAAAATATATCTAGTAGTGGAAAGAGAATCATTTGACAAAGTGTTCCAGTCAGCATCACTAAAACCTTCAAGTACTGGATGGTATTTTTTATAAAATATTCCATAATTTTTAGTGCCAAGAAAATATTTCAAAACTCTTTCTATGGCATGCTAATCCTCTTTACTTGGCTTACTCGTAAAAGTGCTAGGTACCCCCAACTGCATAAGCCATGTCAGGTCGAGTGCAATCAGTTGCATATCTCAATCTCCCAATTATGCTAGCATAATCCTTTTACTTTATCACATCATTTTCATTTTCAATCAGAAATAAGTGGACACTATAGTCAAAGGAGTAGATACATGCTTGTAATCAATAAAATTATATTTTATCAAAGTTTTCTCAACATAGTGTGATTGATCAAGAAAAACACCATCACAAGTTCTTGTAATTCTAATACCCAAATAAAATTCGGCTCACCAAGATCTTTCACATCAAAGTGGCTCGTAAGCAAATTTTTTGTTTCATTAATAACTTACACACTTTGTGTTCTTGGCCAGGTTCAAGAAAACCTTCGCACTAATCCATGTAAATTTCTTCATCTATCCATTCAAAAAAAGTGTTTTCACATTCATCTGATGAATAATCAAATCATGAATTGAAGCAATAGCAATCAACAATCTAATGGATGTTATTCTAGTAATTGGAGAAAAAGTATAAAGACATCAAGATCACCTCTTTTTTTAAAGTCCCTCGCAATAAGTATGGCTTTAAATTTATCAATATTTCCATCTGGTTTGAGTTTCTTTCTCAAGACCTATACTTGCACCCAATAGTTTTAGAACCTGGTCGAAAATCCACCAATTTTCAAGTGTTATTAGAAATTAGTGAATCCATTTCATCATTCACATTATCTTTCCTAAAAATTGCATTGGGTGATGACAAAGCCTTTAGTTGACCCCCATTATTTTTAGATTTAAAAGGAAATTTGTCTTTAAAGAAAGAAAACATCACCTTATTCAATAATAACATTATTTTCCTTATCAAGAAATCTAGGTTGTAAAATGTAAGGGTAATGCTAGGGAGACCATTTATTTGTAGCATATTTTTGTACCAACTGATGTGGCTATTGAGTTGGCTATGCCACATCAATAAATGAGCTTTTAATATTTTTAATATTTTGTTTACTCTTCACTTTATAGAAACCTAAGTGGTGTAGGAAGTCTTGTTTCAAGTATATTCAACTGGTTCTTCCCTACCTATTCCCCTTCCTCATCCTTTATCTTCTCTCTAATCTGCCAACGACAATAAATCATACCAAAATTTTTCCTACAACTTGGATCATCAATCGGTTGATTCGTTAGCCCACTCCTTCAGATTCATGCTTGCTCTCCAATTCGACTCACTGGTCTGAGAGAGAGAGAGAGAGAGAGAGAGAGAGAGAGAGAGAGAGAGAGAGAGAGAGAGAGAGAGAGAGAGAGAGAGAGAGAGCATTTCTTAGCTAAGTTTTCAGGAGCAAGTTTCGATAGGTGGCAAATTGACTTGTAATCGTTGACTCTGTTTCCAGTGATAGTGAAGCCCACCCATCTCTGCTCTGGCTCAGACCATGTCATCTCCGATCTCTTATTTGTTTTTTGGGACTTGTTCATCATAAGTGATTCCTCTATGGTCAGTGTGTCTCCTTCAATGCTTCTCTTTCATCGTGAAGATTTGAGATTCTTTTTGGTTAGGATAAATCATGGTTCTTTCTTTGCAGTGTTTAAATGTCTGTGACTGCAATTAGGTATATCGTTTGAACAAGAGACTGATTATTTGAAATAGTACTGTAGCGCACAATAGTATGATAAACTTATTATTTCAATACCCAAATTAAGCTCATCTCAAGTTGAAGACCCATGGAAAGGAGAGATTGATGAAGCCGTCCATCAAATCATGATGGAAACTATCTATTCCTTAGCAACACTAATTTCACCTTTTTCAAGCAAGTCATAGAACACCCTCACTTTCCTCTACTCATTCCAATGATGCATTTTCTAAGGCTTCCAGTAGCCAAAGCAAGCACCATGTTGTAACATATCTCCTTGACAGCACTTGGTCCTTTTAGTGTTTAAATGTTTGTGACTGCAATTGAGTATATCGTTTGAAGAAGTGCTTCAATGATTTCTTATGTTCATTTAAGCAATTAAAATCATTATCTTAATCATGCATTTGATGCTTTGGTGCATTCGTTGTTTACGTTTCCAACACATGAAAGTTGAATTCTTGTTGTGCAAATGAAAGTTTTCATGGCAAACGAGGCCTATGTTCAGATTTTTCCCTTATGTATCTTGTCATTGGTGAATGGTCTTTTTCTTCTTCTGACTTTACAAAGATTCTAAGCAGCTATGATATGCCATCATTCCAAGCATTCTTGAATAGTCTAGTTGGTCCAAAAACAACTCAATTTTGGGGGCTTGTTACAAACTGGATTTGTTGCGTTTGTATGCTTCACTTCCATGATATATAGAATGTATTTGATTTCAAATGAGGTTTCTTGCTTTTTGACTAATTCTGATCATAATGGGCTGATTTAATAGGGATTGGCAGATGTGAACAAACCTCTAGAAATGATTTTTGGCAACAAGACAACAGGTCCAATCTCAAACTAAAGGGTGGCACCTCAATTCAATCAGAGGTTGTAGCAACCTTAATCCAATCTCAAACTACAACCATTCAATCTCAAGTGCAATATGGTCTACATTAAAGCAATATGGTCTTTTCAATTACAACACTAATAGCAAACCGTGTACATTAACAAAAAATGGAATTTTTAAGTTCAAAACTGTTGACAACTTTTGCAAGTGCAATTCTTTTGCTTCCAATGATCAGTTTCGTTGGCCACCACTTCCTCCAGAATTAAAGCTAGGCATGTATATATATTATAGTCTTCATTCCAATATTGATATTGATGATCCTAAATATGAGAAAAAAGAAAAAAAAGAGAGGAAACAATAGATAAATTCAACATTTTAATATAAAATAAATAAAAAGTACTGAAAGTTATGAAATTAAACTTCTTTTCAACTACTGGAAAATGATTCTCATGAAGGATTGGATGAGCCATATGTCCTATCTCATACCCTCTATACAACTGATTTAATTGACCATTTTGATTAAAACCCAAAAATGTGGCCATATTTTCTTGCAATGTTTCCATAATATTGGTCGTTACAACTAGAGAATCATCAGTACTAGAGTGATTGACTGATAATGAATTTTAACAAACAAAAACAATCAATCAAAACAAAACATTCATGTCATACCTGCATAGTAATGCTCTCTTGTGTTCCAACTACACCATCACCTTTAGAAGTAGATGAACCAACAATATGGCCAGTATCATCAAATTCTGTTAGCTGCAAATCCTGCATAAAAATTCAAGGACAGTCACAATAAACTACTTTATTGATTGAATAATACATTAGAAAATAATAAAAAAATGTATCCATTTTAATTGCATACATTCAATTCTTTTTCTCCATTAGTGTTGTTTCAACAAGATTTGATTTTCTTGTTACTCTCTTGTTTCTTCTTTTTACTATCTTGTTTCTTCCTAACTGCTTGCTCCGACTGAGATTTCCTCCTTTTAAATGGTGGACGGCCTTTCTTTCTAGCTGCTAAGGGAGTAAGAATACATTGACTTGGATTCGGAATTGAACTAACATCATTCTCAATGTTCCTACCAATAGGTGACTGAGGATTTGGTTGATCACTACCATAAAAAACATTATGTTTGGAGAGTTCCTCCTTTACATTATCCATCCAAGTCATCACAATCATGCACTTATTGTCATAATCATTTGCCAATTCCTTAATCTCATCAAAAGCCTTTTGCATCTTATGACATCCTTGTGCTTCAGGTGTGAGACTACAGCTTTCAGAATTGATTTCAATCCTTGTATGACATCTTTTCACATCCTTCCTCCATCTTCGCATTATATATTTTTCTAGAATCAAGTCAATGTTATGGCGAATAAAAACATATATTGTATGACGGCATAATATGCCTCTAAACTCAAACATGCGACAATTGCACCGGACTTCATTGTCATCTTCATTAAGCCAAACCTTGAAATAAAGCCTCTCCTTTTTCCCTTCCATCATGAAATCCTCAGATATTTGGTACTCAAAATTTGCACCATTCACTTTATGTGAAAGATAGTCGCAATACATTTTTCCTATTAATTCATCATGGAATTCTTTATATTTGGAAATAGTGTAAACCTCTTGAGCTTGTTTCTCCATGTTATAATGAGTTCCACAATCAAAACCAATGGATGAAGACTTAAAATCTTCTTGCTTCTCCATTTGCACCTTAACTTTCAATGCATTTTCATATTGCTCCACAAACTGCTTTAAAGTAGTCTTAGAATTTACATGGTCATCAAAAAATGCATTCACACTTTCATTTCGTTGTGTGGTAGACATTCTTGCCCAAAAACTATCTTTCACAAAACATGGTACCCAATGTTGTCTCTCATTATATAGTCCAACCAACCATTCATTGTCTTGTAAATCATATTTCTCAATTATTTCATCCCAACCTTCTTCAAACTCAACCTTCTCCAATGAGCCATACACAATACTTTGCAAGGCATACATAATAGCTTCATATTGCTTGTAATGGTTCAACTTACTAGGAAACTTGTTCATTATGTGCCACAAGCACCAACAATGTCTAGTATTAGGAAAAATAATCTCAATGGCATTTTTCATGGCTTTATCTTGATCAGTAATTATTCCCCTAGGAGCGTGCTCATGCATACATGCAAGCCCAGACTTAAACAACCATATAAAAGCATCAGTATCTTCACTTGAAATCGGCCCACATCCAAGTAAAATTGATTGTCTATGATGATTTACCCCCACAAATGGAGCAAATGGCATGTCATACTTATTCGTCAAGTAGGTTGTATCAAATGTAACAACATCTCCAAATTCCTCATATACCGCCCTACTTCTTGCATCTACCCAAAATACATTTCTTAACCGACCATCTTGATCTAAATCAATTGCATAGAAGAAATTTGAATTTCGAGCTTGCATATTCAAAAAATAAGTTTGGATCGCAGTAGCATCGCCTTCCCCAAGCCGTAATCGTCTCAAATTTTCAATATAATTTCTGCAATCCTTTTCCAAAAAGGAGATATTCTCATGGCCCCCAGCTTCAACCACTAATGGATTATAGCTCTTGTTTAACCTTACTCCAGCTTTATCATTTAACTCAATCCTCCTTTTCACATATGAACTTATTGTCCGATGACATTGAAAATAACGAGCCTTGGTTGGACTCATATCATGGTTATGATCAAGCTTGATAGAGTTGATCTGCCACCTTCCATCTAAAAGTATACCTGCTCTTACTCTAGCTTTGCAACCAGTTTTTATACTTGGATGTGGCTTTAGGACATTACCTGATTTACTTTTATATTTTCCTTCTTGACCACATGAAATAGTCACATATTTCAATTCTCCCTCATCTCCCTTTTGTGATGTTCTCTTCCTCACGGGAATCCCTAATTGCTTCCCATATTCTCTATAATAGACAACTATCTCATCAATGTTGTTAAAAGTCATCCCAACTCAAGGCTCTTGCACATTCTCTCTATTCTCCAATTCAGGCTCCTCACTTCATCATTCTTTTCCATTCGAACCTCATCATCTTCTTGATTAATATATGAACTCGTAAAGCTACTTGAAGACATGATTACAAAATAAAATAGGATTTTCATAGTAGTGGAAGGCATGGAAAAAGAGGTTTCAAAATAGCAACCAACATAAATTACAAAGACCCGTAACCATATAAGCAAGGAAAAAGAGGTTTCAACACAACAACCATTGTAATATTATAGCCATGGTATTTTATTTGAACTTGCAAAACATATTGTTCATTTTGCATGAGTGCCATATGCATAGGGGAAAACAAACACAACACACAAGACACAAAAAGGGAATAAGGATAGGAGAAAACAAAACTCCCAGTAACATAAGATTACTCAAAATAAGAAAAAAAAATCAAAGACTTCAAGTATGGAGGGAGGCATGTCAAGCCATCCGTAGAAAGAACCAAAAACAACTAGTTATGAGACCCAAAAAAAATATTGAACACGATATACAAGTAGTATAAAAGTATTCAATACTGATCTTAAGAGCAATACAAATATCTCAATGATTCAAAAAATCAATCCAAAAATTTCAGTCATCACCCAACAAGAGAAAACCTAAGAGTAAAATAGAGATGAACTTACCATCGTCACCAGCGTCAGGAAAAACTCTGGTATGACTGGCAGATTAGAGAGAAGATAAGGGATGAGGAAGAGGAAGAGGTAGGGAAGAACTAGTTGAATATACGTGAAACAAAACTTCCTACACCGCTTAGGTTTCTGTCAAGTGAAGAGTATATATATATATATATATATATATATTAAAAGCTTATTTGACGATGTGGCATAGCCAACTCAACAGTCACATTAGTTGGTACAAATAGATGGCCTCCCTATCATTACCCAAAATTTAAAGCATATCCAAGAAAAACACAAGTAATAGCTCTAGCACCCAATTTAGGCCTTATAGGGTTAGTTAACCTTACAAAGGCAAAACAACCCCATACTTTAAAATATCCCAAGTTCGGCTTATAGCCCTTCCACACCTCAACAGGTGTAATTTTGGGTTTCTTATGTGGCACCATGTTCAACACAAAACAAGCAGTTAAAACCACTTCACCCCAAAGATCAGAAGGAGCACCTAAATGGTGGCACCATGTTCAACACAACATTTGTCAAATTAGTGTAATTTTGATTTTTTTCTTTCTGCTACGCCATTAGATGCAGGAGAATATGGTGGTGTAGTTTCATGTAAAATTCCTAAAGACAGTAAATAGGAATTTACTTATTAATTTAATAGAAATTAAATTAATTAAAATTGGATTCAAGGCCTATTGGGTTTGGACCCATTGGGCTAGTTAAGATATGTGGGCATAGTAGGATGACCACATAAACCCAAAAGGCCCAATAGAGACCCTAGGGCAGGTTTTACCTAGAGGGAGACATAGGTCTCCTTCTTGTGGGGCTATATATACACACTTTGCATCTTTAGAAGAGTTAGGGTTTTGTGCTATTTGTATGAAGAGGAAGAGAACCATCAAGCTCTCCTCCTCCATAGCCAAGGTCGAGCACCCCTTGAGAGAGTTCACTAGCATCAACTCCTTTCAAGGCTTCACTCATCTCTTCCATCACTTCCTTAGTGAGGTCCCACATTTGTGAGGCTTTTTCTTGAGAACCAAAAAGGAGAAGATTAATCTAGGTTGTGGCTTAATAAGTTTTTCCAAATATAGCACATTGTAGGGGTTTTTTTGTTCCAGCAGCCTGACGAATGGGCCTGGGCTGCTGTGAGAAGACAACGAGCAAAATCCCCCAAATGCCTGAGTTCGAAAAACAAGCTCCCAAGAGAGTTTTTAGAAAATCTAATGAGATTTTAAAAGAACACTCTCAGGATCACTTCACTAACACCCAAATAAGCATGAGGATTTCATTAATGGCTTAGCTTGAGGAGCATGTGGCATGGGAGCTAAGCTTTCACAAGTTTAGCAATTTGAGAGAGAGAAAACAGCGTGGGTTTCTTACGGAAGAAATATCAGTGCAAGCCCTATCCTAAGAAGAAGAAAGATGAACAGAAGAGAGGTTTGGGTGGCTTGAGAAAATTCCAGATTTGCTTGACAAAGCTTGGTCAAGGTCTGGATCGTTGAGTTGTGGATGTCTTTTCTGGGTAGCAAAAGTCTCCTTTTATAGGCGTTAGGAGCTCCAATTTCGTCTGGTTTTCTTCTTCCTTTTTCCTTGGCAGCTCCTACCTAGCCCTATTTTGATGAATTTCTCCATCCAAGGAGCATGGGTAAGGAACCCTTTATTGTTCCAACGGTTTGACGCAGCTGGGCTTTCCCATAGAGGGGAAGGCGCCACCTGCTTTCCTTATGTTTTCTCCAAGGTAGAGCTTACAGAGGAAAAGGGGAGAGATGGAGCCTTTTGTCCGATGGACACTTCCCTCACCCCCATGGATTTCAAACGGGAATAGGACTTGACGCCAGATTTTTGTAAGTTGCTGGGCTTGGGCTTGTACATATGGTATTGGGTCCTCTGGCTTTGTTGCTTCTAACGTTTGGCAGGCTTTCGTCAAGCTGCTGGAAAGGCTTTCCCTTTAATTCTATTGATGTGGGCTGGGCTAAATATCTTGGTGGGTTCTTTGGTGTCTTCTTAGAGCATGGGTCAAATTTTCTCCTCTCTCTCATGCTAACCCATATGCTTGGGTTCTAGGAACGGGCTTGAGTTCCAAAGCCCCCAAGTGGCTTTGAAACCTACGTTCCTTGAACCCTCAATGGGCCCCGTGATTGCTTGTTACCTTCCATACCACAACCTTCTGAGTAAGCCCCGGTTAATTTTTGTGGCTTGGGCCCACTTAAGCTCATGACGTAGCTTGGTATTAGAATGTGCATGATTTCTATGCTCGTGCTTGGGGTTTTATTATGCCATGATAGGCTATAGTCGGGCCAAGTAGCACTAAATGAGCATGTGAGCGTGATTTAGTAATATCGGTATGAACTTGGCTCCTTCTGCACGTGCTTGTTTAGCATGATTTGTGGCTTGTAGCTTGTGTTGGCGGCTCTTATAAATTTTCTTTTATCCCGATTGAGCTTATTTTGCATCCAATTACCCATATTGGGCTAAGGATTGATTTGGGCTTAGCCCCTTGGATTTTTGGGCCTCAACACACATTTCCTTCAAGTGGTATCATGAGCACTATACAGTTATCTTATAAAACATGACCTAAAGGTGTTCTTGGGACTCTCAATATTCTCAGTAAGGAGAGAGAATACTCTTGAGATATGACTGATGAAATCTTTGAGCAAAGTAGTGAATATGATTTGAAAGAAGATATTTTCAAATCATAACCATATAGAAAGATAATTCAAAGGGTTAATCGTTTTATTAGTCCCCCAACTTAGACCGAATTTGCATTTGAGTACCTCAATTTCCAAAATGGTACTTGTGGTCCTTTAATTTTAGTTTTGTTTGGACAACTAGTCCCACCGTTACTTCTATCAATTTTTTTGTTAAATTTAAGGGTAGATGGGTCTTTTCAGTTGGTTTTATTATCCTCCTTGGGTTAATTGTTTTATTAGTCCCCCAACTTGGACCGAATTTGCATTTGAGTATTTCAATTTCCAAAATGGTACCTATGGTCCTTTAACTTTAGTTTCGTTTGGACAACTAGTCCCACTATTACTTTTGTCAATTTTTTCGTTAAATTTAAGGGTAGATGGGTCTTTTCAGTTGGTTTTATTATCCTCACTCTACAACTTGCCTTCCCTCTGAAATAGACCTTGGAGGTATACTAATCCACCCTGCCTTAAATATCTTAAGCAACTTCTTCCCTTGGCTTGGTCCCACAATCCCCTTACCACCCTCAAGCTCATCTTCAGCGTCGACTCTATCCGTTTTTGTGACACAAATTTCGACACAGCCGTACATTGGCTCCACCAGAACCACCCCAAGACTTCGTTCAACACCTTTCTTGGATCCACGACGACGGCGGATGATCGGGTTATATCCGTGGCTATGTTTCTTGGTGTGGTTCATGAGTCCCCTCACGTACCAACCTGAAAAGACTCATCTACCCTTAAATTTAACGAAAAAATTGGTAGAAGTAACAGTGGGACTAGTTGTCTAAACGAAACTAAAGTTAAATGACCACAGGTACCATTTTGGAAATTGAGGTACTCAAATGCAAATCCGGTCCAAATTGGGGGACTAATAAAACGATTAACCCAAATCTAAAAGAGTAAAAGTCTTTTTTGTCCCTTAAAACCAACCTGAAAAGACCCATCTACCCTTAAATTTAAAGAAAAAATTGACAGAAGTAATGGTGGGACTAGTTGTCCAAACAAAACTAAAGTTAAAGGACCACAGGTACCATTTTGGAAATTGAGGTACTCAAATGTAAATCCGGTCCAAGTTGGGGGACTAATAAAACGATTAGTTAAGGTTTTGACATAAGCATCCATAACCTAATAATGTGAATAAGGAGTATTGAATTAGAGAAGAATTCAATTGCACTGTCATTCGAACTTGAGTAGGTTCTTCACCTTTTCTTATTAGCTTGGGTAGCCATGACATATTGCTAGATGTAAATTATGGTTTGTGGACGTCATGTAAGGTTCAATTATAATTGGCATTCGCTAATAGGAAGAGTTAAATGGTTTGATTTAATTCACAATCAATTTGGAAGAGTTGAGACAACCCACTGCCTCGCTGAATGGAACCTACGGATCGCACACACACAAAATGTAGTTGGAGGAACAAATGAAGAAGAAGAAACTTGAGATACAAAAGTCAAAGTCAACAATCAAAGTCAAAATAGTTGACCAAGTCAAACTGTTCAGACTATGGTTAGGACTCAATAGTTAAGTCACAAATCACAAATAATATGTTAATTATGAAATTACTTTGACAATGAAGTAGTTTTGGGTTTTAAAGTGATTATGGGCCAAAAGGAAAAATACCCATGGACCCATTGGGCCCAAAAATAAGTGGTGTGTGACAAGACAAATTAAAGTGAGTCCAAGAGAAGCCCCATATACCCATATCAGGTTTTGATAGTGGGGGTTTTTCCTCACTTATGTGGCTTACCTATATAAGTCACACTTAGGCTATTCTCAAGTTAGGATTTTGAGGCTTTTAGGTTGTGGTGTTGAGAAGAAGGAGAAATCCTCTTCTCCACCTTTGCTAAAAGTCGTTCCACTAAGAGAAGGAGTCTAGCATCTCCACTTTCTTGGTTGCTTTCCTCTTCGCCTCTAAACATTTGGTGTGATGAATTACAGGATATCTACTTTGGTACCTTGTGAAGAAATCCTAGAAGAATCAAGCAAGGAAGAAGACCTTACCTAAGGTGAAAAACTTGGTCTCACCAAGATGAACTTCAATGGTAATCTCGCATCCTTTCTTCCTTTTTCGTTTCTGCCTCTTGAATGCAGGATTCAATATTATTGCAGCTTATAATCCCATTAAAAAGAATTTGTATGCATGTTTCCTTCAAAGAGCCAGTAGAAATTGAGAAAGAAGAGGAGCCAACATGAGTAATACTTAACCCATTTCCATTACCAACTTTCAATTGATTTGGACCAGTGTACCTATTAGCAATGGAGAGACTAGCAAGAGTTTTTATTAAAAATAGACACAATTTACCCCTACGGCGAGCACAAATCTGTCATGAATCTGCTGCTATCATCGAGGCAAAGGGTAAGGGCTACGTTATGAATCTGATAAAGGTAAGAGCGATGACAAAGGTAACGAGTTTTGTGCATGAAAAAGGTATCATCAAGATTTGTGCACGGAAAAGGTATCATCGAGGCAAAGGATAAGGGCTACGTTATGAATCTGTTTTTGTTTTGTTTTGTGGTTTAAAAAAATTGGCTGATAGTGGATAATATTGCTGGGAGTGGCATAGTTTTCTCTTATGTGTTCTATCATGTTAGCTCTACATGTTTTTACATTGAAGTGCTACTTTGTTTTAATTTCAAAATTTTCATTATTTAGATTTTACTCTTAAAAAAATTCTGGTGCGGAAGGTTATATTTTGTATATGTGATGCATATTGCAGATTATGAAAAAGAGAGGAAGCAACATAGTTGCTAGCAGATGCCATGGAGGAAAATTAATGAATATAGGATTTTTAAAAAATGATGTTGGCTGATTTGAGGGATTTTGGAGGTGAATATTTAATTGATGAAGACGAATCTTTTTAGGGGATCCAAAAGCTTGCTTGAGACATGTCCATACTTCAGAGGATGTTGAAGTGTCGACTATGTGTAGAAGAACATCTTTAGATAATGAGGCAATGATCCAGTTGCAAAACCTTTGCTCACGCTTGCGCCAAGTGAGATGCTCTGGATTGGATTGAGAAGTACTATTGCCCACACTTATTGTTGCCGGTGGTGCAACATCAAATCCATCTATGATATCTTCTAGATCGTGAGAAATTAGGATAGGTTCAAATTGTATTGTCCAGAGAAGATAATTAGTGGGAGTGAATTTTAGAGAATGGGAGTTTGGAGGGTTGGGCATTGGAATTGTTTGATTAGGAGTAGTAATGGACTTGGTTTTTGTCTTTCGAATGAGTACTAAGTTAGCATTGGAAGAAGCCATAAAGGAATAAGGATATAAAATGGGAAGGCACTTGAGGATCAAAGGCAATCTGATACCATATAAGATTCAGGTTTCCTCACCCAACTGTGTCGAGGTTTTCTTCTCCATTTATATAAATGATTGTATAGTTACAAATATTCAAAAATAAGTTGTTATGTATTAAGAGGGGCTATGATAAGGGGATGGTTACAAAGTAATTACAAAATAGACTAGGATCATGATGTAGAACAAATGGTTGAATGGATTGAAGAAGAATTGGAGTGAAGAAGGGAAAAAGGACATATCAGGAATTTACAGATTTGGAGTCCGAGCTCCGATTGGGTTGCATAATACGTTCCAAAAGTGCATTTAAAAATTGTATTCAATTTACAGGCTTTTCGTTTCTTTTCAGTTACATTTTCAATAACTCCCCAAGGCAGTCCAATGGGTGAGAGCGTAGTATTCAATTTAGAGGCTTTTCGTTTCCTTTCAGTTACATTTTCAATAACTCCCTAGGTAGCTCAATGGCTGAGAACGTTGTATTTAATCAGCTGTCATGCTTGGTTGAAAGCATCTCGACTTTTATCAAATATTTCAAAGAGAATTTTCTCTCTAATTTCCTGGTGGATTCCAGATTATTGTTCTTTAGGATTTTCGCTTGAAAATCTATTTGCTTGTGCTGCTTCAAATGGTATCAGAGCGGGTCTCTCCCATCTCGGTGTTATTGGCCTATCATGGGTGATTGTGAAACTGCTGTCCCAATTACTCGAAAGGATTTGGATGCTCAAAACGTACGAATCGACAATTTAGCCAATCAACTTGGGGAGATGCGTGAGTTGTTGTTACAAGCTATTGGTGGCAACAATGGAAGAGAAGACAGAAATAACAATATAAGAGAAGATGGAGATAACAATAGAAGAGAAGACAAAGACAACAACCAAGGAGGCAATGTTGGAAGAAATAATAAGAGACAACGTGTTCCAGAGAGCGAGTCGGAGTCCGAAGAAGAACTTGAGGAACCACCACTGGTTAACAATCCACATCATCGTAATCACAACAATTTTGGTGATTATCGGATTAAAGCCGAAATCCCTAATTTTTGGGGAAACTTGAAAATTGAAGATTTCTTGGATTGGTTGGTAGAAGTGGAGAGGTTCTTTGAAATTATGTATGTCCCAGAGAACAAATGGTGAAGATGGTCGCTTTCCATCTGAAAGTTACAGCGGCTGTATGGTGGGATCAGTTATAGAATTCACGACAGAGGCAAGGAAAGCAACAAGTCCGTACACGACGAAAGATTAAGCAGCTTATGATGGATCGGTTCCTACCTACTGATTATAAACAAATTTTGTACCGCATGTACATCGGCTGTACGCAAGGCAATCGTTCAGTTTCTGAATATATTGAAGAGTTTATGCGTCTAGCGAAGCGTAATCATTTGATCGAGATCGAAAACCAAAAGGTTGCAAGGTATATTAATGGCCTGAAAATTTCCATTCAAGAAAAAATTGGTTTGCAAAATATGTGGACTTTGCAGGACGCGATTAATATGGCGTTAAAGGCTGAGTTGTTGGAGAAGGAGAAACGCCAAACTAATTATTGCAGGAACACGATGGATCATTCAGAAAATGTTGCTACTTTTCCTAGTGACAAGGGGAAAACACAGCATCAAAACTTCGGCAAATCGTCAAAGCCGTCGAACCTCCAAAGTAAAAGCAGCAATGAAGGCAGCATCCGATCTTCCAATAGAGTGCAGACCCAGAACCAGCCCCAGAAAGAGAATCCATATGCTAAGCCCATGACAGATATTTGTTACCGATGCCAAAAACCAAGGCATTGTTCCAACGTTTGTCCCGAGCGAAGGCAAGCTAATTTTATAGAAGATGTCGGTGATGACGAAGAAAATGACGAAGTTGTAGACGATGATTATGCAGGGGCTGAGTTTGCAATTGAGGAGGGAATGGAAAGGGCAATGGCACAACATTTTCCGTTCTCTTTGTTCGATCAAAAATAAAATCTATGATGTGATCGTAGACAATGGGAGTTGCGAGAATTTTGTGTCAAAAAAATTGGTGGAGCATTTGCAGCTACCAACAGAGCCACATATCAGCCCTTATTCATTGGGTTGGGTTAAAAAAGGACCTTCAGTTCGTGTTGTTGAGACTTGCTGTGTGCCACTCTCCATTGGTAAGCATTACAGAGATGATGTTGTATGTGATGTTATTGATATGGATGCATGTCATATCTTGTTAGGGCGACCTTGGCAATTTGATGTGGATGCAACTTTTAAGGGGCGAGATAATGTGATCTTGTTTTCCTGGAAAAACCACAAGATTGCGATGGCTACTACAATGCCCTCAAAAAAACTAGTTGAGCCCAAAACTAAGAGTTCTAGTTTTTTTAACTCTGATCAGCAGCGAGCAAGAGTTAAATAAGGCAATAAAAGAAGCAGATTATTTTTGTCTCATGGTGTTGAAGGGGCTATTGAAGGCCATCAAAGAAGAAAATGTAATTCCTCCTGAAGTGCAGCAGATTTTGTCAAAATTTCATGAACTAATTTCTGACAAGCTGCCAAACAAGTTGCCACCATTGAGAGATATACAACACCACATTGATTTGGTACCTGGGGCTAGTCTACCAAATCTTCCACATTATCGCATGAGCCCTAAGGAGAACGACATCCTAAAAGAGCATATTGAAGAGTTGTTACATAAGGGTTTTATCAGGGAGAGCTTGAGTCCCTGTGCTGTTCCAGTCCTTCTTGTTCCAAAGAAAGATCAATCATAGCGTATCTGTGTTGATAGTCGAGCAATCAACAAGATTACAATAAAATATAGATTTCCCATCCCACGATTGGAAGATATGTTAGATGTGCTCGAAGGCTCTAAGGTGTTTTCCAAAATAGATTTGAGCAATGGATACCACCAAATTCGCATCAGGCCGGTGACGAGTAGAAAATAGCATTTAAGAGTAAGGAAGGGTTATACAAATGGCTGGTGATGTCGTTCGGATTGTCAAATGCGCCTAGCACCTTCATGAGACTTATGAATCAGGTTCTTCGACCATTTATTGGTTCTTTTTATGATATTTTAATTTACAGCACCTCAAAAGAAGAGCATCTCGTGCATCTGAGACAAGTCTTAGGAGTTTTGAAAGAAAATAAGCTATATGTGAATCTGAAAAAAAAATGTACTTTTTGCACAAATAAGCTACTGTTTTTGGGTTTTATGGTTAGGGAGAATGGTATCCAGGTTGATGACGAGAAGATCAAAGAAATTCTTGATTGGCCAACTCCAAAAACAGTCTCTGAAGTTCGAAGCTTCCATGGTTTGGCCACTTTTTACAGGAGGTTTGTGAGGCATTTCAGTTCCATTGTCGCACCTATTACTGAATGTTTGAAGAAGGGCAGGTTCAATTGGGGAGAAGAGCAACAAAAAAGTTTTGCTCTTGTAAAAGAAAAACTTTGCACCGCTCTGGTTCTAGCTCTTCCAAATTTTGAGAAGGTGTTCGAAGTTGAATATGATGCCAATGGCGTGGGAGTGGGAGCTGTGTTTTCTCAAGACAAGAGACCAATTGCTTTCTTTTCTGAAAAGTTGAGCGACGCTCGTCAAAAGTGGAGTACTTATGACCAAGAATTTTATGCAGTTGTTCGTGCTTTGAAACAATAAGAGCACTATCTTATTCAGAAGGAATTTATTTTGTTTACAGATCATCAAGATTTGAAGTATATTAACAGCCAGAAACATATTCATAAAATGCATGCTAGATGGGTGACTTTTTTGCAGAAATTCTCATTCGTTATCAAGCATACTTCTGGTACCTCAAATCATGCGGCTGACGCACTGAGCAGAAGGGATTTATATGAAGATGATGATGATTTCAAGGAAATATGGGCTAAATGTGCTAACCATGAGCCAATGACAGATTTCTTTCTTAATGAAGGGTATTCAATGGCAACTAGTTATGCATTCCTGTTTCCTCCTTAAGGGAGAAGCTCATTCGGGATTTGCACGGAAGAGGGTTGAGTGGCCACTTAGGCCGCGATAAAACAATAGCAGGATTGGAAAAAAGATTTTATTGGCCACAGTTGAAGCGTGATGTTGGAACAATTGTGCGCAAATGTTTTATTTGTCAGGTTTCAAAGGGATAGGTACAAAACACTGGATTATACATGCCTTTACCAATTCCTAATGATATCAGGCAGGATCTTGCTATCAGGTAGGTCCTTGGTTTGCCTCGAACTCAGAGAGGTGCGGATTCAGTTTTTGTGGTGGTTGATTGGTTCTCAAAAATAGCGCATTTCATAGCCTGCAAGAAGACTGTTGATGCATCCAATATAGCTAAGCTGTTTTTCAGGGAGGTTGTTCGCTTGCATGGAGTACCTACATTAATAACTTCTAACCGTGATACAAAATTTTTGAGCCATTTTTGGATCACTTTGTGGATAATGTTTGGTACTACTTTGAACCGTAGTAGCACTGCACATCCTCAAACTGACAGCCAGATTGAGGTTACCAATCGAACATTGGGAAATATGGTGCGAAGCATTTGCGGAGAGAAGCCGAAGCAATGGGATTATGCACTGCCACAAGTGGAGTTTGCATAAAACAGTGCAGTTCATAGTGCAACAGGGAAGTCACCATTTTCCATTGTTTATACTGATATGCCTAATCATGTTGTGGATTTGGTGAAGCTACCTAAAGGCCAGAAAACTAGTATTGCAGCGGGAAAATTGGCTGAAGAAGTGGTGGCTATTCGTGATGAAGTGAAGCAAAAACTTGAACAAGCTAATGCTAAGTACAAAGTCGTTGCAGACAAGCATAGGCGAGTTAAGGTGTTTCAAGAAGGCAATTCTGTGATGGTGTTTCTGAGGAAGGAGAGGTTCCCTGTTGGCACATATAGCAAGCTGAAGCCTAAGAAATATGGTCCTTACAAGGTGCTGAAAAGAATCAATGACAATGCCTATGTTATTGAATTACCAGATTCCATGGGAATTTCCAATACTTTTAATGTTGCTGATTTGTATGAGTTTCGTGAAGATGAAACCCTTTATCCTGAACATAACTCGAGGTCGAGTTCTTCGGAGGTGGAGGGGGCTGATGTAGAACAAATGGCTGAATGGATTGAAGAAGAATTGGAGTGAAGAAGGGAAAAAGGACGTAGTAGGAATTTACAGATTTGGCGTCCGAGCTCCGATTGGGTCGCATAATATGTTCCAAAAGTGCATTTAAAAATTGTATTCAATTTACAGGCTTTTCGTTTCTTTTTAATTACGTTTTCAATAACTCCCCAGGGCAGTCCAATGGGTGAGAGCGTAGTATTCAATTTACAGGCTTTTCGTTTCCTTTTAGTTACGTTTTCAATAACTCCCTAGGCAGCCCAATGGGTGAGAACGTTGTATTTAATCAGTTGTCATGCTTGGTTGAAAGCATCTCGACTTTTATCAAATATTTCAAAGAGAATTTTATCTCTAATTTCCTGGTGGATTCCAGATTATTGTTCTTTAGGATTTTCGCTTGAAAATCTATTTGCTTGTACTGCTTCAGATCATAGAGCAACTAAGATCAAGGAGATTTTACAGCTAATGCAAAAATAATTTCAAGATATTTACAACTAATAGAGTGATGTGACATGATGCAGTGGGATGTTTTTGTGGTGGTCTTGCAAAAGTGAGAGTGTGTGCATCTGTTTTAGCTATGGAAGTAGAGGCACCTCTAAGTGGTATCAAATTTTGGTTTTCATAATGGAGATCACATGATTGTGCTGGAGTCGGATTCACGAGCTATGGTGTATCAATGAGATCCATAGACTGTCTTCATATTTTGACTCGGGGGACTATAATGATCTCAACTTCTTGTTTATCCATAATACAGTATAATGTGAGGTGTGAAAGTTTTGGATTTGTATTTTTGTATGTTGAATTTGACGGAGAAGGCCATGGAAGAAGCGAGGAGGAAAAAGGCCATAACAGAATTGGGGAGGAAGAAGGACATGACGAATCTGGGAAGGAGCCGTTGGAACTTGGCATTTAAGTTTTTTTATTTATTTATTATAAGTCATTTAAGTTTTACAAAATTAGTGAAACACCCATTCCTAGACATGAAACTATAAATATACCCTACACTATTTAAAACATAGAAACACACCCAAAAATCAACAACTGTATATTTGTTAATTTAATTATTAAGATGAAGTACCTTTATTACCCTTTTAACATAAAATTGAAATTCTAATCAACACCATATCAGAATTCATTTCACGACCTCCAGTCTCTCATCTTCATCTTCAACCCCAATTTTCAGTTTTTGTTCTTCCACCTTAGTTTTATTTCAACTTCATCATTCTAAGTTTTGTCAGAGGGCTCGCCTGGGCCACAGACAATGATGCGCTGGAGAGAGCTTTTCTCCGTTCTGTGAGATCATCAAATCAAAGGGCCGTTTGACACATGTTCTCTCTCTGCTACTTGATCTTCTGTTTCTCTATGTTACTTGATCTTTCTCTCCCAAAGATTGAAGATAGATCAATCGATTCCTTTTCATTTATGTTTATTATTGTGTATTTGTTTGATTATACTCCGACGTTTTGGTTTTGATGGACGGATCTGATTTGATTTGGTTTCTTTTTGTGTTTCCAAATCATCAACAACTGTGAGATTGAGAATTCCAAAGGCTTCAGCTTCGGCTTCGTCACCTTCAGCAATGAGAAGGCCATGAAGACGCAATATAAGGCATGAACGACCAGAACCTTGACGATCATAACATCACCGTCAACGAGGCCCAGTCTTGTGGAAGTGGCGGTGGTGGTAACAGAGGTTACAACTGTGGAGGTGGCGGCGGAGTACTGCCTATTTGCTTTGATTTTTCTCTTTTTCTCTATCTCTAGTTTAAATGTGGAAAATGGATTAAAAAAACTATTTTTAGATGTTTTCTGAATTTTAGTTTGCAATTTGGTGTTGGTTGATTTTGAATTAGTCATATGTGTTGGCAGAAAATTCATGCATTGCTGTCTCTCATCTGTAGTTGTTCAATTTAATCCCTGCAGGAGCTTGTACCCAACTGTGTGAGGCTGTTTCATGTTTGATGTAGTAGCACTAGTCATTTTGATTTGGTTGTAAGATTTAGCTATAAGGAATTGTTTTCTATGTTTTGAAACCAAACCAATTTCTCACTTGAAGCAATAAGTTTCTAGAATCTGTTATACACATGAACTTATTTGATGACTGCAAAGACCTATATTAATTTCTTGGATGATCAAATTGACCATTTTCAATATGAAATGCTTGCTAAATATGCATCTCTAACCTGAGTGTAGCATAATGCTCTGCAACTTAACCCACAGAGCTTACTATTGAATGAAAAACAAGATATCCTCTTTTTATTTTCCTTTATTGATCTACTATATGGAGTTTCTTTGCTTTTTCTGCCTTGTTGAATTATGAATATGGATTTCTTAGTTCAATTTAGAAAATCTATGTTATTCTCTTATTGGTTCAGCATATATCTATTGAAATTTTGATGCGAGGAGTGAATGATTTCATATTATCCCTATAGTTTGTAGTGAAATAGCAAACTAATGAAATTCTATATACTATTTCACCTTATCAGTTATGTGCTTTAGGCTTATGATTGTTATCTGTGTTGTTCCAATTATTCTATTATGCTTAATTATTTTGTTCTTATTTCTTGTTGTTAGATTTGGTGAACAACCTTGGTACCATTGAGGTAGCACCAAGGAATTTATAGAAGCCTTAGCTGTTGGTAGTTGATTTGAGTGGTATGGAGTTGTAAACTTTTATCGTACCTATTATGCAAATGAAATGATGTAGTTGTTAACTTCCAGTAAGTGGTATGAACAGTTGTTATACTATTCATACCCTTCAATTGAGTTGATTTCTATGACATAGTATTAACAGTGTACTTCTATGAGATAATATTAACAAATTTTCAGTAACAAAGCATGCTCTATATTTTGCTGTATATATAGCTGTGCACTTGAAGTTTATGATATTAAGAATGTGATTTTTATTAGGAATATAGTTCTATGACCGTATTAATAGTGCACTTTTTTTTTTCTTTTTTTGTAGAGGTATTTCCTTTTGCCTTTATGATTGTTTCTGGTGGAACTATGGACAATTGGAGGTGGTTTCTGCAAAGGATATCGAATGTCTTGTTGGATTTTTTTGGATTTTTTTTGAATTTTTTGTAAGAAATGATATTAACAATGTACTTCTATGACATGATATTAACAATGTACTTCTATGATATGGTATTAATAATGTACTTCGGGCTTCCTAGGCTTATTTTGGGTTTTTTTTTAGTTTTTTGTGTTAGGCTTGTTTTAAGTTTATCAATGACAATCATGTAATTTATAGGAACTTCAACACACATTTTTTATGTAGTAAATGGATTTTGAGTGTATTTCTAAAGTGCATTTCATATGAGGTTTTTTTATAATTTCAACTCCTATTTTGGGTATATTAGTGAAGCTCCCTTTAAGTTTTTAGGGACTAAATAATTAAGTTAAAACTTGAGTAATTAAGAAGATGATGTGGCAAATGATAAGAGTTGTCATATCATGTGCCACATAAGTTGGTGTCACAAAAGTTGGTAAATAAGTTGGTGCCTCTAGCATTATTGGTTTATGAAATGCAAGTAAATGCACATTGCCTAAATGCAGAGGCTCAGAATCCTACTGTGTAACTCTTCATATTATGTTACTTTGGTGTTTTATTTATAACTATAAAAAAAAAAAAAAAAAAAAAAAAAAAAAAGCTAAAACCCGCATCATCTAAAATTCCCAAGAGACCAAATTTGATAAATCCTTTTGGGATTATTTCAATTCAACCACACAGTCGGCAGTCAAATTTATCCTTTAAATGCCCACAAAACTAAATACGAAGGTCTGTGAGCGTACAATTAGGCCTACCTGCAATTTGAATAATTACTTCATGTGTTTGATTGATGGATTCAATTTCGTCCAACAAAGACCCATTTGGTTTCTAATCGATTTTTGGGTTATTTACTCAAATGATCCTCGAACTTAAACCCGATTTACATTTTGATCCCTCAATTAAATTATTCGTTTAAATGATCCATCAACATCAACATCCATTACTATTTGTCGAATTGGTCCTACATTCTAATTCCGTCACTATTACTGTTAATTTGAAGGTTCAATTTATACTAAAATGTTAATAACTTCATTAAAATCTAGTATGATAGCTTAAAATAGCACCCATTTTATAATTTTTTTGTCAAAATACCACCCCTCCCCAAAAATTTTAAAACTACCACATATAAATACATCTTTATTGTAAATTGATTGCACCCATATCACTTTTTCAGAAATTGGGTTCTCTCTCAACTCTCTTGGCTGTGTCTCTCTCTTCAGCCCTCTCTCTGTCGCTCAGCTCTCTTGCGCAGCTCTCTCCGTCGTGTAACTCTCTCTCTCTCTCTCTCTCCAACGCAGTCATCTTCCTCCCTCAGCCATCCAAACTTAACTCCATGAGGTATTGTTCAAGTTCCATTTCTTAGAAATTTGGAGTTTTTGTGAATTTTGTTTATGGTGTATGGATTTGTATGAAATTGGTTTAGGGGTTTCTTCCAAATTGGTTTAGGGTTTTAGGGTTTTAGGGTTTAGAGGTTGCTCTGAAATTGGTTTAGGGTTTATGGGTTTGTATGAAATTGGTTTAGGGGTTTCTCTAGAGTCTAGGGTTTGGAATTGATGAGATATCTGATATGGGCTTCAGATTTCCCTAATTTGTTTTTCTTTACTGTGATTGTGATTTTAGGTAAGGATTGGGTGATGGGATTTTATTTTGGGTCATCTAATATGGTTTTGAGATTGGTTTCATATCTATTATTTTGGTTAGTGTTAAAGTAAATAAATGGGTATTTCATTCCTGCTAGCTAAGGATTGGGTGATGGGTTTTTGTTTTGCGTCATCTGATATGATTTTGAGATTGGTTTCATATCTATGATTTTGGTTAGTGTTAAAGTAAATAAATGGGTATTTCATTCATGATAGCTAAGGATTGGGTGATGGGTTTTTGTTTTGGGTCATCTAATATGGTTTTGAGATTGGTTTCATATCTATGATTTTGGTTAGTGTTAAAGTAAATAAATGGGTATTTCAAACTTTTATGAATGGTTGTCTGCATTGGAATTGCAATTAATCAAGCCTTGTGTTTGATGTACTCATTACAGGTAGGAAGGTGAATTGAGTCAGTGGTAGTCCCATCGGAGCAGCTCAAGTCCTTTGATTTTACTGATCAACAAGAATATGATGCCTGCAAAATGAAATAAAGGAGTTTTTCTGGTAATGAACTTTACTTTTGGATACACACATGCACAATGAACTTTACTTTCTTTGATGGCATTTTGGTGAAGAAGAACAACCATGTAGTAAGAAAGTTGGAGAAGCGTCAACAGATTTACACCCTTGACCAACATATTGAGGAGCAATTTAGTGGTGGTCATCTGTTGGCTTGTATTATAGCATGGGTTCATCCGAGTGCTTAATGGTGTTTATCATGTTTGCATCTCATGCCTTAACTCCCTCAGTTCTCTCTGGCAGCTATCAGATTGTTTGAAAATAATTGTCCACTTATAATTTGTTGAAGACTCACCTTGTTATGTGTTCATTGCCTTACATGGCACATAAACTGTTTCCATTTTGAAGTTGAACTATTTCGTACACCTCCATATATAAACATAGTTGCTCTTTATGAACGTATAACAGTTTACTTGTTTGAAATGACGTGTTCGTTTCCACTGAATTCTACTCATTTTGTATCCATTGTTGACATTTAGTCTCCGTGGTTTTCTTTGCAATTTATGTGATATAGGTATATTTCATTTTGTGCACTGAGAATCTGTTAGTGGACTTAGTGAAGCATACAACTTTCTTATGATTTCTCAAATTTGTTTTCACTTTGTTCCTTTTAAATAATTTCTGCAACAATTCTACTTTCTGCTTAGCATTCTGTTGTTATTGGAATTTGAAACCTCATCATGTTTAGAAAGGGATAAGATATACTTTACCCCCATGAACAAATGTGGAAAATCACTTAACACGCTTCCACCACAATATTAGAAAAATAAGTCCCTCGTTTGTGTAGAATTTTTCATTGATAGCTATTCTTTCAGTATATTTACCATTAGTACAGTTTTAGGGCCAAGTTCGTATGAGCAGATGACTAATTTGAAATATGTAATCGATCATTTTGCCCTCTGACTCAATCTTTAAAGCATTGGTGTGGTGATTAATAGATGCGCAGATGTGCAATGCGCAGAGTGCATGTACAAATAAATGTGCAGATTCGTTTGTTTACTTCCATGTGTTAGAAATCATGGTAATTTAACAGTTTTATCACAGACGAATGAAGGTTTGGAATGCATAGAAGCCTGCAATATACACTAAGTATAGAGATGGTTGCCAAATATCATGTTGAGCACTATGACCCATGCAAAGTTAAACTGCATACATTAGTTTACTAGTTCTTTATCTTTTTGAAGATTCATTAGTTGTTCCAAAAATTAGTTATCCCTATTAGATCACATAATGTTCGAACTAATGGTCATCAACTCAATCCTACATTTGCTTGCTTGGAAAAGCTATGCTGTTTACTTGTTTTTGTCAAAAGGTTTAATGGAAAGCTATCTATCCATTCCAAATTAAATTCATGTGTTCTTTGTTTTCCTTACAGGAAAATGGAGGTCAAACAATGGACATATGTCAAAAATGAAAATAAGAGGAAGTGCTTAATTTGTTTATACCTAAAACGCAATAATTTGGTGATACGTTGGTGATACAGTGGCAATACAGACACGATAAAAGGGTGCTAGAAATTGTTGTTTCTGTTTATTTTGGGCTTCTTCTTTTGTTTCATTTCATTTACTTAACTTTAATAATTTGATGATTACAAGATGAATTTGTGTCAAGTATTAATACAACAATTACATATATGAAGATTAAGACGAACAACATATCGTATCACCAAACATAATCAAACCACCAAATGTAATCATCCTTTTCTTCAACCCATCACGAAGCATTTGCATATTTATTCATACCTTCCTTTTTTTTGTAAATTATTTTTTAAAATAATTTCTTACAATGTCTTACAGTGCAATTATAATGCACCTGACTGCCTGTTTTTGAAAAGCACGTTGTTTCTTTCTCGTCGTTATATAATAGCAATATTAGGCCAATATACACACACTAGAGAGGCAATATTAGAGCAATATAATAGCAATACAACAGCAATAGCATCACAATATACATGCAATAGGGTGGCAATATGCATACAATATGTATGCAATACAAAGGCAATATTAGTACAATACACATGCAATAGGACAGCAATATTAAGTCAATCTACATACAATACGCACACATCCATTACAGACTACAATTTAGACATGCAAAATAAATCGCCATCGAACCCTAACAATTCAGACTACATTTTATTATCTTTAAATTTGTCGTCTAATACATTCCCAAGCTGTTACATTTAGGTTTTTGTTTCCTATGATTCTATACAACGATTTTAATTAGAAAACCAATTATAATGCTTTATTAACGAATATATATGCTCAAAATTTATTTCTTTCATAAAACTTGAAAATTCAATTGTTATTACATAGTCAACCAATCTTTCCTCTATTACATACATACTTCCTACCTATAATTATAAATAATGGAGAGCTCACAAATTCTACTAATTTGATCTTATTCATCATTTTTTCTTCGGTGTATGAGTTAGCTATCTCTTCTTGCACATTTTCCAAGTTGTTCTATTCTCCTCCCATGTAGCAATATCAGCAACAAGAAGTTATCTACAGATCTGAAATCATAAATGCAGATGATTCTCAATTAACAAAGAGGAAAACCATTTTCTTTTATAACTTTGGTTCTGAAATATATAACAAAATGCAAACACCTTTGCTTCTGAAAAGGAGCAAAAGTTTGTCAACCAATTCATAGTAAAAAAGAAGAAACTAGTGAACCTAACCAGAGAAATGCTAACCTGCAAAACCAACTCCAATACTTTAACCACATCATTAATACTTGAGATTTTCTTCTCATGGATTATGATTAGATGATTTTCCAATTCCTATCGGCACATACACAAGTTTGAAGATAATTAGCATCAAGCAAAAAGGGACTTGAGGTGCTACTAACTTTAACAAGCAACCCTCTAACAGTTTTAATATATAGTTATCTCTTAGTCAAACCAAAACTTACACATTTCTGATTGTTCTGGTTGGTGATGAAATAAGGGGATATGTAGCCCCTGTCTAGCTTTATTTCCTTAACAACCTCCAACTCATTGTCCAATGTTTTCCCCATCTTGCAGAAATTAACATAGTGTGAAGCTTACATGTTTTGGGTATCATTTGGGAATAATAAAAACTAAAATAAAATTATTTGCCCTCCAATATATTTATGTAAAAATTTCATAAGACCCATACATACCTCACTTTAAAACAACAATGAAAAGAAGCTGTTATCATCCAGATTTCAGCCCTTGCAATACGGTAACTACACTAATATGCCTATGACAAATATGCTGACTAGAAACAGACATAGGCAAATAAAGTCACATACCCATAAGCACAGCCACTATCCATGTCGTGATGAGATACAAGCCAATAGACGAACACCACCAAATTACTCTTCAATATGTTGGTCAAGGGTGCAAATCTGTTGACGCTTCTCCAACTTTCTTACTACATGGTTGTTCTTCTTCACCTCCTCAGCGACGGCAACAGCAGCATCACCTTCCTATCAAACAAATAACACAAAATGCCATCAAAGAAAGTAAAGTTCATTGTGCATGCGTGTGTCCAAAAGTAAAGTTCATTACCAGAAAAGCTCCTTTATTTCATTTTGCAAGCATCGTATTCTTGTTGATCAGTAAAATCAGTGGACTTGAGCTGCTCCAGTGGGACTACCACTGACTCTATTCGCCTTCCTACCTGTAATGAGTACATCAAACACAAGGCTTGATTAATTACAATTCCAATGCAGACGACCCATTCACAAAAGTTTGAAATACTCATTTATTTACTTTAACACTAACCAAAATCATAGATATGAAACCAATCTCAAAACCATATCAGATGACTCAAAACAAAAACCCATCACCCAATCCTTAGCTAGCAAGAATGAAATACCCATTTATTTACTTTAACACTAACCAAAATAATAGATATGAAAACCAATCTCAAAACCATATTAGATGACCCAAAATAAAAACTCATCACCCAATCCTTACCTAAAATCACAATCACAATAAAGAAAAACAAATTAGGGAAATCTGAAGCCCATATAAGATATGTCATCAATTCCAAACCCTAGACTCTAGAGAAACCCCTAAACCAATTTCATACAAACTCATAAACCCTAAACCAATTTCAGAGCAACCTCTAAACCCTAAAACCCTAAACCAATTTGGAAAAAACCCCTAAACCCAATTTCATACAAATCCATACACCATAAACCAAATTCACAAAAACCCCAAATTCTAAGAAAAGGAACGTGAACAGTACCTCGTGGAGTTAAGCTTGGATGGCTGAGGGAGGAAGATGACTGCGTTGGAGAGAGAGAGAGAGAGAGTTACACGACGGAGAGAGCTGCGCAAGAGAGCTGAGCGACAGAGAGAGGGCTGAAGAGAGAGACACAGCCAAGAGAGTTGAGAGAAAACCCAATTTCTGAAAAAGTGAGATGGGTGCAATCAATTTACAATAAAGATGTATTTATATGTGGTAGTTTTAAAAATTTTGGAGAGGGGTGGTATTTTGACAAAAAATTATAAAATGAGTGTTATTTTAAGCTATTTCCCTAAAATCTATATAAACCTATAAAATACTATAAAAATCAGAAAATTTAAAAACTGAAATGCCCAATAATTAAAAAAACCAATAAATAATAAATAAATTTTTAAATAAACCACCAGAACCCGCCCCCACCTCCGTCTCTGCAACCCTCCCCATCAATCCAATGTAAATCAACAAACACCCATTTTTCATTTTCTCCAGGCAGTCATTGCATCCAAGAATCACCAAAATATGAAATTTAATTCTACATTTCTTCCACAACCAAACATAATATAATCTCAACCAAACAACCTAATATAAGATTCGACGGGATTTCTTAGTCTTGGGGCTGGACGCCGAATTGGATTGTCCGAAGCTTTTTTCGATCTTGCCTTCTACGGATGTAGACAACACTGAATTTGCGGAATCCCAAGTCCACACCCAAGTTTTCTCCCCAAGAGACAGAATCGAGTTTTATTTAAAAACCAAAAAGAAAGAAACGGTGAGGATGGAGCCTTCTCTAAAACAGAGGGAAATGGGAGAGAGCACAGAGAGTATAGAAGGAGAGAGGGAATGGGGAGACAAAGGGGACTGGGAGTATAGAAGGCAGAGGGGAGAGAGGGGAGAGGAAGAGAGGGAATAGGGAGACCGGGAAGGAGAGGCGTCGCAGGTTGTTTTTTTCTAAAAAACTTATTCTTATTATCGAAAGTCCTATTTACCCTTAATGATATAGCATGTGCACCTCACATGATTTAATTTGACAGAAAATGTTGCGATATGACCAATTTGATTGATAATAAAGGGTTGATGGACCATTTGAACGAATAATTTAATTGAATGACTAAAATGTAAATCGGGTATAAATTTGAGGACCATCTAAGTAAATAACCCCCGATTTTTTCCAATGTGACAATGAAATGTTTCAAAGTGCTGACATTTGCTTGATTCAACTTCAAATTAATCCAAACAGAAAAGCTGATGCCGAACTAGTTTAGCTCATTTTTTTTGCCTTGTTTTGGTATGTCTTGCGTATAGAGCTCTCACAAGTAGTTATAAAATTTAGCCTATATTTTCAAAAATGTCAATTTAATAAAAACTTTCAAATACAGCAAAAGAGTCACTTACATAGACTCGAATAACCTCAAAACTAATACCCACATAATCTTAAAATTGCAAAACCATCTTAGATAAAAATTTGGAATCCTTTGTAACCCAAGGGGAAAAACCGCTAACAGCTCTAAACTGAAAATTCACGACACAGTTTGTAACAAGAAGAAAAAAAAACCTGATCTTTTAAATCTTGTTTGTTTAGTAAAATGAGAAAGAATAGTCCTTAATTTGCATTTTCATACGGTGGATGATTCTAATATTACATTGCATGTAACAAACAATATTATACATCCTCATGCTGCTGTACTCATTCTACTCCTTTTCATCTCTCTACATATTATTACATGGATATAATTCTGTAATGGTTGTTTGTTTGTTTGGTTAGTTTGACTTGTGCTTCTTTCCACCAGCAAGAATACGTTGGATCTGAAGCCCTCGGCTGAAAGCTTGGTTGAATAGCAGCCTGGTCTGGAACTCCGAGACAAATGGGAACCATGCCAGAACAGCCACTGGTGTGAAGATAACCAGCCCCATCACGTACTCGTACCCTCTTGCTAGAGCTTTCACAGACCCCCACATTCCCAGGGCCTTCACCATTGGCTTGCATGCTTGTGATATCTGCTCATGCAAAAACACCATACTTAGTATACCCCAAAAGTTGTTTAACATGTAAAACTCAAGTACTGAATTGTTCTTCATACGTCATGTTTCCTATTTCCATTATGAGACCACAGCAAAAATGATACCATACAAAAGAAAGTAGATTTCAGATATGAGAGGCATGTACCAGTAGTAGCGCCCATCCAGTAGGCAAGAAGGCCAGCAAGCTAACAAAGATGTCACCAACAGTGAGACTAAGGAAACTAAAAAGCATCCCAAGAGTGACAACGAACCCAATAAACAGGAACAATTTGAGAAGTCTGAACTCAGCTGGAAATCTGCACTGAACCTTTTTCTACCCAAGGACACAACCTACAATTCAGAGGTTCACCACTCAGTAGAATAAATTTTTTGACATAAGATAATTTAACTTACAATCAGAAAGTACTCAAAGTTTGAAAACTAACCTTTAGGATGATCATGACAGCAACAATGACCAGCCACGACAGACCATAAACCTGGAATTTTAATTCTTCGTTAGAACCAAAAGAGAATAAATTAATTAATTAAAGGAGTTTGAGCAAAACTTCTGCATTTGAATGCTTTTCTTGAATCATCAAATTCCCAACGTAAAGACCTCCTAAGACATATTTAAGCAATATATGTAATCCCAAAATCATCTACGCCTAGGAAAAGCACACAAGACTACTCTTATTTTCTTTTCAAAGCTCTTTATCATCCTTATCCCAGCATTATGATCTCCTAGTACCTAAGGACCTTCCATATTAGCCCTGTTCTATAATCACATGATTTCCTTTTCTTTTCTTTTTTTCGTCTTTATCATCACATGATTTCCTTTCTTAAAGCTTTATACATCCATTGCAGCAGCATCTAGGCCCAAATCAGTTCTTTTGACACTTCCATTAGTTACAAGGAAAACATCTAGATTTCAGTTCAGAACAAAGGATATAGCATGCAGACAAGAAGTTCTGAATGGCTGGTGAGCTTGAAAGAATTTGGAATTTGTTGCATCTAAGATAGACAAAGAAGCAAACACGGAAGTTAAAAAGAAAAGTAATAATGTTTACCATGATGCTTTTATCACGCCTGGCCACATTAGATGGTACCAATTCCATATTGGAAGAGAAAGAAGCGCAAAGCAAGAACAATCTCCCAAAACGTCCCAAAAACCCAGTGTACTGCAGGTGCTCCTGTTCCTCATCCCACCAGGACTCCCAGCTCTTGGTTGCTGGCACACCCCATACCACCATGACTACTTATCCATTTTGACCAATCATCCCAATCTTCCACTATCTTTTGCCATTCAAATCCGGAAGGGTTAAACAGGAAGGGAGCAAACAGCCATGAAGCCACTAAGAACCACATGGAGAATGTGACGAAGAGATATGATAATGAACCAGTCGCTGCTGAACCATAAATCTGATAAACTATAAGAAGTACCATAAGTTCGAGGCCTTTCACAAAGTGACTCCTTGAGTACATCCTGTATTCTCAGCAAACTTTTCATGCCGGACAACAAAGCCACGGCCAGTTGCTCTGTATTTAGCCCCGCCGTGCAGGACTGTTCGCCCATATAATGAACCTTTGTACCAGAGAAAAGGTGAAGAAAACAGATGCTAGTTGCAGTTGCATAATATCATGTCCCCTATTGCTGTTCTGAACCCTCTTTCTAGTCCAATTTCCATGATCATGGGCAAGGAAGTCAAAAGACCTAATTGGACAACAGATTGCGAAGCCATGGCTGATTGCAGAACATTATTTCCCCTGGTGGCAGCATAATTAACATTGTCTTCTCCATTCCACTCAATGACAAGTAAGTCTTCCGTATAAGAAAGCATAGACCGTAAGGACAACCAACTGCATAACAAGAAACGCTCATGTTAGTAAGAAAAAGCAATAGAACAGAAATGAAAGTGAATCCTCAGTTGTTCCATTACCCTAAGAACTGTGTTTTCCATATTGGATTCACACCAAGATAGTTTTTATTGGAAACGTGATGGATGAGTGAGGAAGAGTGGTTTGGGAGATATAATAAAGGATAATGTAGGACAGTATAGCATAACTTTTGGAAAAAATTGGGATAGTTTCCATATTTCTTTATGAGGTACAACTGAACCACACTGCCACAAACAGTGGATCTGTACAGATCAACCACCTACTATTTATGTTATGTAGCCATTGATACTGAATGCTCCACAACATGGACGCTAATTACTTGTCTTCATCAAGTAAAAGAGATTAGGAAAGTGGTATATTATCAATGGTAACTGTAGAGGCAAGGAGATGCCATAAAACAAGTATATAATTATGGCTTCCCCACATTTGCTAACACAACAGGCTCTAATACATAGAAGCATGAAAAGTTCATGGTAATTTATTTACTCCGGTTCATTAATTTGAATGAATCAACTTAAGTCCAGTTCACCAAAACTATTTCTAAACATATTCGAGGATGATTTCACTGGAGAATAAAAAATAAAAAAATGCAGTAATATTCTAAGACTAAAAAGAAACAAAAGGTGAAAATGAAAAAGCAAGGATTACCATTGCGCTGACATAAAATCCTATTGTCGAAAAATAAAAGGACATCATTCGAAAGAAGTCAAACGGTGCCCTAAGCGGTAGATATCCCTGCTAAGTGTCTGCTCTCCATTACCACAAGCAACTTTAGCTTCAAGAGAGAGATTTGGTTGAGCCCAACATCTCTACCCTTCCCAACTTGGATATACTCATGGTGAGTAACATTCCCTCGCCTTAACGTTGAGTTAAAGCCTACACAGGAAAAACTCATATCATAAAGCATGCATGGAAGATGTGCGTGTGTGCAGGCACACATTTATGCATGCTTGTGCATGTGTGTTGTATTCAAGAAGGTTACCAGCAAAGATGTCCTCGCTCAGATTGATGCCACGGGAAGCCTTGCTCATGCCACCACGAGTAATGTGGAAGATTCTATCAAAGACATCAGGGTGTCCATAGTGGAACCGAATCCTAAACCAACAAATAGTTCATATATATCAGATGAATTTCATTTCACAACATCCAGAGAAATGAGTAATAGTTCCCATTTCGTCCAGAACTGATGCCCAAATACTCAACATGGTCAAAGAAAAAGAAAAGAGTGACCTGAAGATGGAAAAGAAAAGGGGACTGGAGAAGAAGGGTAACATGAGAGAGGATAGATAGTTCACTGTTTAATAACCCTACATAATTCAGATCACCATCTGCTACTTATATCAACAGACAGAAACACACCTCCAAACTATGGCAACATTCATCTGCTAATGTAGTCTCATCTGAAATGCTTATGGACAACACATACTACTACTCTATTTTAAAATTCATTTAGATGTTTCTAAACAATTGCCTTGGATTACTTAGTTAAATAATGAAGAGAAAACTTACTTCAAAGGTCTTGCAAGAACTCTTTGACCTATGGTCACAAAGCTCATTTCTTGATTTGACATAAACCAGGCCAATGAAGAAACACTGCAGTTCACAAGTAGAAATCAAATTTATTATGAGTACAAGATATAAATGTAACAATACAATGTATAGCTGGTAATAATTAAAAGTAACAAACCTTCCAGTAAAGATATGCTCACGAACACCTAAAATTGAAGGTGGACGCACTCCATGGTCCTCATTAAATTCTTCAAGAAGGTTCCGCATTTTAAAAGCTTCTTCTAAGTAATTGTCCTACAAGAAATTGTAAAAGTCAAACATTTCAGTTGGCATGAAAATCTAAAGAGAAACAATCATAATTTCAGATTCAATATATTTCACCTGGTTCATGTCAATGGCCTGAAGAGCTTCTCCTCGAGTAAAAATTACAGCATGGTTCTGGTTTTCAGGTTTCCCTTCCCCAATCTTTGCCGAACCCGGCAATTTTATACGATATATTTCCTTTGGAGAATTAAGACAATAATCAGTGTTTTAGGTACAAGCAAGCAACATAGTGGTTCTGTTATGAGGTCAAAGGATTACCTGGTCATGATTGTCAACAGCTTTAACCAACACAGAATAGTAAACCTTTTGGACCTTTCCACCACTCTCTCTCTCTTCAACTTCATCAATATATGCAACCCGAAGAGAGGGATTACTGTAGGAGAACGACGAATAAGAATCTTCAAGAATAATGAGCTCAGAAACACTAACTTCAGGGAATCAAATTGCAAAATATTCTGAATTATCAGGCAGAAAACATACTTAACCATCAGATTCAAGATGTCTGTTGCACGTCGATCTCCGCTTCTTTCTGATTGCCATAGTTTTGGCAGGTAGCAACATAGGTGAATTAAGGTCAGCCACTGCTTCTAATTGAGCATAAAGGGATCTCTGGCTTTTCCTTTCTTCCTCTGATGGAACCGTGATGGCTTTGTAGCCATCCAGTATCTCTGCTTATAACTAAAAATGATCAGATACCAACACATTTACCTCCAAAGTAACAGCTTCACTAGACTGCTTACAATGAAAAGACTGAAAAAAATTTGAAATGGAACATAATATGCACACCAAAATCCATACATGACAAGAGAAAACCAAACAAATGCCCCCAGAAAATAATATGGCTTTGTAGCCATCTAGTATCTTTGCATACTTAAGTAAGGCAGAGATCTTAGGCATGATGATGGCACTAGATTTTATATGCGTTAAATTCTTCTTTCTTTTTTCTATTGACTAGTTGAACATTATGGGAGAAACAGATACCATGCTCTTAGTCTTACCGTTTTCAGTAGCCATGTCAAGAAAGCCTGAAGCTTCAGAGCTCGTCGGTAATACATCATTCCTCTGACTGCAACACCAAAACAAATTAGTACCAGAAATAAAACTTCATAGAGAAGATGATGATGGATCAAATACCTGTCCTGCAGAGAGTTTGTCCTCGTAAGGAGACCCAATGACGAAGCTGCAAAATATTTTCTTCATTTTCCCATATTTCACTATCCTTTTTACAATTAAGTCGCTCCATGAAGTTATTCCATTCATCTAGAAAAGTCACAAAATGACAGTTGCATCATTTACACAATGACTTCAAAGGATTCAAGCATACTAAAGACAGTTTTACTAACCTGGGAATATCTTCTGTAAGTAATATATGATTGATACACCATCTTCATTTTCCATCTCAAGGTCAGTTTTGGAATATACAGTCTCCTCACTATAGTATGGGGTCATGATGCTGTCAATGGAAACAATGTAATATAATGATTATGTGATGGAGAAGACATGTGAAAGCTCAAAAGCTTGGCCTGTTTTAAGGATATTGACCCATCGAAAAACCTAAAAGGTTTCATGTCTTAAATGATATATATAAATAAATAAATAAAAGTTACAGTAACACCCACCAAAAAAAAAAAAAAAAAAAAAAAAAAAAAAACTGATTAAAGATTAGAAGGAGCAACCAATCACAAAATCTTTCAGTCTGAAATCCTCAGTTGATTGGAAATCAATGCTAACTAAAGAAAAGGGGCAAGAGCACCTTTTGAACAAGCTTTTATGGCGGGAGGTTTTTTTCGTATCAAGAGTGTGTTGGGGGGGCCAGGGAAGGCGGATTGGATCGAGAGGCGATGCCTATGCCTCTTTATCTTTGGCCATTTTGTAATTCTTGATGTTTTTTAATGTTCCAATATTTTAAGGGTGGACATATTCAAAGATCTACCATATCGAATGATTTAAATTCAAGTGAGCAAAATAAGAATCAAACAATTCGGTTTAAGGAAGAATTGACCTATAAACAAACCTGAATGAAAGCATTTTACGGACTCGGGGAGCACGTGGCATATCCATGAACAGTGAATTTGTAAAAAATGCAATCCTTCTACGCGCTTCAAGGTTTGTTGGTACGTCAATGGCAGATTCCTTAACCGTTAGTAGCAGATAGAGGCGTCTTATCTAAAATGATAATCAGCCAAAAAAAGTGTCATCTTTCATAGAATTAGCTAGCATAGGATTATTTCTGAAAAATAAATGACTTAAATTATTTTGAGTTGTTCTAAATATGCGTACCTGTTCTTCCCACTGTGCTGTAACTGGAGGAGGGAACACTATTGCCGGTTTTGCATCCGTGCCAGCAAAGAGTTGCCTTCCAGAGTCCTTGCTACTATGACCAACTTCAACCAACTCTCTACAAAATATTACACGAGAAAATGCAATCACTGTTAAGATTTATAGTGGAAGCATTCAAGCATTAGGATTATCCAACTAACAAATTAAATATTTTACTCCAAAGTTAATGTTACTAAAGTTTACCAACCGGATCTCATTCACCATCATATCACGAGTGACTACCTCCAGCATATCTTGAAGCAACAACACCACTGAAGATAGCTTGGATGAATCAGCGTCTTTCTGCAACATGAAAGAAAGTTGTAAGTTTCTATTAACATAACGGCCAAGAAAAGCGCAGACTTGAGATTTAATATTTCTTTCGTTTATGACTCACCAAGATCCCCACAAGCTCTACAAATTTCTTGCAGAGAGTGGGCAAAGAACCCATTCTAAAATTTACAAGAAATGTATTCTTTGAAATGTTACTTTCAATTTCCTTAACGATGATGCCAATTATCCTGTGAAATAATAACCCAATCAGAAATTTTATCAATGATCAAAGTAAGACGAATTTAAAATTGTTCTTGAATAATCTACACTGACTCAACAAAATAAATTGAACGCAACCTTCAAGTGGTAGTCATACATCATATTATGAGAACCCCAATTTATAGCATTCAAAAATCACGAACTGAATCACAATTTATAGGATTCAAAAATCACAAACTGAATCACTGTCAAGAGAGTCAACCCCGTAAAAGATTTTTATCTAATAACACAAAGAATCCAGCACTAAATAACTGGCAAAAAATGACAACAAAAGTGGAACCAAAAAACATTAACTATAGAGGACACAACTGAATTAACCACAAATCATCCATGAGAGAGGGGGATGGGACCAAAGATGAAAGATGGGAAGATTTTAGCAAAAACTAAAGGCTCTAAATACTGTTTGCATGAAATTATACAGGTCTGAAAATCATTTATCAATGTTTGGGAATTATAACTTGAACACAAATATTTAACTAATGAAAAACAATGTAGCAGTAACAACCTTTTCTCATTTTCTCCAACTACCAGAGCACCAAGGACATGTTTGAAAGATTCATAGCATTCAATCACAGCACATTTCATATATTCATCCGCACATATCCGCTTCCAGAGATCGGAGTCCTTGGATTTAAATTGTACTGCCATATCTAATGCTACTGGGATCTGTAAAGGTAGACAAGTCAACAATAAAACCTAGCAACTAAAACAAAGGTTTCAAAGGGATTGTCCTTACTTTGCTAGCAAGCAAGAAGGGTGGCCACTGAATTATCTTCAGGCTGGGATCTGATGAATAAGGAACCAGCAGCAAATCCATTTCCCTGAAGTAAAAGAAACCCAATTTAGTTTTACCTCATGATGAATAAGAGGCTGAAGAAATGAACAATATAACTATGTTGGGGAGCATTTCCTGTCGCAAATGATATCTTCCTCACGAAAGCTACATATCACTTCATTCCACAACTGAGCAAACTTTGCAGCTTCACTTCTCCTGCTTGCTGTAATCTACAGGCATGAAATCACCAATGCTAACTATCAATTTGCTCATTTCAGGGTGTGCTAATTATAAACTGCTTAAAGGTCATATTCAAATATGAAAGTTGTAAAAACATTAATCAACCTCCACAAAACGCTTTGAGAAAGAGAACCCCCCTTTTGGCTGACTTATCCGAAGGCACTAGATATGTGTTGAATGCACCGGGCAGAGACTGGAACCGTGATCTTAGCATACCTAGGGTTCGAATCTGTAAAAGGCAAAAAATGTATGAATACCAAACAGAGACAAATTAAAGATGAGGCATATAAAGACTACTTTTCAATTAGAATAATACACCATGATGATAGTCACGTTCTTGATAGCAAATACGTATGAACAAAGCCTTCAATAACATGGACTACATGATTGGCTTAAACAACATAAATATATGCAGATAAGTATGCAATTTATTTGGCTTAGGATATGATCCATCTTAATTGCTCTCAACCAAGTCTGAGAAATTGATATGGGAACAACACCAATATTGAAAATTTGTAACCAGAAAAAATTTCTTATTGAGATTTTAAATCTTAGGGTCAATTCTCAAAGCCAGAAATCCAAATACAGAAGCATGCACAAGATATCGTGTTCAGTAATAAAGAATGACAAAGAGCAGATGTCAGACAGTTTTTATCTTCCCGGATGTATAATTTCATGAATGCACAATATGACACAAGGTAACAAATAATTTCAGAGGAGGGAAAAATAGTGAGAGAGAGAGAGAGAGAGCAGAAGGATCACCTCTCCCAGGCGATCAAATGCTCCAACAACACCACCATATATAGTCTGAAAGATAGCATACCATATTTGAGTGTCCAACAAATAAACCTGCATTGAATTTGTGAAATAGTTTGAGATGGTTTATTGAAGAAATGTGACAAAATTACATACTGACAAACTCAGAAGACTAGCAAGATTATTCAAACATGGGGAAGATACACATAACACAGACCAAGATTACTGGTGCCCAGAGTGACACAACCGCTCCATAGTTGTTTTGAGCTGCATCAATAAAAGATTAGCATAAAACTGCAAGTAGAAAATCATGCAGAGACTGAAGCAATTAAAAATGATTACCGTTAGGGAAAAATTCATGCCATTCATACTCTATGCGACGAATGTTCATAATATCTCTCGTTGGCTTCACCAGAGGTTTTATCTGCAGGAAAGACAGACAGCAAATTAAGAACGCAATAAGTGATCATTATATAATTCATTAAGAAAAATCTAAAAAATCATAAAAATTGTAAATACCATCTCACCTGGATAAGATAGCTTACTGTAAACTTGCAACCCAAAAGCAGCACCCAAAAAAGGGTATACCTGAAAATTGCATAGGAAATCAGAACGCAAATCTCAAACAATCAACCCAAAAGAAAAACGGAAAGTACATATAGTTGGGATGAAATTCGGTGCACGTTCCTCATCAAACTCACTTTATAAGGGAAATTGACTTTCATGCATTCCCCTCCCAACATAGATTCTTGGCTGCAGAAAATAAAGATTAATCAATACCATTTTTTACAGTTTAGTTGGGAAATGATTAATTTTTTTATGCAAAAGGAATATAAGGATTTAGTTTGGATTCAAATATATTAAAAAAAACAAAGAAATTTCTCTGACTTTCATACAAGAGTTTTTTTTCACAGAAAAAAAAATCGCATAAAAAGGTGCTTTGAAAATAATATCAAGTAAATTCTTTAAGTACACTAAGTAACTAATGTCAACAGTAAGGGAAGCTAACTTAATGACTCCAAATAGATTACACCAAGTAAGTAGACTGTGCAAGTACCAGGAAAAACTTATTATGAACTCCAAGCTCTTGGTTTCATACTAGGTTTAATCATATGGCAAACTATGACGAGAAAAGAGGATTTTGGATACTGCACAGTATTTTCGTCTCATGCATTCGGATGATCTAGCCATTCGCCAGCATCAATCACAAGATTATACCATAACAGACTGTCATCCACTAAGTCAACCCCAAGTACAATATAGCAGAAGTCATGCAAGAAAATTCAGGAAAGAAAATATCAAGTTAACAGAAATACCTGTGACCACCACAATAGGAACCTAATGATGTGCCAGTCTGAGTTTTCAATCCAACGCCGGAGCAGCGGGAACAGGAACAAAACTGCTGCGAGTAAATTTGGCAGCAAATATACTGCAACAGCCATGATATACAAAGCAGGAACACCATCTATTTTTTTAAGGAACGAAAGTGCATCTATAATTTGTTTAGGGGCATCCTTGAAGGAATGCACATAAAACAAAGGAAGAATGACTGCCCATGCAAGACTAACAATTATCTTGAGAATATTTCTCAGCACATCAATGAACCTCCACCTATGATATCCCGGGAAGTTCAAAACAATATCCAAAATACCTACATCAAAATGAAAAGTAGATATGAAAAAATTGATAAAAACCTTACTTGAGTACAAATTTCCATTTCCATATGAACTCAGAAGAAAAACAAGCTTAAGAGAATGCACATGGAACAGTGGAAGAATGAGTGAAAAACTCAAAAGAAGGTAGGCAAGGAAGTACAAAGGAACAGCCATTAGCAACATCCAATGTGGACAATGCTTTCTACAACACAAGGGATAGAAAACTTTTCAGCTTAGGACAATTCTTTAGATACTAGTCTATAACTAGTAATCAACAAGATTAAAATTTCAATTCACTTCCTCTTTTACCCTCCTTTTCTATGAGGCTAAAATACACCTAGTCTCCTTCCCATGTTTCGCATCTCAAATATTCTCTCTCTCAATGGAAAATTTCATATTTCTTTCAAATCACTTTTTCTATATGAAACAAAAATTCATTAAAATGAGAGAAAAACTACAAGACAATGGACTAGAGAACTCTTAAACAGCTGGAGATAGTTGCCCTTCATAGGGCTCACTAACTTCAATTGCCTCTATGGGAGGCTCGCTCCAGGCCAACAACCTTAAAAACAACAGATAACCAGCAAAGAAGCAAAAGACACTAAAAATAGCTGCATTCCAATTTGTAAAAATTCCAAAGAAATAAGTATCCCTAAACTCAGAAGAGATTGAAGCCCATAGAAATGCCCAAAAGAGAACCCTCTCCCACAAATAATCAATCTCCTCACCCCTCATATTGTCAAATATCTTTGTATTCCTCTCCACCCAATTGTCCCAAAAACAGCCATCACTCTGCATCATCCCAGAACCATAACCTTTTTCCTCAAACCAAAGAACTTATGCCTCTCGCAAAATAGACCAACACAGATTGGTCTCCCTGAACAGCTTTATCCAGAGGGATAAGGCAGCCAGACAGTGCAGGAAAAAATGGTGCATACTCTCGATTCCATCTTTGTACATCACAGACCATTGAGGAAGGAGACAAAGAGAAGGTCTTGTCCTCTGAACTACATCACAGACTCATGGGGTCTTCTCCCATGAGCAATAATCCAAGCTAGCAACCAAACCTCTAGAGGTATTTCAACCTCCAAATTGCATATGACAAGATGAAAGGAGAAAGAGAAGGGCTATCCATCAAATAGGGAATACAAGAAAGGCCCCTGATGACTCCATATATTATACAGGCAATCATAGTGAACAGGGGGGACTCCCCTGTTTGACCTCAAAACGTATATGTAAACCATATTACCTAACCCACAGCACTTATTTGACCTCGAAACTTCTGGTTTTGAATATTTATGAGGAGTTTCCCAGAAAACAAAGTGTTTAGAGACCAGGTGAGCAGAATCCCCCTTCGATATGGACAAAATTCAAAAAGATTTCACTGGAAACATGTCTACACTCAATTCTATGTGTAACCATATTTTTGTAAGAGCTAAACTATTATATCAATCAGCCAGAAAACTAGAGAATGCAAGAACATAAAACCCTTCTAGTATCATCCAAAAATTTAAACGAATTTTGATCTTTACATCTTCATTTATATAGTTAATGAAAGGCCATTTCTCATAACTTTCTTTTTCTTTTCGTGCCCAAAATCATACAAAGAATAAAGCTTCACAAAGTATGGTGAAACTTCTCAGAAATTAATTATTGCCTTGGGCACATAATAGCTCTTGTAGTGTACGGACATAGATAGAATCGGATTACCAATTAGAAGTACTATTTGTAAAGTAATACATATTTGAGAATTCAAGTTTCAAGTAAGAATGCCATACTTTGAAGGACACGAAGAAATGCCGCTGTGATGAAAATACTTGATAGGTCTCTTAGGACATCCTTTTGAAAAATATCCAATGGTGAAATCCCTCTAAACGCAATAATGAACATGGCCTGTTTTCCAGTTCCAAATTATATATTATTGAAACAGGCAGTCATAGTTAACAGGGGACAAATGGTGTCCCATTTAGAATTTCTATTCTGTTGTAAATACCTGTAGAGCCAGTATATAAAAGGTCCAAAATCGATCAAAACTTCGAAAAATGTGCCAAAATGTCCGAGTTTCAATAAAATAAGATTTTCCTGTGCTTCCAGATTTTCCTCTAGAGCCCTTTCTTCCCTGGAACGAGATTTCTGTTATGCAAGAACCAGAAAACTAACAAAAGAAAAGTAGCGGCAATGGCTCGGAATGTAAGAGTACCTGTGCCAAGTCACGCGTTGATTTAAAAAAATCACCATCATCACGCATGGGCCAACCAAGAGAGAAGCAATCAGATGACCTGAAAATATGTAAATTTAAATCAGAATCATCTTAATTATTCAACAGAAATAAGAGGCCCTAAATAAATAAATAAAATCCCAGTCTTATACACAAACCAGAAATATTCATTAAGATCGTCATAGTTGCACCAAACTGGGTGAGGAGCTTTTCCATTGTCACTCTTCTTGGCTTCCTGGAAAATCATTAAAAACACCGTCATGTGTATAGCATGAAGGCCCGAAACTTGATAACACCCACATGCTTATCAGGCAACGTACCTTCTCAATTACACGATATAGAGGGGTTATAACTTTCCGCAAAAAAGCCTCATCATCCCCGCCATAAGAAGGCTTTATATTTTCCCCAGTAACGATGCTTACATTTCCAGCCAATAGGCCATGGAGTTCATATGCCATCTGAATGTATAGTAGGCGTCATTGTGTAAAATATCAACACATAATTTCCATAAGAAGTCAAAAAATAGATTAACCAACAAGGAATCCCACAAATATTACATTATGAAAAATATAGCATAGACATTCTGGCATAAAGCGAACATTCCCTGCTTCACCCCAGATGAGAAGATACAAACCCATGTATAGTATCTTCCTCTGCTGTATTTCTTGCTGACCTTGGGGTAGCCTACATTGAACAAGATTTTGTACATTTCAGGAATACATAATGCAAAACAAACATAAGATCCAAAAAGTAAAGCATAAAGCAAAAATAAAAATTTGAAACACACACCAATTAAAATTGATGCAGATACTGTCATACCTTAAACTATGTTTTCGTCCCAAAAATTTACACCACGTTTTGTAGTTCTTAAAAAGTTTTCCCATAACTGCATCAACAGCTCGATCATCAAGCTGCATAAAATAGATGAGCTTAATTAAAGGCCAGGAAGAGTTGAAAAGCATGCAAAGGGAAAATGTTTCGTAAAAAGGGAGTGCTCTGAACTCAGTAGAGAAAAGGATTTCGACATTCAAGTTAGCAAGAGGATTTAGAGAAAGGAATTCAAAAGATCACAAGGAAAGATTATACTGGACCACATGCAACGGCATGAGCATAACAAATTCTGTCATGCATCTACATAATTGATGCGGTTACTATCAACATATTAGATAAATCATAAAAGTAAAACTGCTGCAATGAAAATTTAAATCGAGATAACCAGACATGCCTTGTTAAGAGGTTCAGGTTTGGGATGAAGCCTTATATGAGTATTCGCAAGTAGCAATATCAAATGCTCCCTCTGGTTCCTGACATTGTCTTTCTGTAACCACCAATATAGACCACTGTGTTAATCATTATTTCACAGTCAAAGATTGAATCTTAACCAATAAAATAGCTCATTGTTATACATGCCTGGAATCCAAACATGGCCCTTAGCCAATCAAGGAGATCCAGATCACCAGCTTTCTGCCTGCTCTCGAATGCACTAGGCCAGTTCAAACCACGAGTATTCCAAAGTGCACCCACTGCAGCCTTAACCTTTAACAAGTAAAAAAGAAAAAAAATTCAATATAATCCAGACCATGCACTGATAAGAATATAAGACGTCAAAGTATATCACCAATAAAAGAACGAAATACCTCTTCAAGCTGCATGACAGACTGTGTAGCACCAGCAGAATCCAAAGGAAGAATGTTATATGGAGCGTAAATTTCCGTCTTTTCTTGGACATCTCTAGCAGCCGCAATAATCTGCTCACAGCATTGAAATACTTTTGCAAATTAAATTATGGCCAAAGATGATATATGCAATGAATGCCTAATTCAGGTACAGGACATATATGTAATTGAAATTCTGATCTATAATAGAACAGCTAAATAAAATAATAATGGAACTAACCTCGGGAGCAACTTCCTCCACTTTCTCAGTCTTGTTAACAGCGCAAAGCACTTCAAAAAGCACTCCTGCCGTCTGGTAGGCTTTGCCCAGTTGGGCTCTGTTCAGAATTTGGAATAAAAGTTCCAATTCAGTATACAATTAATACAAGGTACTATGAAAACACTAGTATTTCAAAATTTAACAGAAAAGAAAAGAATCATAGTAATACTAATAATAATAATAATAATAATGAGGGAGAGGAAATGCAGAAAGATACCTATCTGCCTGCTCCCCCTGGTCGAGAGATCGAACATATTGCTCATAATACTGCTGATAGAAGCTTTCAATTTCTCTGGCATCTGTCTTCTTAACCCGAGAAGCAAGACTGGACGCATTGTCCTGACTCAAACAAATTTTACATCAGCTTCAATGCCAAATATAATACAACAGGTTAGACAAATTTCAGAGCTTCATTTTCTATTGGGAACTGAGAATGACAAGGCACTGATCAAAGCAAAGAAGAGAGTGTTATTCAACATGAAGCCAGCAGTCCTCTGCCCTCTCATTAAAATCCAATTTACCACCCCATTTGAACTCATCCCTTGGCAATCATCACCCACAGAATGGAGAAATAAGAAATCCAGTAATGGAACTTGTAAACAAGTTCAAATGCATACGAGTTACGAAAGAATTAGTGAAATTTGAAGAAACGTGGTATATGAAACAGCTACCAATTTCTCTTCTCTGGTTCTGGATATTGACTGGGTAACAGGTTAGGGTAAATTTGGGGAAGGCAAGACTCAGAAAGGTAAAATCTTCGGACACAGTTAATTTCATAATTAACCACCTGGCTAATTAATTAATTAATGATAGGAGTTTTAAAATAAGAGGGGCCCGGTCTCAAAAACAAAAACAAAAAAAGGGACGGCGGGCCCAAGCCATAGCAATTAAATCAAACAGCGTCCAAGCATTGTGGCATGAACCTGAGCACATTAGATTACGACTCTCCTTCATCACCTTTCAATTTCAGTTTATACGGTATATTTCTCTGCTCGTTCATCGAAACATCTTCCCGCCACAGGTGATAAATCAATAATTAAAAATTAATTAATGATCCAATAATTCCAAAATGAAAAATGAGATTTGTATTAATTTTATTATATGAAAAAAACCAGAAAAAAAAAAGAAAAAAAAAGAGAGAAATTAGGCATAGGGGCTTACCCTCTCCAGTCGTTGGAGCAGCAAGGTCTTGAACTGCCTGACACCACGGCCGCTGGAGCTGGGATCCAATCGGTGTGCCTTCTCAAAAGCATAGAACCGACCTTAACATTTTCACAAACACATTGCATTCATGATTCATTCAAACGGACCGTTATTAAGAATTTATTATTTAATTAATATCAACTCAAAATTTTGAGAAAATCAATTAATTATTAAGAAATTAGTTATTGAATGTTATTGATTGATTTGTAGATGAGAGAGACGTACAGAGATAGGCGACGCGAGGACGCTCTCTGTCGATCTCGTTGGCGACGCGGAGAATGGGAGCGATGGAGGCGAGGGCGGATGGGACGACCTCATTGTCGAAGACCTCCGTAGAGAAGGTGGTGGTGGCGGCGCTCCTTGACGGCCTTCTCGTCAGCCCCTGCGGGCCTGGCGGATCCAAGTTGGACATGAATCAATTAATCTCTTTCGCCTCTGTTTCTCTTTCTTCTGATCTTCTCTCTGTACTGGTTTTGTTTGAGTTTTGGAAGACGACGACGACGTATAGTGCGCTACACTCGGCTATTGCCCTAGCTAGCCATGTAGCCACCTCCCTACACCAAACCAACGCATTCCAAGAAGGAAACAATTAACTGCAATGCAGAGCTCTGTTTGGTTCCGAGAAAATAACAGAAGAAAAATTGAATTTTCCTTGCTAGCTTTGGTTGCTTAAAAACGAAATGAACAAATAGGAGAAAAAGAGGAGAAGGAAGAAGAAGCAGCTGAGCGATCAAGAACAAATTCTATATTTCTATGTAGCAATGTGTGGTTTGCGTACGGACAGTTTGCAGATACGGAGCGAGAGAGAGAGAGAGAGAGAGAGAGAGGCCAGCTGGGGTAGGAAAAAAGGTGACCGTACGGTTCTGTTAGGAGAATAACACGTGGCGGAATACGAGAGGACATGGAGTGGTGTGGCTATAATTTTTTTTTCTTTTTTCTTTATTTTAATTTGTTATTATAAATATATGTAAAAAAATTTCTAAAGAAAGGGGATTGGACGGGCACCGTTTTCGGAGGGTTTTGGATGGTTAAATCTTTCCAACCTTTTTTTGTCTTTTTCTTTTTTAAGTTATTTAATTGAACGCTTCAGCTTCTCCATCTAGCCCCTGATTGGATCTCCGTTTTTTTTTCCTTGCTCCACAAACAAACTTCACTCAATCTCCAGCTGTAGCCAATTTTCAATGTACCCAAATTAGCATACCTAAATCCAAAGCCTTTGCACTGTTGCCACCTAAACTTGGCATTTGCATACCTAAATCCAAAGCCTAGCTAATTATTGTGTGCTTGTCACTATTAATTTGTTACTTCTTTACACTATGTTTACTTAATTTCCTTAATTCACTTAAAACCAATTATCAATGCCTACAAACCTACGTACATCCACCTAACCAATTTTTTACTCGGAGAGGGTTCAGTTTATCTTTCCATAACGGTAGAGTTTTAAAATTTTACCAACGGTTAAGACATTCACAACATGAGTTAGGTCAGTTGACTAGTTAAGATAAGTTTATAATTAATTTTTTATCATATAATTTGTTTCAAAGTAACAAATTGTTATTGTTTAAATAAAAAATAGAAGTTTAAAAATAAAAAAAATAAAAAACCACTCTCGAGGGAGGGGCTATTGAGAATGACAGACAAAGAGAGAATTATTATGAAAAGGGGGGAAGTTTTGATAAAGGAGCCTTTTAGCTCTTATGCTGAATTGTTGGTGTCTATAGCCCCGCCGTATAGAATGAACAAAGACAGGCATCAAGTCACTCTTATACTACTTCTTACTTCAACAACAACAAAAAACTCCATCTCCAAATAGAGACAGAGCAAGTAATAGAGAGAAAAATGGTGGGTGGTAAGGCGGCTTGGGTGGTGTTCGGTTCGTTAGGGTTAGCGGGCATAGGAGTGGAGACAGGAGTTGCCTTTCTAGTAGTCTTTTTTCTCAACCTTAAGGCATGCATCTAGTTTCAGATTTCATTTTTTAAAAACTGAAAACATGAAACTTATTCAGTAACCAATTTTTTTTAAATATTTTTTGGTAATTGGTTTTATTTTTCAGTTTTAATTTTATGTGAAACTTGAAAATATAATTTTTTTGGGAATCAAATTATGAATTTGAGGTCATAGAATAAAAGTTCATGTCACAAAGAGTTCGTAATATTTTTCAATGAATTTTTTGGAATTACAAAAAATTTTGGTGAATATTTTATCTGAAAGTTCCAATCATTGGACAAGGTATGCAGCCGAACGCAATAGTCAAGCAGATGGGTCCAAGTCTAGAGAACAAATACTGAATTTTTGTAACTAGAATGCAATGTATGGGTGGTGATTTAAAATTGGAGAATGATAAAGGAGGGCAAAAAAAAAGAAAAAGAACACTAAAAACACTTTCAAGTTTTTTATTATTTAAAATAAGGTAATTTTGAAATCAAAAAATGAAAAATGTTACCAACCATGTTTTCCAATTTTCAATTGTTTTTATTTATTTATTTTTTAAAGCGAAAATGAAATGGTTATCAAATTACCTTTAGATTTTGTGACTTTTTAATCTTTTGTTTTAGTGTTGCTATTTATACTCTCATGTCCTATTTCCCCACCCAACTTATCTTCAAAATTTTAAAGACAAATTTACCTTTTTTTGAGAAATGGATTTCATTCATAGAATTGAAATAGCGTACATAGAACGACATAATTTCGTGGCGTCGTTAAAATCTTCCAAGGGCCCCAGGGTAGGAAACAGTACTACACATGTCATGGACTAACAAGAGAGTTTGATACAGTCACGTTATACTAGTACAAAAGCAAAGCAAAACAACACTGACACAAACACCTTCGACGAAAACACTTCAACACAACCTAGCTGTCAAAAGAATCCTACTATGAAATCATAGTCCTTTGCACAACCACAAGATAGTGAGAGCATCTAATAGAGAACACACCAAAGCTCCAAAAAGAAAGAGAGAACCCACAAACCACACCAGCTCTATCCACATCCAATAACGAATGGCGCTGGAAATAAAGAAGTCTGCAGGGAGCAACATAAGAGAAGAGACAAAGTACAACGAACAAGCCAAGAAAAAGAAAAAAAAGTCCTCAAAGACACACTCTATCATCCCAACACTGACAAGGAAATCTCCTATAAATTCGTAGTCCTTAAGATAGGCGAACAGTCAAAGATGTGCTGAGAGGATAACTGAGAAAACACCATGCAACAATAACAAAACTGGCCTCAACCACTTAACCTAAAACCGAGTATCAGGCACAAAAAGCATTCGTATGATGCCAAGCCCACGAATGCTCCAATTACACACTAAGGAACGCTCCTAGGAGACCCCACTTGACTAGTTGAAGGGAATATTGTGGGAATGGTGTTGTGTAGAGAATTCTAAAAACTCTACAACCAAACTTTGAGAGTATAAATCACCTAGCAAGCCATATTTAATATGAAATCAAACTAAGAGCGGAAGCATTAAATAAACTAGGGATTCATGCAAGTCTCATTTGGTCCCAATCTTTATAAGTCTATGAAAGTGTGCACCAAAGACTCTTTAAATCCTATTTGAGAGAAAGTTAGAATGTTCATACCCTTGGAGCGAATCTTGAAACCAAGAATGTTGTTCAAGTAGAGGAGCACCTACACAATTTGGGCCTTATGTTCAGTATACTGAAGGATTACCGAATGATACTGAACCCAACGAATTGCGCCTTCGGTGTATCTTCAGGAAAGTTTCTCGGGTTCATGATCAGTCAGAGAGAGATCGACGCGAATCCCGACAAAATCAAGGCCATAATCAACATGAAGATGCTGAAGACACAAAAGGACATTCAGAGTCTTACCGGACGAGTCGCCGCCTTAACACGCTTCATTTCCAAGGCTACCGACAAGTGTGTATCATTCTTTAAAGCCTTGAAAGGGGGCAAACAGCATATCGCATGGACTGCCGAATGCCACTCCCAGGAGAGGTTATATTTCTTTATCTTTCGATATCTAGCATTGTCGTCAACTCGGTGTTGATACGCAAACTAGAGAAAGCAGAATTATCGATCTTCTACATCAGTAAGGCGTTGCAGAATGCGGAGATTCAGTACCCTCCTTGGAACAACTAGCTTTAGCTATCGTAGTCTCAGCTCGAAGGCTCCGCCCATGCTTCCAAGCGCACGAAATCACAGTTTTAACCAACCAACCACTTCGGCAGGTACTCCAGAAGCCGGAAGCATCCGGCTGATTGATCAAATGGGCAATTGAGTTAGGAGAGTTCGACATACAGTTCAAGCCAAGACATCCAGAGAAAGGATAGGTCGTCGCTGACTTCATCTCCAAGCTTACACCTTCGGTAGCACCAGAGCTAGCCAATTCAAACGTTGATGCCGGGGAACCAGGCAAGCAAAACGCCGAACACTTCGACCCTTCCGTTCCCATATGGATTCTGCGCCTTGACGGCTAGGCAAATCAACAAGGTTGTGGAGTTGGACTGGTGTTAACTATTCCATACGAAGCCAAGGTTGAATATGCCCTCCGATCTAACTTTAGAACCTCCAACAACGAGGCGGAGTATAAAGCCCTTTTGGCCGACCTTCAGCTAGCCAAGAGCATGAGCGCAAAACAAATCAACATTCACAGTGACTCCCAACTCATAATGAATCAGATAACAGCAGACTTTGCAGCCAGGGATGCCTCCATGTCAACCTACCTATCAACTACACACCGACTTCTTCAAGCATTCCAGGCCTACGAGATTCGGCAGATCCCTAGGACGGAAAACAGTCATGTCGATGCGCTGGCATGACTAGCTTCGACCATCAATGACAAGGTTGGTAGAAAGGTGCCAGTGGGGATCCTATCCCAAGCAAGCACGGCAACTTCCGAAGTATATACCGTACGGTATGAGAACACGTGGATGTCTCCAGTCTACATTTACTTAACAAACGACACCCTACCCCATGACAAGTCTCAGGCACGGAAGCTGTGATACCGATCGGCAAGATTTGTAGTCATCAATGATATCCTCTACAGGCGCGACTATACTACTCTGTATCTGAAATGCATCACTGCCAACAAGGGGACTACGTCCTTCGGGAGATCCATGGTGGTGTATTTGGTGACCATTCGGGGTTCCGGTCGCTTGCACATAAGGCCTTTTGGCAAGGATATTATTGGCCGACTATGCACCAGGACGCAAATACCAACACTTCGACAACATACCTCACATTACTGTCGAGCCTTTAACACCGATCATAAGCCCATGGCCTTTCGCCCAATGGGGACTGGACTTGATTGGTCCAATGCCATAAGGGAAAGGCCAAGTCAAGTATGTTGTGGTTGCCGTGGACTACTTCACCAAATGGGTAGAGGACGAAGCCCTGACAACTATAACGACAGCCAAAATGGAGGACTTCGTATGGACTCACATCTGCTGCAGGTTCGGTTTCCCCTACGCAATCATCACAGATAACGGCAGGCAGTTTAACTCGGAACTCTTCCGACAGTTCTGTACTTGCCTCAAGGTCAATCAATTATTCGCCTCACCGGCTCACCCCCAATCAAACGGTCAAGTCGAAACAATAAACAAAATCATTAAGAAACTGCTGAAACGGCAGCTCAACAATGTCAAGGGTTCTTGGCCGGAGAAACTTCCATAAGCACTATGGGCCATTCGGACATCCTACCGAATGTCCACCGAAGAGACCCCATTTTCTCTCGCCTTCTTACTGAACGAAAAGCTTTGCCCCAAAGGCTAACGAGGAAGCACTAACGTTTAGCCTCGACTTGATCAAAGAACGCCGAGCGCAAGCCAACCTTCGGAATGAAACTTACAAACAACGCATCTCTCGGTATTACGACTCGAGGGTCAAACCCCGCTCTTTCCAAATTGGGGACTGAGTTATGCGAAAAGTGTCTCTAGCAACCAAGAACCCCACGGAAGGAACCCTCAGACCTTCTTGGGATGGACCTTACGAGATCATCGGTATACTTCGATCGGGAACTTATTGGCTAAGAGACTCTAACGGCAAGACCCTCGGTCATCCTTGGAACATCGAACATCTAAAATATTATTTCAAGTAGAGTTCCCTAGCAAAATTCAAAAATCCTTCCACACCTAACTCATATGCCTTCGATCTTCTACCCGCATGCATCCTTGACTTATCCATCTCACACACTATAAAATCATACATATAATAAACTGAAAAGACCAGCAATGAAACACTACTATATTGACAGAGAAGAGAACAAAGTGGGAAAAAAAAATCCACAAGAATCAGACGACGGTTTTTACAAAAAAATCATCGCGTAACATAGAGTAAGACGACAGCGTGTCTACTTACCGTCGTCTTTAAGCAACCTAACAAGATATTTGTTAGGGTTAGGGTCGACGGCGGTAGTAAATAAAAAGCTGACGTATAATAAAAGGGAGACTTTGGAAAAACACAAAGGAGAGAGAAATTTTGTAAAAGAAGCCAAAATGGACAAAATTGTCCTTATTTATTTTTGGATTTCCTAAGGAATCCTTTATATTTGTATGTCTTTGATTTGAAAGTTGAAAGGTTTTTTCTGTCTTTTTTGAAAAAGCTTTGGCTTTTTCCAAAAGTGAAAATTTTTTTTTGGCTAAAACCTAATTTTCCTTAATAAAAATTTAGACGATGGTTGGTCCCACCAATCGTCGTCGTGGTTTACAAAAAATCAAAGCCTAATACTTCCATCCCCATTCCTTTTAAAGAAAATGTCGTGGTATTAAAATAAAGAAATTATATATTAAATTTTACCTTCTTCTCCAATGCTAGGCCTGGATCATGAATTATATCTCTCATGAAACGCATCATGTAATAGCCACACTCTACATTTGTTGGTTGTCTAGGAGTGCCTTGTAGATTTTTCCATATGGGTGATTTACGTGATGATTGTTGGCCTGTGTGAGAGTTATACATTTTGATTGAACTGTTTCAAGAAAACAAAAAGTGTTAGTGACAAAACTAAAAATCAGCATAAAAATATTAACCGTCGTGGTATATAAGTGAAGACGACGGTTTTGTAAAACAAATGACGTCGTATTTTATTTCAAACGTCGGAAAATAAGAACTGTCGTTGTGTATCAGTCTAACATCGGTGACGAAGAAAAACAACGTATAACCAAAGTTTTTTTAAATGAAAGTTGAACAGAAAAAATTAAAACGTTCTAAAATGAAAAACACAAACGACGTGGTGTTTCAATGAAGACGATGGGTTCAAGAAAATACTGACGTTGTAAACCAATGTCGGTTATAATATACCGTCGTTGTGTTTTCACTACAACATCGGTATTTGAAAAAGCTGTCGTATCATTCAAATGCATAAATAAAAAATCTTAGTTTTTCATTAATAAACTTACGTATTCATTATATTTCACATGTCCTCGTCAACAGAGCGGTTTGGCAATGAATCCATGTAATAGATAGTCTCCTTAGCTGGTCTCACAATTATTAACACCCAATGACCCCTACACAAAATGATCCATATATTAAATATACTTCAAAAAAAATATATACAAGGGACCAATATTGCAAGTATATAGAAGGGGACTAACCCTGGATTATAAGGCACCAAGTAAAATTGATCCCCATCTGCGTTTTTCAGGCGTTCTGAGAGATGTTTTGAACGGTGAGATAACGTTCCAGATTGAGAGCTGACTTGTCCAGGGTCCACAAGGCCAACAAGATTTACCATATTTGCCATTTTAAAATAGTCAAATAGGTACCTAATTAAATATATGAAATTCAATTAAACGAGATTTTAATTTAAAAGAAAGGAAATGTAAAAAAAATAAAATTGGATTTCTAGAATTACCTCATGTATACTGCAATCACTGTGGATCCAATCTCAACCATGGAAGCAAACTGTAAAATGTCTTCACTCAAGAGCCAGGTATCATGATCTGTGCCAAACATTTCCTCTGGCATGTGAATTCTAATGGTCTCGTTAGAAGGCTTCAACTTGGTCTCGACATATTGGCATAGGGCTAACAGAGGAGCTGGCATGTCAAGCTTTGAGAGATCCTGTAACAAGAAATAAATAAAGAAACAAAAGTTAGTTTGTGCATGAAGTAAAATAAACGACTCCAATAAATCAACAAAACCGACGTGGTATATAATCTCAACGACGGTTTCTAGAACATACTACTGGGGTAAAGGTTATAGACGGCGGTAAATACATAACAGTGATTGTGTAAATGTTATAACGTCGCTACACAATAGAAAGGTCGTCTAGGTTAAAATAGAAGACGGGTTGTAAAATAAAACCCGACGTTCTATTTAAAATTTAAAAATCCGAAAAAATCAAATGTCAGAGATTTTACCATTTCATCTTAACGGTTTTCAGGAGCATCAGCATCAACATCATTCGTGGGATTGTCTTCATCCAATTCAAGGGCTCTCACATTAGAGCAGCTTGCTTTTTCAAACATTGGATTTTTTGGGCTTTGCTCTTGAGGAATTGGAAGAACTGGAGTAATTGGTGTAGTTGGAGTTTTACCGAGCAAGTTAGGATCAAAGTTGGGAATTAGTTTACTGAATTGTTTCAACAAAATTCCCCTCTCTGCTCTGACTGCCTCCATAACACTTTCCTTTTCCCTGGCCTCCATCTTTTTGGTTTCCTCTCTCACTGCTTCCATAACACTTTCCTTCAATTTGTCAGCAAATTTTACTCTCTGTTGTCTCGGCAAATTGAAGAATTGAGTTGGAGAAACCACAGCTCCAACACCTCTTACTCTCCCACCATGCTCAGATGTTCCCAAAGCCAAGGTCAAAACATCGTTGCTCCCAGAGACAGTCAGAATGCCCTCGGAGACTTGTTTTTTCAAATCATCCTAAAAGTGAGAGAGAGAATGTTAGTGAGTGAACAGATTGTAAAACTGATTAAATAAATAAATAAATAAAAATATTAATCGACGTGGTAAAGGGGTTAAGACGACGGTTTATTTAAAAAACAAACGCAGAAAATTATTTAATACGTCGGCCCAAAACTACCGTCGTGTTGTATACATTAAAACGTCGGTCCATGAAAACACCGTCGTTTATTTTACATTAGAGACAAAAAACACTTAACCAAAATATTCATTGATCCAGAAATAGTGTACAAACAAATTGCAAAGAAATAGAGAGGGAGAGAGAGTGTGTGTGCGTGTGAATATGAAGAAAGTTCAAAATTTAATTTAAAAAACCTAACACAGAAACACAAAACCGTCGTTGTAAATTACATACAGACGTCGGTTTTATAAAAATACTGACGTTATATATTTTTTAAAAGGTGGTAAATAAAAACCGTCGTGGGATTTCATGTCTAACGACAATTGCTAAAAAGATCGACGTCTAAATGAAAATTAAAACCTCTGTTTTACAAGTTTAGAACAGAGTCAGTGAGACTTACAATTAATTTTGCCTTCTCTGCAACCTTTGGATAAGGGATGTTTCCCTGTTTATCTTCTCTTGCCTTCTTCCATAGCAGAGATCGATCGATTTCTTCACCGGGCATGGTTTCTTCCAATTCATCCTCCAAACCAACGTACCCTTTTTGAGACAACCTATGGTTGTACTCGCATTTCTCCCTTCTCTGTGACTGCTCAGAATGCACAGCCTCAAAATCTAGGGATAACCTTGAACCTACAAAGGCATCCCATTGCAATTTCTCTATGAAGTTATAAAGCTGAGGGGGCTCTTTTAACTTCTCCTTCTCATTTGCGAATGGAAGGATAAACTGCCTAGTTAAGGTAGACTTAAAATCCTTTCATTTTTTGGCGGCAGACGACAACACCATCTTCTTGCCCTCTTCCCCAACAACATAAGCCATTTGAACAGCTTCCTAAATCTGCTCCTTCAGGTCCTTGGGCAATTGAGTCCATTTCTTGTCCACAAGAGGGACTCTGGTGCGTGCCAAAATACCAATATAACTTTGCATCTCAATAGCAGCCTTGCCATGTGGTCTGCTACTTTTATTATACTCAACCACAAGCTTAATCTTCTGAATTTTTCTCTTCACAACATGGCTCATTCTCTTGATACCGCAAGTCAATTTCGTCACTTCATCAAATGTCGCAGAGCTTGGGTCTTTCTCGGAGGATGAAGTAAATCTCATCTTCTTTGCGGGATTGCTTGGAACAGATTTGGATTCAACCATTTGTGCCTTTGAAATTTCAATGTCCTTGCCTTGACCTTTTGATGCTTGAGCCTCCTTACTTTGAGATTTCGATACCATGTTTAGAGAGAAATACAAACTACAAGAAAAACAACGACGGTTAGATACAATACAGATGTAAAATGAAAGCTCAAACGACAGCAACCAAACAGAACTGTCGCTCTAATCTATAGAAACGTGGATGTGCTAATATGATGTGGTCATTAACTTAACACGACGGTAATTAAATAAACCCATTGTTGTATTATAAGTTCATAAACAAAAAAAAACCGCCTAGTTTTCTCTCTCCCACGTACATTTCCACTCAAACGACGGTTTTTATCTTTCAAACGTTGTATTTATTAACACACCACGACAGTTATTATGAACAGTCATGCTATTGAAATAGCACGAATCTGATTACCATCGTGGTGTGTCAACAAAAACGTCAAATTCGAGAAAAACCGGTCGTCCTCACATGACCTGTGAGTGGGAACAATGAAAGATTTGGCCTTTTTAAACCTGAGTCTTGTTTCAAACATCAGTGGTACTCGTTCTTTAAAAAAAAAACTTCAAATGATATGGAAAGTGAAGAAAAAAAAACGAAGTGAGAAAATACCTCTGGCTTGCAAAGAAAGTTTTCTTCGTAATCAAATTTTGGAGACGAAGACGAGGAAGAACGTAAAAGAGATGGAAACTGAGAATCAGAAACGCAGCTTTTCGGAAATGAGAGGGAAACTGAGAGAAAATTGAAAATTTTAGAGACAATGTAAAAGTTTAGGTCAGGTGACTAAAAAGTTTATATAGTGTCCAAAGATAAATACAACGACGGTAATCATAAAAACCGCCCTAGTATGTACTTACCACGACATTAAAATAACATCAACCGACGTGGTTAGTAAAATAGCCTTTTGACTTTTTGTATTCTGAAAACGACATGGTTAGTTGGGCGCTACACGTCAAAAGTTTACTTTTGAAGAAGTATTATAATAAGTTACCACGTCGTTGTTTTATATGGAACCGACATTGTTTATCTAAACCTTGTTGCCTTTAGTTTAATGACCGACATTGTTTGTCTGTTTAATACGTCTTCCGTGTTTCAAGAACCGACGTCGATTCCTTTGTTAAACGGTGTTAGTTGTAATAGAACAGATGTGGATATGAATTTTTTTTTATAAATTGAGTTTTTTTTCACAAGTTCTTTCATTTTTAGTTTTCAATTAGGGTTCCAACTTCTTCTTGCCCATGGCTCTGTCTCACCTCTTAGGAGGCGATTGTTTGGATGTTGATGTGTGTGTATGTTTGTGTATCTGAAAGACACAAACATACATACATCACCAACGTCCAAAAAATTGTCTCTCTGAATGCAAATCTGTTTATGCCGTTGCCAAATTTTAGAGGCAATATTTGGATGTTGATGTGTGTGTGCGTTTGTGTATCTGAAAGACACAAACACACACACATCATCAACTTCCAAAAAATTGTCTATCTGAATGCAAATCTGTGGCTGCCGTCGTCAAATCTTAAAGGCAATTTTTTGGATGTTGATATGTATGTGCCTTCATGTATCTCAAATACACAAAGACACACACATCATCAACGTCTAAAATATTTTCTTTATGTGGTTCGATTATGATGAGGAACAGAGTTCCATATGGTAAGATTTCATAACTCTTGGGATCTCAGAAAAATCTTATTATGTCGGTAGTTTTCTATATAAACCGTCATGGTTATTCTCAATTCTTGTCATTAAATTGTTTTGCCGTTGTAGGATACCAAATAAATAGTAAAAAAATAAGGAAAATGCTAGGTTTACCACATTTTTCATACCACAATTGTACCACCTCTCTAATAGAGGTGGGTCCCATTGTATTGGTGGGCTCCACCTCTATTAGAGAGGTGGTACAATTATGGTATGAAAAATGTGGTAAGCCTAGCATTACTCAAAAAATAATATTATTAAGACGACGGTTTAGATGTAAGGTTAGACATATAGAGTGAATAAATACGACGGTAATTTTAACTTCACGACGTGGTAAATTCTATTATACGGTGTTAATTGAACAAATCAACGTGGTTAGAGTTAAAGATACCGTTGTAGTACGCTACAAGAAATAAGTAGATAAATTTATCTTTACCGTCGTTGTACATTTATTTAATACGGCGGTATTTTTTAATATACCGCCGTGGATTCTTTTGAAATTATACGACGCCGGATACGAAAACTTGGTCGTGTTTATTACGGAGTAAAAACGACGACTGTTTCTTTAAACCGTCATCTTTACTTTCTACGTCAGTTGATTCATACCTTATGTCGTTATTTTTGGGTTCAGAGTTTACTATGAGAAAAACCTTTTTCAATAAGACGTCACTTTTTTAATTAGGTGTGTTGTTTTTTAAAAACTCCCGTTGGTATCTTCATTTTTTAGTTGTTTAAGTTAATCATACATGCCGGTTTTATAAAACCGTCGTCTTTTCAAACACAACGACGGTTTTTCGTTGAACCGTCGTTTTTTTTTCTGGTCGTCTTTTTCACTTTTTGTAGTAGTGGGAGCTGAAATGTATGAAGTTGATGGAGGTGCTAGATTATGCCTTGTGTATTTGTCAAACTTTGGTGTCAAGACCCATATGCATTTGTTGAAGATTGATGTTTCTATAAGCACCAATGAGCAATTTTGAATCCACGAGAATGATTTGTTTAGCCAAAGAAGAAAGACAAAGAAATAACAGTGAGTATGATGGGCACCACACTTACCACGAAGGTGAGGACAAAGGAACTTTTTGGGGATCCATAGCAGAAGACATTGAAGCAGTAGAAACCCCACAACTTTGAGCCTCATATATACAACATGGAGAGGGGAGCTCGTGACAAGTTGATTGATGACTACAATACTGTGAACATTTGGGATTTCAATGAGAAATTTGGAGATCTACGGGATTTCACTGTGGCTGTGGATATTTCCTAACTCTCTTAGCCACACTTCCTCTCCATAAAGCCACTTTCCTGTTTTGACTTGGATAATTCCCAAGTCTTCCTCAGCCATGCCTTTTCTAAATGGGTTTATTCTTCCAAAAGTCAAATTTTCCTTTTTTTTCTCCCTATCACACATTATTTTGAATTCCTCCTCAGTTTGGGTTTTCTTTTTGGGCTTTCCTATTATTCCTCTACTTCCTAATTAATTATTATTTTCGTTCTTTTGGAGAATTCCTTTGACCTATAAATACTAAGCCTTAACCTAAGGTTGGGGGTTCTATGATTTTTATTTTTTGGGAGACCATAGACCACAAAGGCACAAGAGAGAGTTTTAGAGAGAAAAAATAGACGACTTGGAGCTACAGTAGTTGTTGTGCAGAGATCAAATCTTCAATTGGTTTTTTCTTTCCTTTGACACTGTTTATCATGGTTTTTATTAAAGTTGTCATGAACTAATTCTTTTTTTATAGGGCTATGATGTAGCCTAGCCATGAATACTCAATTACTTTAGTCAATGTTAACTCCAAGTATTTTTCCATGTTTAGTATCTATTAGGGATGGCAACATGTCGGGTAGGGGTTGGGTATGACAATACCATCTCCGTCCCCGCTCTCCATCTCCGCCCCCGTCCTTGAACCCATCCCCGTTTAATAGGTTTTGGAGAATTCCCGTCCCCTTCCCCGTCGAGGGACTATCCCCCATACCCGCCCCGAATCTCCGATTTTTTTTGCATAAAAAATATATTTATCATACATTTTAACATTAAGTTTCATATTAATTATTATTCAACACATCCAAATTAACTATAAAGTTCAACTCAACTATTAAAAATCACATCAATATGAAATTCCAAAGAAGATTAAGAAGAATTAGGAGATGGAGGTTAACTTAGGGTTAAACATAAATATTGTAATTATATATATTTATTTAAATATAAACATATATATTTTAGGGTCGAGTTCAGGGATGGGGACTCCAATACCATCCCCTCCCCATACCCATCGAGAATTTTCAAGTCCAGGGATCCTCGTACCTGATACTCGTTTGACCCCGAAATCTAACCCTGTTAAGGTCAGGGACCCACACCGGTGGGGATTTTTGCCATCCCTAGTATCTATTACCATGCTTAATGCTTTGAATGTTTGGCCAACATTAAATTGATTTGAAGCTAAATTGATGATAGGGATATCCAATTTGGGGTTGCTTCTTGTAACAGATGCCATGGGTTACATGATTAAACAAGGATGTTTGTCACGACTTATGTGGTTGTTTTGCAGGTTTTCCAAGGAATTTAATGAGTTCTTATTATCTTAATTCCATTACTAGGGATAGAGTGGGTTGGTAATAAGAATACTTTTGGTATATCCAAGGTTGAAGTATCGAATAAAGTAGGGAAAATCAACTGTCAACATGCTAAATAATTAGGATTAACATGCTAAGGGATTTGGGTAGAATTGGCTACGGTGAAATCCAAAGCTCTAGTGCTCGCATAACTTGAATCTCACTACTTTATTTTTCTACGCTTGATTTTATTCATTGTTTTAGTTAATTAATCAATCGAATCTCATCATTCAATTGTTCAAAAATGGTCTTGGGTTAATCACAATCGGTACTTAGTAAATTAAATCACTCTTCGTGGGAACGACACTTCACTTATCACTATATTACTTGTGCGAATTGTGTGCTTGCAATAAATTCACAACAAGCCCCTATACTCAGACTAACAATTCAGATCCACCATGCAACGACAGAAACGACAGATCCGTATTGCAGCCGAAAATTAAAATACAAAACACAACAAACTCCTAACGAGTTCATGAGAATTAAAATAAAATACAACAAACTCCTAAAGAATAATAAACTAAAACAAACAAAGAAATATGACCACCGCTCCACATCCTCTCCAACAACCCCTTAATGTTAGTTTGACGTTCTTGGTTGTAAGATCCGACATGTATACTCTTTTGTAAACTTTATTTTATGTTTCAAAAAAACAAATATGCGCTTGTATGTAACTTATGTACAATTTTTTTAGGTTAATCTTACATACAATTTTGATTACAATAATCATACATACTTGCAAATGATAAAAGAATATACAAATATGCTAATGAGGATTAGTTGAGTTGGTAAAGATCGTTCTTATCGTTATCAAAACCTAGGTTTGAGTTATGCTGTCGACAATCCCTCTTGGTGGATAATTAAAAAAAAAAAAAAAAAAAAAAAAAATAAATGAACGCCAAGTTAAACCCGAGTGTTTATACCTTGACTTACCTGATATATAGGATAGCCTCTACTCCTCCTAAACTTTTTTTCATTAATTAAATATATATAAAGAGTAATGATGTCTGCATGTATATGCTATGTGCGTACACATGAGTGCATGACTCATGTAGTTGACAGTAATAAGTATATCACAATTAGGAAATTGCCACGTCATTTCTCCCGCTTTATCCAACCACCGGCTGCCGTCCGCAAAACTCTCTCTTTTGTCCTTGCCTCTTCGCTGAGCTGTTCCTCACTGTTGTGTTGCCCCTCTCTCTCTCATCCACTGGTCCCACTTCTCTCTCTCTCTCTCTCTAAAAAAAGTCTCCCTTTCTTCTTCATCATCTTCTTCTTCCATATAAAATCAACGCACAAACCCCAAATCCAAGCTCTTTCTCTCTCAAACTTCCTTCCCCAATTCTCTTCTCTCCAGTTGTTGCCAGTTAAATTAAATTAAATTACATAGTTAGAAAAAAAATTTCCTCTGTTTTTTAGAGCGCCTGATATAGATATATAGATACAGATATAAATATACATATAGGTATAGAGACAGAAATAAATTCAGGTAAAAATGCCTGCTTGGTGGGGAAGAAAATCAAGCAAGAGCAAAGAAGAGCAAGAGAAGACACTTCAACACAAAAACCCATACTCGAACCGCAACAACAACAATTTCATCATCAAATCTTCGATCAATAGCGATATTAAGAAGAAAGAGAAAGACGTTAGGCCTAAGAGCTTCGACGAACAAATAACTCGTGGGTCACCGAGAGCGAGCAAGGAGCTTGTGGGTGCTGGTGTTTCTGCTTATGGGTTTTCGGGTTTTGACTCCGATGGATGTGAGAGGAGGCAGGGGCATCCCCTGCCTCGGCCGTCGGTGTCGTCGGCGCAGGGCTTGGGAAATGATCAGGTGCTTGGCTTGGGATCTGGCTCCGCCTCAGTTTCAAGCGTCAGCTCCTCTGGGTCCTCCGACGACCAACCGATTGCGCATGACAGCCATGCTCAATTAGGTGCTTCCAGTTACAGGTTGGTTCCCCACAAACCCTGCTTTTCCGATTGGGGCTTTTCCTGTTTTCTGTCCAATTTGGGACTTGTGCGTTGTTTTTCATTCAATTCAATTCAATTCATCTCATTCTTGTAAGAAATTTTAGTCCAATCATTGGATTCCATTCAATAAATCCAATTCATTTATGAATATATCGGATCACAGTTACTAATTGGATCTCAATTTAGTAATTAATTAGCTATAATTCGATTGAATTTTTTGGCTGTCAGAGTGGAGATAGATTGTCTTGTATACGAGCTCATCTTTTCGATGAAAAACCACATGATGCGGGCCTTCTTTCTTTCTTTTTCTTCTTGAGCCTCTTGCTCTTGTAGGATTCTCTGCTCTCTGTCTCACTACAACAATCTAAGTTTTTGTTATTTGTTTTCACTGAGTGTAAGTATATAAATCCTTAGAATACGGCGATGTGTAGAATAGAGAAGTTCAACCTTAGGATAACTTAATAAAAATCTTACTAGAACAATTTTGGACTTGCATTTTCTGCATGATTTTCACTGTAAAAATTAGCATTTCCTACTTTCATTAGCCATGCATAATGTGTATTAAATTGTTGGATTTGTTCTTATAATCCCATAAGAAGATGATTGGGAACATTGTAAATCCCTGGTATAAGGAAAAATGACATGAAAAGCTCAATTTGTATTTTATATACTGCTAGATGTTACCCATGCCATTTATTGTTCACAGAGCTAATGGTGATCCCAAGTACAACATGATGCCTAGAAGCCCCGGTCCTGGGTCTAGGGGCCCAACTAGCCCGACATCTCCTCTTCACCCGCTGTTGTGTGCCATAAGTTTGGAGTCTCCAGCGGGAAAGCAAGAAGACGGGAAGAGTGTTTGTCATCCACTTCCTCTCCCTCCAGGTTCTCCAACTAGCCCTTCTGCCTTGCCCAACAGTAGAACTAATGTCTCCATTGAGAACACAACTTGTGCACTATCAAAGTGGAAGAAGGGAAAGCTTCTAGGAAGGGGGACTTTTGGCCATGTTTATGTCGGATTTAATAGGTAATTTGTATTCCTGTAGGTGGATTGATTCATAAACTAAGTGAACGATACTTTTTATTGGTCTTGGGAACTGACTTGAATATTTTCTACCTTGGGCAAGGAAAACGAAACATCAAGTCACATAAATGATGGTATATATATGTCTACACACTTTTCAGATTAGCCCAGAAAATATAAGGAAGAATAATGGATTGGAAATTAAGGTTACCAAATAACTGTCTTTACAATAACTGGACTGCTGACAACTCATCTGTATTTCTTACTAATTATATGATTTTCCTTTTCCTAAATTTTCATTTGTGACTTTGACAGTGAAAGTGGGCAAATGTGTGCAATAAAAGAAGTTAGGCTTGTCTCTGATGATCGGACATCAAAAGAATGTCTTAAGCAACTGAACCAGGTAGCTTTGTCCAGATAATGTTTGCTCCTATTGAGTTTATCTTTTGAGTTGTCACTGAGTGTTTTAATGTAAATTTACATGGTATATGTTCTCCATCTGATTGTTTGGTTGTTGACTGATTTGTGTCTAACCTTTTTGTTGTCAACAGGAGATAAATTTGCTTAGTCGGCTCTCACATCCAAACATTGTTCAATATCATGGAAGTGAATTGGTAAGACAATGTTCAATTAAATGCGTTAGCTGTTAATGTTGCCCTTGGACCCTAGTTTAGTAGTAACTTTGGGTTGTCATCTTTTCAGGGGGAAGACGCACTCTCTGTTTATTTGGAATATGTGTCTGGTGGCTCAATTCATAAATTACTTCAAGAATATGGTCCTTTTAAGGAACCTGTGATTCAAAATTATACCAGACAGATTATCTCTGGGCTTGCCTACTTACATGGAAGAAATACGGTTCATAGGTATGTGGATTTCACCAATAATATCATATGCGGTTGGCCATATGAATCTTCCTGTGTTTTATTTACTTGCAATATGTCATTTTAAATGTAGTTTTTCGGAATCCTGAAATTCTGATCTTTTACCTTATACTTTAATACTGTTAACAATTAATTAAAATCTGTTTAATTCAAATTATAGGTAGTTTTATATATTTTTAGAACTTTTTTTTTACTCATTTGCTTTTCCTTGCAGGGACATTAAAGGGGCAAACATATTAGTGGGTCCTAATGGTGAAATCAAGTTGGCAGACTTTGGCATGGCTAAACATGTAAATTGCATTTCATCCTCTGCACAATAAGTTCTTAGTCAAGTAATGAAGGCATAGACTTACTAATTTATCTCAAACATAAATGTGTCTAGGAAGAGTAAAGAATGAAACTGTTAACTATATGACAATGAAATTGTCCATGTTTTCTTTTTATCATTATCTTTCTTTAGAACAGCTATTTGGACCCAAAAGAGGAAAATGATACATGTTTTCATAGGGGTAACATTAGGTGCTTGGTGGAGGTAAAAAATGCAGAAGGTGGTTGTCTGTTTATTGGGTGGTTTGGTTAAAGAGAAACAAGAGAATGTTTTAAAATTATGGAGGAGATTATATGGATAAATTAGGATCTTGGACTCCACTTTGGGCTTTGGTTTTTCTTGAATTTCGGAAATTATCATTATCTGATATTCGTGTGACTGGAAGGGATGTATTTCAGACCGAATGGTTAGACAAGGGTGACACGCCTGGTTAAACTCCCGTTTACCGAACAAGATGTTGAGAGTTTCACATAACGATTTCCCTCCTGCAGATTAAGTGTTAGTGGCTGTAGCGTCCACTGGTAATGCGTGGAAGAGCATAAGCTTTCTTTGTGGATGGGATGTATCAACCCCTTTCGCATATTTTAAAGGAAATGTATAAGAATGAATATTATTGTGTTGGGTCCTGAGGACCAGGATGGCTGAAGATCCAAACCTAAATGTGCTAATCGAAGCCAGGGATTGAAGGAATTTGAGCACTGATGTAGCTAATAGCCACCTTCATAGTCAATCAATTCATTAGGCTCATCACCCTCTACTGATGTAGGATATGGGTGAATTGAGTATTTAGGTAATTTAGCGGAAGCAAAAACAATTATAAAACAGAAAGTAGATGGGAATAGAAGCCTTGGCTTCACACCAAGGGGTGTGGCTTCACACCGAGTCTCCAATCTCTGGAAAGCAAACTTTCTCATTACTCAAATCTCTAATCTCTAAACTCCATAATGAATTACATGAGAGGGGTATTTATAGCAAACTAAAACCTAGAGACAATAGGATAAAAAATCCCATGCTAAAACAGAAATTCTAACCTAAATAAAATAGGAAACTTAGAAATCCTACTGAAATCTGGAAAACTTAAAAATCTTACTAAAATCTGGAAAAGTTAGAGAACAAGTTAGAAACTAATCGCAGGAATAAAAAATTGCCAGATTTAAAGACCACAAAGATGTCCTCTTCCACCGTCTTTTGTTAATGTCATCATTGATTTTGTATGTCATTAGGTTGGTGTTGTGGTAGGAAATTGTAGTATTATCATTATTGTATTGTATGAAGTGGACGACTCATCTGCAACTTGTTTTGTAAGTTACTAATAAAGTTGGTTTTTTATAAAAAGAAAGAGAGAAAAAACCTTCTGATGAACTTCACCACATAGATATAAGATGCATATATGAGTGGTATTTGACTGATGAAATAAACAATAGTATTTGACTGCCATTTTCCTGGTTACTTCTCTAGATAAATTTTGTGAAGTCTGATGATTTTCTGTTCTGAATCAGATTACAAATTGTGCTTCAATGCTTTCATTCAAGGGAAGTCCTTATTGGATGGCCCCTGAGGTACTCTCTCTCTCTCTCACACGCACACACACACACACATGAATAAAATGTGCTCTGCCTTACGTTAGCATCATATTCCCTCTTTTTCTGATTCATTTAAGTATCCAGTTTACTCAGGTGGGGTTTTCTGATGTTAATGAAATCTTAATTTCAGGTTGTAATGAATATAAACGGCTATAGTCTTGCAGTGGATATATGGAGCTTGGGATGTACAATTCTTGAAATGGCAACTTCTAAACCTCCTTGGAGCCAGTATGAAGGGGTGCGATATAATGTTCAGAACTTATTGCTTTACAAGTTTTCTTTGTTATCATCAGCTACAAAGTGTTTGCTGGACCAAAACTTGTTTCCTTACGTTGGATTCAACAGGTGGCGGCAATTTTTAAAATTGGAAACAGCAAAGATATTCCAGAGATTCCTGATCATCTTTCCAAAGATGCAAAAAGTTTTGTGAGGCTATGCTTGCAACGGAACCCATCAGAGCGTCCCACAGCGTCTAAACTGCTAGACCACCCTTTCATTAGAGAGCAAACATCTACAAGAATTTCTAACACCAAGTTAACCAAGGATGCCTTCCCGTATGCTTTTCATGGAAGCAGGACACCGGTAAAGCCTTTTAGAACTCTTTTTTTTGCCAGGCCTTTTAGAACTGTTTGACTACATACATATTTAGAGATATTAGTATGAGGGCCAAATCATGAATTGTCTATTAAACAATGGTCATTTTTCAGTCAACATAGTGATTGTACAGAGTAGGAGGCTTGCTTTGGTTGAATTGTTTCTAGTATACATGTATAATGAAATTGTTGAAATCATTAAAACAAAGTGGTGGCAGTAAGAAGGCAAAAGTGTTATGGATAGGTTGGGTGCAGGTGCTGTTTCGGGTATTTGGGTGAACAGAAATAAGAATAGTTTTGAGAATCACAGAGGAGAACAGATCGAAGTTTTCTGGGATAGTCATATTTTGGTCTGCACTTTGGGCTTCCCTTCTTCCGAGTTTCAGGATAATTCATTTTCTTCTATTTTGACAGATTTGGAAAGCAGCTCTTCTTTTAAGAGTCTTTTTTGTATTTTGAACCCTCTTTGGAGTTAGAAAGTGCGTTAATTGATAGGTTGTTTATTTTTCATTGATGTATTATTGTGGTGGACAACTTGTCCACAGTGGTTGTACTTTTTTTAAAAATAAAAATAAAAAAACTTATGTTTCTTACCAAAACAAAAACGAATAAACAAATAAAATGTGAAGCAGATTGAGGCGGGGGCATTAATGTTTCAAAGTTTGATTGATAGTTGTTATTTTAGTAACTCTTTGTATCAAACTTAGGCTCTTGCCCAACCTGATTTCGTTGTCATTTCTCCTTTTGAGCAGCCAATATTGGAGCTACATTCCAACAGAACAAGCATCACCTTGAGTGATGCAGATCACACAGCAAACCCCACAGCCGCGACTTCAAGAGCTGTGCGGAGCCCCAGGTAATATCATACATTCTACCCATCATATCCTCAACTCTGTAGTCTGTAGAACATGTTATAATTTATAAAAGCTTTTGTCATTTCTTACATGCAGAGAGAATATAAGGATGATTACATCTTTGCCTGTATCCCCTTGTTCAAGCCCCTTACGACAATATGGGCCGACACACAAGAACTATTTTCTTTCTCCTCCTCACCCAACTTATGCCATGATGGGACAGAGTAGTTACAATTTGAGTGACTTGCCGTCGTATAATACACTAGGTCCAAATACATCGTACACTTTTGATCCTTGGCAGGACACAAGTATACTTAAAGCCCAAACGCCCGGAGGTTCACCAAGAACACGACCCATTTGAATGTAAATTCCATGAGCAGCAAAATTTTCTATTGTCTCCCTGAATGCTTGATGAACTGGAGGAGTCCTGAAAGTTTAGAAGGAAATTTGGTTCATGCAACCACCCACCCACCTAGCAACTCGAAGTGAATTGATTGTTATGTATGGGAATTTGAAAACAAACGGGGACATCTACGGTCTAGTTTAAAGTGCATGGGGTAGATACTGGCCTAAATCCTTATTGTTTGTAAATGGAAGCTAGATGGTCTCATTTGTAACATTTGTGATTTAAATTTTATAATTATGTTCATGGTGAAAGATGATGATTCTTGTACGGGCAGTTACTCGTTCGATATAGACGAAATGGGGTTCCCACTTTACTTTTTTTTTAAAAATAAATTTTTCGGCAAAGGACATTATAAACACTGCAGGTTTGGGGGTATTTTCGAAATGGGCAAGAAGTTTCAATTTTATTAATGTACACTTCAATGTTTTAAAATTTAATTAATTTACACTCTCCATCAGTTTTGGTCGTTTGCTCATCCGTTAAATTAGTGACGTGGGACCTATTTAAATACAGATATGGAAGCCACACATGCAGCACGTTGGACAAATCCAACAAAAAATATTTGAGAATTTTGATATTTTCTGAACCATAAAACAAAACAAAAATTTAATTTAAAAAATTAAAAACAAAATGAGTGCCCCAGCTCCCTCAACTATGGTTCATAATTGGACTGGGTTGGGTTCGGTTGGCCTGAAATTTTTGGGTTCAGGCCAGGCCTTCATGGGCTTATTCATTTTTCGAATTGCCCATTTAAATAAATGTCTTGTCTTTTTATTTTAATTTATTTTGATATTACTCCATTCACTTAAATTTACAATGTAAATAAGAAAGTACTCCATATTTGGCTTCAATTTAAAATACTAGAAAATCAAATTTAAACAAATCAAAATATGAAAATATAGTTTATACCAATATTGATACCTCAATAACTAAATGCATATTTATACTAAAATTTCATAAAATCATGTTTGATTATTTAAGTTGTAAGGAATATATACTGCCAAAAATATAATTGAAAACATTAGTATTTCAAAAGTGTATTTTTCATACTTGGTCAAATTTTGAGGGAAAAAAGTTTTTCAAGAATGATATGTAGTAATCTATATTATTGTTTAAGAGTTATGTAAGGCTAATACAATGCTAACATTATTTTTGGACCTTAAGGTTGTAAAGTGCAAGTGATTGATAAGTGTGTTAGTGCCATGCTAGTTGAGATATGCATATATTTAGTTGTGCCAACCTCAATTACTATATATCATACTTGAAAATTTGTTTTCTATCAAAATCTTACTAAGTATGAAAAATGGACTTTCGAAATAATAATGTTTTCAACGATATTTTTGGCGGTTTACATTCCTTATATCTTAAATAATCAAACACGATTTTATGAGATTTTAGTATAAAGTATACATTGACTTATTGTGATATCAATATTAGTATAAACTGTATCTTATATTTGTTTGGGGGTGGTGAGAATTCACCCAACCCGGCCACCTTATGAAAATACAAGCGGCCGGATTAAGTTTGAGTGTGGCTAGAGTCTTTGTGGCCTAGCCATGGTTGGAAGCTCAAAAGGGTCAGATTAAAGAAGTGTAACGGCCGGGGTGTGGAAGCTTTCCTGTCAAGTGGAGCTTAGGCTTGCGAGATGCGGCTAGGCTTGGAGCTCCTGAGTCTTGCAGAGTGCAGCCGGAGATTGGGAGGGTTGCGGCTGGGTCTTTACAGCCGGTGCCCAAGATTATTGCGGTCGGGCTGCATCAGTGCAGCTGGGCTTGCGAGACGCGGTTGGGAGCTGAAGTGTTGTGGCCTGTAACATCCCACATCGACCAATGAAGAGGGGGTGATGTGCCTTATATGTACATGCCCACCTTTATCTAGCACGAGGCTTTTTGGGAGCTCACTAGCTTTGGAGTCATGGGAACTCCAAAGTTAAGCGAGATGGGGCTAGAGCAATCCCAGGATGGGTAACCTATTAGGAAGTTGCTCGTGAGCTCCCAAAAACAAAACTATGAGGGCAAAGAGGGGGGCCTAAGGCAGATAATATCGTGCTACGACGGAGCCGATCCCGGGATATGACATGGTCGGACAGTTCGAAGTGTGGCTGGAGATTGCGGCCGAGCTTTGGTGGAGTTGAGGTCGGTTTTCAATGTATGGTGGCCTAGACTTGGAGAACTTGGGGCAGTCTGGTGCTGTGGGGTTTATGCGGCTGGAGCTTGGGCATTTTTTAGGGTTTTGCAAGAATGGGCTGGGCTAGAGTTTCTTTAAGTTGAAACTTCCTTGTCATATTTTACATATATATGTATATATAAGTGAATAAATAAAAATATGTAGTTAGGGGTTTTTGTTAGGGCTGGATTGAAGGATTTTAGGTAGTTGGAACGTGAGAGTTTTATTATATATTATATGTAATAAAAATGGGTGGCAATTTAAGAGAGCGCGGAGGTCTAAGCCCAAGCCACAAATTTGAGCCCAGGATTTTCGGAGGATTATGTGCACGTGAAGGAGGCTTCACAAGGAAAGAAATTGAGGAGGTTGATAATAATTCCGAATGTTCCAAAGCAAGAAAGAATCAAGCATATCATAATATCTCCATCAATGCAATCCCACGGGTTTAGGGGGCCCTTGAAAGGAAATAAATTTTAAAAGAATTGACATTTGGCCATTCAATGGCCAGCCCATGGGCCAACGGAGGACCTATATTTACCTCACAAAACGAAGGCAAAAGACGCACAACATTAGACAGACAAACCTATCTTTCATCTTGCACTTTTCTTTTCCTAGACTAAGAATTTTATTTTTCAAGCACCTAGTGTAGCGAGTTCTTCCTATTCCTAGTGTAAGTTTAAATTCTTATTCAATTTACATTATCTTGTCCTTTAAATTCAAGTTTATTTTCATTGCTTACTTTTTATTGTTATCGCACTTTTATTAAGTTTAATTTCAAGTTTATTTTGGTTTATCGTTTTTATCGTTCTTATCACTTTTATTTCGTTCTTGCTTTATTTATCGCTTTGATTTATTTTATCGCACTTTAATTCTTGTCTTCACGTTTAAACGCACATTTAACTTAATTGCACTATTTTTACTTAAAAATTTAAAAATTACAAAAACATCCGTACGAAGCCTAACCATCCTCGGGCTCAAGGAAGTGAAAGAACCTAGGCCAAGAGGAGGTTCCTTGCTTGGCCGATCAATCGTTTGATTAGAAGTTAGAAGCGTGACATATTCATCTAGTCACATTCCATTCAAGCCCAAATTTGTGGCTTGGTGTTGGCACGCCCCCATTCAAGAGAAGAATGACCAAAAGTTCCTTCCGTTGGCTGTCTCGACCGAAAAGAGGGAAACAATATTAAAACTGGATTTTCATATTTTGATTAGTTGGGAATTGGATTTTCTAGTATTTTTAAATGAATCCAAATGGAGGGTACTTCCTTATTTACAGTGTAAACTTAAGTAAATGGAGTAATATAAAAATAATTATATATATAAAAAATAAATAAATAAATAAAAGACATTTACTTAAATGGGCGGCCTGAAAAATGAAAAAGTCAATAAAGGCCCAGCTGTCCTTTGCTCTAACTAGGGATGGCAGAAATCCCCACAGGGGCCGGTCCCTGTAGGTTCCCCAACCTTAAATAAATAAATATAAATATAATATTTATATTTAATCCTAAGTTAACCTCCCTCCCCTAATTCGTCCTAATCTTCTCTAGTCTCCAGCCACACCTCTCTCTCTCTCTCTCTCTCTCTCCCTTTTTCTAGCAGTTGCATCCCCCTCTCCCGACACTAACTCAAGTCAACCATAGGGCTTTGACTATGGCTTCTTGAATTGTAGCCGCATCACTCCACTCCACCAGCTTCTGACCGGCTATCATAGCAGTGGTGCTACCAAAGGAGCTCTCTGGCTATATTGCCTCACAGCCTACCTTTCACAAACATAAATGTATATACATGTATTATATGTTTATGCTTCCATGTGCAAGCTGCAACCAATAAAAATTTGTAAGATGAAAATTTATGTCTATATATTTATGCTTTCCCTCTCAGCCCCATCCTTAAAAATTTGGTAAGATGATGTTGATTAAGATTTTGATTATATATATATATATATTTGTTTTGTCAAATTGAATTGATGTGATTTTGAATTGTTGAGTTGAACTTTATAGTTAATGTATGTGTTGAATGATAATTTAATATGAAACTTAATGTTAAAATATATGAAAAATATTTTTTTATGCAAAACAAATCGGGGATTCTGAGCGGGTATTGGGGATAGTCCCCCAACGGGAACGGGGACGGGGATTCCCCGAAACCTATTTAATGGGAATGGGTTCAGGGACGAGGGCTGGGATGGAGAGTGAGGACAGGGATGGTATTGTCATACCCAGCCCCTACGTTACTCGTTGCCATCCCTAGCTCTAACCCATTGCAGTCGCCTTCAACTCAACCTCCAACAACCTCAATGATCCCACTCATTTTCTCTCCTGTATTTCTCTCTATCTCCACCCTCTCACTCATTTTCTCTCCTTATTTTTATATTTCTTACCAAAATCCACCTTTACAAAACCTTCTCTTTGAACCTGTTTGTACCAAAATTGGAAATTTAAGAATTATGGTTCATGCAATATGACCAATATATGGCTAAATTTGGTTTGTTCATGACCAAGTCATCTTTTCCAATATGACCAAATGATAGCTGCAGCAAAATGTTTACACCAGCAGTGGAAAGTCCTCCTTGTTTGGGCAAGCAAATCCCATTTTGGGCAAGCCTCCCCTTCATGAAACTTGTTTGGATGTTGTTGATGCTCTTTTTGGGAGGTCAACTTAGATAGAGGTGGAATGGTGGATGATGGGTGAAGGTGAGGACCTTCAACTCGTGTGTGAAGATTTCGGCAAGCGATAAATATAAAGAAGACAAGATATACGTGCTTCACCCTTCATGAATGGGCTACATCCACGGAGAAGTATGTTCTCATTATAATTATGTATGTTTACATTTGTAAATGAGGTTAGACTTAAATATAAAGATAAGAAGGGGGAAGCCCATGATTAAAGATAAAGCCCAATCCAAGGATCCAAAAAAGAGTCCCCTTTCTTAGGGGAGAGTAGTCCTCTTTTATAGGTGAGGGGGAGTCTCCATCTCTTGTAGTTTTTCGATGTGGGACTCCTGTTACTTTACTTAGAGTTGTGACTTGTGGTAGTGCTTCTTTGACTAAGGTGATGACCTCTCAAAGCATGGCACGTGGCTGATCTAGCATAGCTAATTGTTCGGTTAGTAACGATACTAACAGTAGTCCCCCAAGTTCGCAAGTAAGAAGGTACTTCTTGGTTGGGGACTTGTAATTTTAAGTGCACTGGCCGAGCAACACCACAGTTCATCTTCCAAGCTGTATAGTGCACTCCCCCAAGTCCCCGAGTAAGAAGGACATTGGAGGGAGAGAAGTTGCAACAAATCTTGCATGTCACAGGGTGATGTGGCTAGGCAAAAGGGTGCCGAAGGCGACACAAAGCTTGCATGTCGCAAGGCTGAGGGTACCGAAGGCGACACAAGATGTGGCTAGGCACGAGGGTCCAAAAGGCGACATAAAGCTTGCATGTCACAAGGCGATGTGGCTAGGCACGGGAGTGCCAAAGGGGAGACAAAGCTTGCATGTTGCAAAACAATGTGACTAGGCATGAAGGTGCCGAAGGCGAAGGGGATGCCGAATGCAACACAAAGCTTACATGCCGCAAGACGATGAGGGTGCCGTAGGCGACACAAAGCTTGCATGTCACAAGGCAATGTGGCTAGGCACAGGGGTGTCGAAGGTGACACAAAGCTCGCATGTCGCAAGGTAATGTGGCTAGGCACGAAGGTGCCGAAGGCACAAGGCTGCTGAAGGAAAGAAATGCATACGTGCATTTTTTATTATTATTTAGGAAATAATAATAATAATAGTTGTGTGTGTGTGTGTGGGGGTGTGGGTACCTTGTCGACATTTGGGCTTTCGGTATGTCCTTGGTACTGGGCCTCCAAGGCTTTAGTAAACAAAGGGTTTCACAACCTCTTGGGTTGAGCAAGGCTCCCTCTGGTTTTGGTGAGTTTCTCGTGAGCACAACCGTCGAATAGTCGGCAGCACAGTCCCTGCCGAACGGTAGGGTTGATTTGGAAAAACTTGAAGCCTCTTTGCCCCCTTTGAAACTAAAGAGAGCCACTCGGTTTCGGCAAGAGTGGGGTGTGACCCGGAGTCCTCGCAGAACACTTGAATCAGCACCTTGAGTCCTCAGAGAACAAGATCCGGCCTCGGCAAGTGGAATTGAGGGAGAATTTTGTCGGAGCCCGTATCCACAGCTCCGGTAGGGTGGCCTAGGGACAACTGGGTTGTGGTAAGATTTTTCTGGACCTGAAAGCATGCTCCGAATTTCTTAAACAGCCCTTGTCGTTCGGCAAGGGTGGTTGTGATATGATTTTGGGTGATTCCCTACGTTTACGGTGCAAGTTTGATTTGGAGAAGAGGTAGATCTTTATTCTTCAAGGAGACTGCGCTTGGGTGTTGTGGGCCTTTGGCTAGGAGGTTGAGCGCTTTTGGTGACAAGGGGGTTTCGGCAAGGTACGTGAAGGAGAAGCAAGAGTCTTTGGTAGTAGTGTCGCTGACTTCGTCCTGGTAGAATGCCGCAACCTTTTGAAAATGCTCCATTTTTCTTTCATGGGCCTAGTCGTTCGGCAAGGCCGGTTTGTGCATTCGGGATAATGATGATTTTTGTAAATTTTTGACAGGGTCTGGGTGGAGAATCATCGTGAACTAGAGCTTCTGAAGTTTCGATGTGAGTTGGTTGGGTCTCAAGGGTGTCGGCAAGGGGAATAACAGTTTGATTCGAGCTATGGAGGTTGACCCATGGTAGTTGCTGATCGGTGATACAGAAGGTGGGAATGGCTATGCCTTTTGAAAACTATTATCAACTTTCTGTTCAGCATGTATGACACCACGGGTGTCTTGAGAGCTTTCGGCAGAGAGAAGTTTTGACATTGAAAGTCCCATTTGTCATCAGCTTGCTATTCAGGAGGTATGGAGATGGTTTTAGGGCGTCCCATAGTTTCGGTTGACAGCCTACTGTATGGCAGCTGTGACGTCACGCTTGCCGATTGGTAGGCACCCCTCCATGATGTTAATTGGCAGGTGGTGCCGATATGTACAAGGTGAACGAGGCATTATGTTGCCGAAGCTGTGAGCAGTGAATCTTCAAACATTCAGAAGTCTGGGCACGTAATATGGTTTGTTGACGCAGAAAAATGGTTCTGCACTTTCCCGCGTAACTTAGTGATTAAGTCTCTTCGGTATCTGATGTCCTCGGTAGGGTGTGCGATCTGTAAGATAGCAAACACACGGTAAATCCTAGGGCACCGGTGTGGTACCGGCCGAAGGCTCTCCGATGCTTAAGTAAGTACGGATTTAGTAAGTTTTAACTGCAGATCAATAGGCAGTATGCCGTAAGTTCTGATTGATTACCTTCAAGCTGGGAGGGATGTCCTCTTTTATAGGCCTTGGGAGGTGTGCAATTTGCTTAGAGTTTCGATGTGGGACTCTGGGCGTCAGTTGTGGGGCTACCACGTGTCAGAGAGGCGAGATTGCCCTAATGTTGCCATCGGTAGGTCTGGTACCGAAGACGAGTGCCGAACGCAAACGTAGCCCTGGTTTGGTCCACGTGCTCGGTATTCATTGGCTGTTCATTTTGGTATAAACAGGAGTCCCCCAAGTCCCCTTGCGAGAGTCTTCGGAAGGGGATTTGAAGTTATCTTCGGGAGGAAACACGGTCTTGCCGTTCGGTAACCCCACCTGGGGAAGGGGCCAAATTTTGTTCCTTCCGGCATGAGCAGCCCAGAGGCTGACGTTAGTGAAGTCAGAAGATCGCGTCGATCTGATGGGCGAAGGGACGTCTGAGCGCTTCGACTTCCGCGCCTCGCGTGCCGTCAATTCTCCATAGGGTGAGCGACATGTGGCGAAAGTGATGATGGCGCGCGGCGCATTAATGCGCCGTTTGGTTTTTTGAGGAGTACCGTTGCCAACCACTCCCCCTATAAATAGAGATGACCCCGGAGGCGAACTCACTTTGCATCTGGCGAGAAGTGAGAGCTCTGTCTGAGGCGATTTTCGACGAGGGCTTTTGGTAATCAGGCGATTTCCGGCGTTTCGAACGGTAGGAAAGGCGATTCCCGGCATTGCGAACGGCAGGAGAGCATCCTGAAGAGCAGATCGTACTTATCTTCCAAGGCACACGTTAAGGTACCGTTCGGCACCCTTCTCTTTACTTTGCTGCATGCCTTAAGGGTTACGTCCTTCCTTGGTCCGAACTAGACTGACCATAGGATTCCATTCGGTAGTCTAGTCGCCATAGGTAGCGATGTAGGGATCGGTAGGATAGCATCGGCATGAGCCTTAGTTTCCCCTTTTCCTGTTTTTGTAGATGTCTGATAGCGAGTCATTTTCCGAGCGCGAGCCCAATGCGTTCGACGAGGAGTCATCGGACGGTCTCTTTGACTCCGACGGTGAAGCGGCAGGGCCTGATGCCGAGGGCGGGAGTGATACCGACGTCGAGATACTCGGCGAAGGGCCCAGCTTCATTCCAACACACGGAGTCGGAAAGGGGCTAATGACCGCTCCCGTCCCATTGTCCATCGTCTACAGTGACGGCCGCCACGTGGGCCTCGGTATGCCCGGGGAGGCGAGCGGTAGCCGTCAATCAGAGACCTCCACTTCCGGCCGTGGAGAGTTGGTAGCCAATTCGCCATCTGGGCCCAGGGTATCGGTAGTGTACCCAAGTAACCCTAGGATGCCTATGGGGGTGCCGAAGGAAAATCTATTCGGCGTAGACTACCTTGGGCCGAACAAGATTACCGATAGGGAGATTGCCAAATTACGAGCAGAATACCGTATTCCGACTCGGTACGGATGAGGATCCCGGGCCCTACCGAATCCCTTAGCGCGCCGAAGGACGGCGAAGTAGTTTTCTTTACCGACGTCCTTGTGCAAGGCGTTCGGTTGCCGTTGCAGCCGGCGGTGCAGAGGATTCTAGCCCAGATCGGCTATGCCCCGGGGCAATTCAACCCCAACTTCTGGGTGGCTCTCATGGGAGTGATAACGGCCTTCGGCATGGCTGGCGAAGGGAGCCCCTCCTACGAGCAGTTCTCCCATCTGTACAGCGTTACCAAGTCCAAGTGTGCCGATCATGGCGGGTGGGTGCAGGCGAACTGCCTCAGGGCTGCCGATCGAGGCCACTTCGTTAGCTAGGTACCGACTTCACAGAAGTCGTGGAGGAATCGGCAGGTGCTCCTCTCGGGCGACTGGGAGTCGCCTTCGGGACAGCCCGTCCGATTTCGCATTCCCACAACCTTCCAAATGGCCGGTAGGACCACGTGCCGTTCGGTACTTTCTCTGAGTTATCTGTTTACCGTAAGTAACCCTTCCTTGCTCTTCTTCTTGTAGGCAAGCTGAAGCAGCCGATCGCAACGCAGGCCGAGATTCAGCAGGTGGAGAGAGTGAGGAGGAAAGTCCCTGCCGAGGAGAGGGTGTATCCGCAGTTCCTCTTCACCGCCAACTTGATCCGGGCCCAGCGATCCTTTTTCTCCCAGTGACGGAAGAAAGGAGGGCTGCCGAGGCTAAAAGGATGAACGAGTCCTCCAAGCGCCGTCTCATGATGGGCTTCCAGGGGAAGAAGAAGAAGACCCAGCCGCAGGGTTCGGCATCGGTAGACCCCGAGGACCAGACCTTGGCCGACCGCCTTCGCGAACTCAATGCTGAATCGGCACAGGCCGGAGCGGCAGCGGCCGGCCCTTCTCCCCGCCGAGGCGTCGCTACAGAAAGAGCTTCCTCCCGAGCGGCCGGTAAACGGCCCTTCACTGTCGACCTGGATGCCGAACTGGCCCCAAAACGCGGACGGCAGGCCGAGCCAACTCGGGCTATCTTCGCTGCCGAAAATGACGAGGAGCCTGCCGATCCCGTCACCCTGGCCTGTCCGTTGAAGACGGTCCAGTTCGCGAACTACATGATCATTGGTTCGCAGATGGAGCTGAGCGAGATCGAAGAGCTGCCGAAGAAGCTCCTCCGAGAGGAGGCGGGTCGCGCCTTCCGTCTTTAGGCATCGGTAAGTCCAAAACATTCTTAGGTCCAGGTTACCGATCATTCTTGTAGCTTTCGCTGACATGCCCTTTATTCTGCAGGCTTCGATGGATATGTGGCTTTGCATGAAGCGGGCCATCAACGCGGCTGAGAAGGCGAAGAAGGCCTATGACGACGGCAGGGCCAGGGTTGCCGAGGCTGGCAAGGCTATCCAGGACCATGCGAACCTGGCGAAGGATTTGCAAGCTGCCGAACGGCAGGTCAGGGTATACGAGTCCAAGTTCGCAGATGTGTCGTCTGCCCTGGAGTCAGCACAGCTGTCGGCCAAAGAGGCTCTGGAGGCAAAGGAAGCCGTTGAGGTGGCTCTGGAGGAGTCGGAACGGGCCAAAGCGGCGGAGATTGAGGCTGCTGTCCAGGAGGCCATTCGGAAGTATCGCCACTCTACCGATTTCTCTACCTTGCTCGACAAGGAGGTGGGCTCAGAGATGGTAGATCTCATCTACCGATTTAAGCGGTACAATCCTGGGACAAAGCTCAATCTGAACTTTATTGCCGATCCTCCTCCCCTTCCCGAAGGCGTCACAGAAGAAATGATCGAAGAGTACGAGGGAGAGGACGCTCCGGAGGAAACCGAAGTTGCTGGTGCCGAAGGGGCGGATGCCGAGGGCCCTTCATCCTGATTGCCGGTCTTTACTCAATGCAATTTTAATGCCGATGGCATTTTTGTAATTTCCTTGTGACTTTTATGCCGTTTGGCATCTTTTGTTTGGATAATCAATGCCGTAGGCATGTTTTAATTAAAGTTATGTTTTCACTTTAAGTTTCTTGTATCTTACTTCTGAATCGGTAGCTTTTTTAGGAAATGTTTCTGTTTAATGCCGTAGGCTTTTAGACAAAGGTCAATGGCCGATGGCCAGTGACGTTTCCTTTCAAGCATAAGTTCCATGTGTTTAGGGATTGAAACCAATAATCGTGCTTGCCGATTGCAAAGCAATGGACCGTAGTTACCGAAAGTCTATAATGCCCCATAAAGTCTACCAAAGTTGCCTCTTAATCGGTAGGATAATGGCGGTGCCAAAATGCGTACGCGACCGATGGTCCCTACCGTACCCCCTTTTTTTTTCTAAAAAACAGAAAGGTACAACAGAGGTGCCGAATATATGAGCCGAAGGCCCTTTTATTGATAAACTGCTGAAGGCAGGAGTACAATTAGAAGTGCGTTTTACAATTTAGAACCCGCCGTTGGCTAGGAAACGCTATAATGCCGAAGGCTGTGCTTGTAGAGATACCGGAGGCTCTTGTGATTCCTCCGTGACCTTGCCGTGGGCAAGACGACTTCATTTGAAATAGTACTTCAAATGCTCTACGTTCCAAGGATGACCGAGGGTCTTTCCGTTGGAATCTCTGAGTCGGTAAGTCCCCGACCGCTGGATACCGATGATTTCGTAAGGTCCCTCCCAGGAAGGTCCGAGGGTTCCTTCCGTGGGATTCTTGGTTGCCAAAGAGACTTTCCGCATGACCCAATCTCCGATTCGGAAAGAGCGGGACCTGACCCTGGAGTCATAGTACCGAGAGACGCGTTGCTTGTAAGCTTCGTTCTGAAGGTTGGCTTGTGCTCGGCGCTCTTCGAGTAAGTCGAGGCTCAAAGCCAGCGCTTCCTCATTTGCCTTCGGTGCGAAGGTTTCCGTTCGGTAGGAGGGCTCTCCGATTTCCACTGGGACTACTGCCTCTGAACCGAAAGCCATAGAGAATGGTGTTTCCCCAGTTGCCGTTCTGTAGGATGTCCGGATGGCCCATAGCGCTTCCGGAAGTTTTTCCGGCCAGGCTCCTTTGGCTTTGTCAAGCTGCCGTTTCAACAGCTTCTTGACAATTTTGTTCATGGCTTCGACCTGCCCGTTCGATTGGGGGTGTGCTGGCGAAGCAAAGAACAGGTTGATCTTGAGTCGGGTGCAGAATTGCCTAAAGACTTCCGAATCAAACTGCCTGCCGTTATCCGTGACGATGGCGTAGGAGATGCCGAATCGGCAGCAAATATTCGTCCAGACGAAATCCTCGACCCTGGCTGCTGTTATTGTCGCTAGGGCCTTGGCTTCTACCCATTTGGTAAAGTAGTCTACGGCAACAACAGCGTATTTGACCTGACCCTTGCCCTCTGGCATCGGACCAATTAGATCTAGTCCCCATTGGGCGAACGGCCATGGGCTCACGATCGGTGACAGTGGCTCGGCAGGAATATGAGGGACACTATCGAACCGCTGGCATTTGTCGCACCTCTTGACTAGTGTGTTCGCATCCTGGTGTAGAGTCGGCCAGAAATAACCCTGCCGGAAGATCTTGTGTGCAAGCGATTGGGATCCAGAATGGTCACCGCAGATTCCGCTGTGGACCTCCCGAAGGATGTAGTCCCCTTGCTCCTTGGTCAGGCATTTTAAATATGGCGTCGTGTGGCCTCGTTTGTACAGGACATCGTTGATGACTGTGTACCTTGCCGATCGGTAGCGAAGTTTCCGAGCTTGGGACTTATCGGTAGGAAGGGTTCCAGCAGTCAGGTAGGCATAGATTGGAGACATCCATGTGTCCTCGTACCGAAGGGTACATACCTCAGCGGCGGTCGTACTTGGTTGGGATAATATCTCCACCGATACCTTCCTTCCGATCTTGTCGTTTATGGCCGAGGCCAATCGTGAGAGTGCGTCGGCATGGCTATTTTCCGACCTGGGGATCTGCCGTATCTCGTAGGCCTGGAATTTTTGTAATAGTTGGTGGGCTGCCGATAGGTAGGCTGACATGGAGGCATCCTTTGCCGCGAAGTCTGCCGTTATCTGATTTACTATGAGCTGGGAGTCGCTGTGAATGCTGATCTGCCTTGCGCTCATGCTGTGGGCTAGCCGAAGGCCAGCCAGGAGGGCCTCATATTCTGCCTCGTTATTGGAGGTTCGGAAGTTGAATAGGAGGGCGTATTCGATTTTGCTACCGTCCGGAGTGGCTAACACTAAGCCGGCACCGCAGCCTTGCTGGTTTGCCGAGCCGTCCACGTGCAGGATCTAGAGAGGAACAGAAGTGTCGAAACGTTCGGTATTCATTTTCTCTGGTGCGGTAGGGACGACGCTCGGCGACGATGGTTCCGATAAAGCAAGCGGCGTGAGCTCGGAGATGAAGTCGGCAACGGCCTGGCCTTTTTCTGCAGGCCTTGGCTTGAACTGTACGTCAAACTCTCCCAACTCGATTGCCCATTTGACCAATCGGCCCGATGTCTCCGGCTTTTGGAGCACCTGCCGAAGAGGCTGGTTCGTTAGAACTGTGATTTCGTGAGCCTGGAAGTAAGGGCGAAGTCTTCGTGCCGAGACGACCAGGGCCAATGCTAGTTGCTCCAAGGGTGGGTACCGAAGCTCTGCGCTCTGGAGCGCCTTGCTGACATAAAATATCGGTAGCTCCGCCTTCTCTGGCTTCCTTATCAATACTGAGCTGACGGCAGTGTTGGATACCGAAAGGTACAGGAGTAGTACCTCGCCTGGCAGCGGTTTCGATAACAGTGGTGCCTGGCTCATGTAGTTCTTCAAGTTTTGAAATGCCTGGTCGCATTCGGGAGTCCACGTTATATGATGTTTGCCCCCTTTCAAAGCTTTGAAGAACGGCACGCATTTATCGGTAGCCTTGGAGATGAAGCGTGTCAGGGCAGCGACACGTCCGGTAAGGCTCTGAATGTCCTTCTGCGTCTTCGGCGTCTCCATGTCGATTATGGCTTTTATTTTCTCGGGATTGGCCTCGATTCCCCTTTGACTGATCATGAACCCGAGAAATTTACCGGAAGATACACCGAAGGCGCACTTCGCCGGGTTTAGCCGCATTCGGTAGTCCTTTAGAATACCGAACATGAGGGCCAAGTTTTCCAGGTGATTCCCTGCCGTTCGGCTTTTTACCAACATGTCGTCGACATATACCTCCATGATTCCGCCAATGTATTTAGCAAAAATCCAGTTGACGAGCCGTTGGTAAGTTGCCCCTGCGTTCTTCAGGCCGAAAGGCATGACATTGTAACAGTACAAACCGCGATCTGTGATGAATACCGTATGTTCTCTATCGGCAGGGTCCATTCTGGTTGTACCCTGAATACGCGTCCATGAAGCTGAGCAGCTCGTGCCCGGCGGTGGCGTCGACGAGCTGGTCGATCCTCGGTAATGGGAAACTGTCCTTCCGACAAGCCTTATTCAGGTCGGTATAGTCCTGACACATTCGCCATCCTCCCCTGGCCTTCCGAACCATGACTGAGTTGGCAAGCCAAACAGGGTACGTAGCTTCCCTAATAAAGCCGATGGCTTTGAGCTTGTCAAGTTCGGCACGCATCGCCTCATACCGTTCGGCATCGTACGATCGGCGTTTTTGCCTGACTGGTTTGTGGGCGGGGGAGATGCTGAGCTTGTGGCTGATGACATCGGGTGATATGCCGGGCATATCGTCATAAGACCAGGCGAAGACCTCCGCATGCTGCCGTAAGAAGTCGATGAACTGCCCTCGTAAGCCGGGGTTCAGATTGGTGCCGATCTTCACCCACCGATCGGGGAAATCCTTGTTCAGGATTATGGTCTCGAGCTCCTCGACGGGCTGTGCCATCGGCGTTGGGTTTTCCTCTCGGGGGTCGTCAATGGGTTCGTTACCGTTCGGTAGCCCCTGCAAGGTCATGGCTTCCATTGGCGGTTTGCTGGCTACCGACTTAAGGGCCGTGGCATAGCACGTCCGTGCGCTGAGCTGATCGCCCCGGATGGCTCCAGTACCGTTGCGTGTCGGGAACTTCATCAGCAACATGTGTGGGGATAGGTGGGCTTTGATCCTGGTGAGTGCCGTTCGCCCTATAATGACGTTGTATGCCGTTGGGCAGTCAACAATGAGGAATTGGTCGTAGGTCATGGTCTTCCTGGGGGCCACGCCGAAGGCGATGGGCAGACTGATGCTACCGACCCGTTGCACCAGATCTCCGGAGAAGCTGAGGAGAGGTGTGATTTGCCGATTGACCATGCTGTCGGCAATCCCCAGTCCTTTGAATGCATCGGCAAAAATCACGTTCACCAAGCTTCCGGTGTCAATCAGCACCCGACCTACGTCGTAATCGGCGGTCTCGGCCCGAATGATCATTGGGTCGTCGTGGGGGTAGATGATCCCCTCCTCCTCTTTTTCGCTAAACGTGATGGGCTCCCAGCCCACCTTCAGCAACTTTCGGCACCGATCGTCCTCTATGCCGAAGACCTGGGGGCAGTGGGCGGCACGCACATACTGCTTCACCGAACGGTTAGAGGGTCCCGCCAGGGTGGGGCCACCGCTGATCGTGTTGATCATGTTGATCTGCCGATTCGCGTTCGGTGCCGGGGCCTGTGGCGGCCTGGCAAGGTACTGATCCAACTTCCCTTCCCGAATCAGGCGCTCGACAATTGTCCTCAGACTGATGCAGTCTTCGGTGTTGTGGCTGTTCTGCTGTTGATATCGGCAGAATTTGCCAGTATCCCGATTATCCTGCCGATTGGGCTTCCGGTTGGTCGGCTTCGGGATCTGGTCATGTTCGTTCATTAGAACGGTTTCGTACGTCGTGTTCAGCAGGGTGAAGACTTCCTGAGCACGATCGTGATTCGGTAGGGGTGCCCGGTGGTCGTTACGACCGTACTTCCCACGTCCTTTCTTTGAGTTTCTCTGACGGTTATCCCGGTCGTCCTTCCGTTTGTGTCCTGCCGACGGGTCGTCGGTTCGGCCTGGATAACTTTTGGCGGCCGATTCCTCCTTCCGAGCCGAAGGCCCGGGTTTGGAGTTGAAGTATTCGGCCTTCGCATGGACTGCCGCCTGCTTCATTAATTCGTCATACGTGCGCCAGTTGCTACTGTGCACGAGGTACCGGAAGTGAGAGGACCGTAGGCCACTCTTGAAGGCGCCGTAGGCTGCCCTATCGTCCGTTTCGGGACACCTCGAGTACTCGTGACTGAAGCGCGCTGCGTATTCCCGTAGGGGTTCGTCCTCCCTTTGCCGAATCGTGTACAGATCGTCGGCAGAGTACAAACGGTCCGTCTGGATCATGAAGTGGTTGAGGAAAATCTGCTTCAGTTCGTCAAAGGAGTGTACCGTCCCTGGCTCGAGACGGTAGAACCAGTTCAGCGCGGCTCCGGTAAGGGACGAGGGAAACAGCAGACATTGTCCCTCGTTGCTGAGGCCCTTACACCCAACTGCCGATTGGAAGGAGTGGAGGTGCGTCAGAGGGTCCTCCACACCGGTATAGAAGGGTATGCGCAGTGGCTGCACCTCCCTGTCCGGTCTGGACCTCTTGATGCGCTCGGTAAATGGTCCCGGCCGAAGTTTTCCCCCAGTCAGGGACCTGGGATCGGGTTCGGTCCTCCTCCATCTTCTGGATTCTTTGGAAAAGTAATCGGATGGTAGGGTCTCGGCTGGGGACGTCCTCGGAACCGAAGTCTTCGGAAGCTTTCCTCGGACTTGGTGATCTTGCCTTCGAATACTCCGGGGGAGCTTCCGAACGGTAGCCTGATTCGGTGTCCCTGGTGGGGGTGTACTCATCATCGGACTCCTGCGCTGAGTCCAAACCCTGAGCCCTCCGAAGGGGCAATTTATCCCCCAAGACCCTCATCCGGGAGTCCCTTAAGTTGGCGTTTAGTCTGATTGGGGACCTATGCCGTTCGGTATCCTTCTTGTCGTTGATCCGATGACGACAATCGGTGTATACCTTCTTCGGTACGTGCGGTTGGTCCTGGGGTGCTGGGACCACCAGCTGCTTGGAAGGCGCAGGCGTTGCCTTTGCCCCCTGCTTTCCCTTCCTCTGCCGACCGGGGGTCTGCTGACTCTGGGAAGATTCGGTGGTCCGAACGTTTTGTGTTTCCTGCTGATTAAGCAACCGTTGGGTTTCGTCCACTTTGGACGAGAGAAGATTGTTACGTTCTTGGAGTTTAGCCATCTCCTTTCGGAGGGAGGTCATCTGAGCCAGAAGCTCTGCTTCGACCGTGGTCTGAAGCGCAGGTGGATTACCGAAGGGAGTGCTAGGGTGCAGCGCGGGGCTTGCTCCACTTGGCGTACCGTACGGTAATCCATCCTCTGATAGGAACTGTGGTCCTGAAGTGGTTCCCATTTGTTTTGTTTAGGAATTGTAGGTTGATTATATTGATTTCCCACAGACGGCGCCAAACTGTTGACGCAGAAAAATGGTTCTGCACTTTCCCGCGTAACTTAGTGATTAAGTCTCTTCGGTATCTGATGTCCTCGGTAGGGTGTGCGATCTGTAAGATACAAACACACGGTAAATCCTAGGGCACCGGTGTGGTACCGGCCGAAGGCTCTCCGATGCTTAAGTAAGTACGGATTTAGTAAGTTTTAACTGCAGATCAATAGGCAGTATGCCGTAAGTTCTGATTGATTACCTTCAAGCTGGGAGGGATGTCCTCTTTTATAGGCCTTGGGAGGTGTGCAATTTGCTTAGAGTTTCGATGTGGGACTCTGGGCGTCAGTTGTGGGGCTGCCACGTGTTAGAGAGGCGAGATTGCCCTAATGTTGCCATCGGTAGGTCTGGTACCGAAGACGAGTGCCGAACACAAACGTAGCCCTGGTTTGGTCCACGTGCTCGGTATTCATTGGCTGTTCATTTTGGTATAAACATGGTTCACTCTGTCCGTACCGATCGGTAGGCACCCCCTCATGGTGACTTGACGAGTGGGTGCCAATTGGTACCTGTATTTTCCTGTGGATAGGCCTTGTAGGCAAAGGTTCGGTGAGGCTTCGTAATGCTTCGGTGGTACCGAACGGTGGTTTGATCTACCATTAATGGGACAAGTCCCTTTGTGGAGCTTTGGCACAAGAACAATGCGCTTGGTGCTGCTTTAGACATATTTGTAGCTTCGGCAGATAATGGAACAAGTCCCCTTGTGAGTTTGAGAAAAAGGAGCCACCAACTAGCATCTGTGTAGTTGCCGAAGCAGGGACGGTGTCTTCAACATCTTAGTGCCTTGAGGAGAATGTTCTCTGAGTGCCTGTTGGTAAGTGAAGAAGCTGCCAAGTATTGCTGTGCCGATAGATTAAGTGGGCTGAAGGCGGACCATGTCCAGCAAGTTCTCGAGCTTTTGGCAATTTTTAGTCGATATGTTTCCTCCCACTTTTTATGAAGACATCTTAGGTGTCTTGGGGCTTTATGATTGCTTGGAGATAAAAATCATATGTTTTGATTGTCGTTCAGCAACTCCATATGAAGTGGTGTTTGGTGATTTGCATGAGATTTGCTTCAAACTATAAGATGGGTATTTGGTTATTCACTGATTGTAAAATATGCTAAAATAATATGAGATAGGAAGAGGAATTTTATCCTTTGGAGAGCATGGTGCCGACCCATAGATGTAGAAGTCATGTGGGTATGTCAATATAATAAAAAATATGCATCTCTTAAGAATTAAATAATAATAGGAAGGTAAAAAAATATTGCACTTATCTTTTGGAAGTGAATCACGTGGCCATGCAAAGTCCTTTTGGATTGAATTGGTGGGTTGTCCCCTTGGCCATGCAAAGTGATGCTTTTTGGTGAATTGGAATATTTGACAACCTTCAAATTGAAACTACTCAAAGTGACTAAAAGGTGAGTTGCTTTAGCAAATAGATGACTTCGGCATATTGGTGCTTTCAAACCCCCAAGGTGTCTTCGGCATAGATGGTGCTAAACGGTAAGCTAAAAGGTGATAATTGAAAAGGTGCCGAAGGGCACTAAAGGTAGGGAGAACGACAAAGGCTTCTTGTGTCGATTCCCACAGACGACTCCGTTTGTGTCGCCTTTAGCACCCTCAGCCTTGCGACATGCAAGCTTTGTGTCGCCTTCGGCATCCCTTTTCCTTCGGCACCCTTTTGCCTAGCCACATCACCCTGTGACATGCAAGATTTGTTGCAACTTCTCTCCCTTCAATGTCCTTCTTACCCAGGGACTTGGGGGACTATGGGTAGTGCACTATACAGCTTGGAAGACCTGTGGTGTTGCTTGGCCAGTGTACTTAAAATTACAAGTCCCCAACCAAGAAGTACCTTCTTTCTCGCGAACTTAGGGGACTACTGTTAGTACCGTTACTAACCGAGCAATTAGCTATGCTAGATCAGCCACGTGCCATACTTTGAGAGGTCATCACCTTAGCCAAAGAAGCATTACCACAAGTCACAACTCTAAGCAAAGCAAGAGGAATCCCAGATCGGAAAACTACAAGAGATGGAGACTCCCCCTCACCTATAAAAGAAGACTACTCTCCCTTGAGAAAGGGGACTCTTTTTTGGATCCCTGGGCTGGGCTTTATCTTTAATCATGGGCTTCCCCCTTCTTATCTTTATATTTGGGTTCAACCTCATGTACAAATGTATTTTTATAATGAGAACATACTTCTCTGTGGATGTAGCCCATTCATGAAGGATGAACCACATATATCTTGTCTTCTTTATATTTATCGCTTGCCCAAATTTTCATACACACGCTGAAGGTCCTCACCTTCACCCATCATCCACCATTCCACATCTATCTAAGTTGACCTCCCATAAAGAGCATCAACATATGTCTATTAAGACATATCCAAATTGAGAAGCATCTGGATAGGTGTAGCCTTCCCAAACTATCAAACATTGATGCATATCACAAGATGGTGTTTATGACAGCAACAGTCAAAGTTTTTGTGAGAGTAGCAGTCATTAAGGCCAATCTGATCAGAACGTCCATTGCTCAGATGAAGTTTATGTCTTCATAAAAGTTGTTTATCTAGGTGTCTACTACAACATATTAAAAATTTACCGCATTGGGATATGTATTGAGTCTTCCGGGCACACAATACTTAAGCATGTTCTTCTAGCCCAATCTTCCGAACTTCTAATTCTATGAGCAACTTTCAATCATTAAATGAAGTTTCTTTCTTCTTGAATGTTGTTCATATGGATGTTTCCTATGACATATCCAAAATTGGCGGTATTTGGATAAGTATTGAATCATCAATGTTAGTATGAAAATTGAATTGGCATTTTCTAGACTCCAGCATAGGTTGTGAATTAGTGTGTGAATATCTTTTACTGGAAGTTTTAGTGCAACACATTCAATCTCGGATTTTCGAAGTATGACTTGATCGATATGAGGAACTTAATTTCGGGTAAATCATGACATAATTATGCATTCATTATAGGATTCCTAGTTGGAGTTATTTTCACTCAAGCACTTTTATATTAGTCCTATTTTTAATAGGATTAGATTTTATCTCTTGAGATTATTGTCCTAGTTGGACCTTATTTTAGTTTAAGTAAAAATATCATTTTTCATAATTGACTTGGAGAGCATGTTTCTTTTAATACCCAAATTGGTTCCATTGATTAATATGGTTTCCTTATATAAAGAGATGGGATTGGAAGGTATTTGAAAGCTTGCATAAGTTGACGGAAAGAACCAAATCTGATTAGCAAGATTTGATCTCTTGGATTTATGCAATTCCCTTGAGAAAAGGAGAATGGGTCTTGTATAAGTATAGGACGTGCTGCCTTGGTTGTGTAAAGCTTTGATAGATTTGTTTTGAGCATATAGAATTCCAAGAAAAGCTGTTGTGCATATATTTGAGATAAATTACCAAGTGTTCCATGTTTACTATTGCGTTAAACATAAAGAGTGTCGAAGATCATCCCGTGGCAGAAGTTGAGTTACGAAGAAGTCAGTAAACATTATCTAGAATGTGTCTAGGATAAGTGTGTGCGAGTACTTCTTATAATCATCATTCTATAGTAGATTTGTGTTGGACTGAGAAGTCCTGTGGAATTTCCCCAGAAGCAAACACAAGAAGTATAGCAGTGGTCAAAGTGTTTGTGACAGTAGCAGTCCTTAAGGCTAGTCCAATAAGACTTTCATTTGGTCAAATGAACTTTATTTATTCATGAAAGTTGTTCATCTGAGTGTCTACTATATTGTGTCCAAATTTGGTGGCATCTGGACAAGTGTAGAATACTTAAAAAATTAAACATTGAAGTCTTTCTGAAGGAACTGTCTGTGACGATCAGTCAGTTTGAGCCATGCCAAATCGGATTTTCCATTGCTCAAATAGATTCAAGTTCTTCATGAAAGTTGTTTCTCCATATGTGTACGACAATGCCAACAAGAGAAGTACCAACAAGTACTGGGCCTTCCATGGAACATAAGGGCACGACAATGCCAATTGCCAATCTGGGAAGATGCACCTCAAAGAGCTCATAAGAGAAGGCCATTGCATGTAGTTCGTGGCAGAGAAGGCCATTTAGCATATCGAGGATCGCGATGCCACTAAGAAGCCCCCACAGAAGGTCATAAGGATTAATACAATCTTGACTGACTCCGAGGAATCTGGGTTGACCATCAAGGAAAGGAAGATGAAGATTAAATAGGCCACTATTACATCCCAAGTCTTAACTAGCTACCCAATATTTGAAGATGATCCCATGATCGATTTCTAGAAGAAAATTTTGATTAGGCTTGATATGTCATACAATGATCCCCTTGTCATAAGCATCTAAATCACACAAGCCATGATCGAGTGAGTTCACATAGACGAGGGAAACACAGCCAATATCCTACAACTTTGTATAGTCCAGTAGATAGGTATGGAGGCGAATATCAACAAGTTAGCCAGGTTAGTGATTGGCTTCAATAGAGCAACTACGATAACTATGGGAATGGTAGAGCTTGATGTCTACTCCCCACCAGTGATCAGCGCTCATACATTCTTGATCATCGACGAAATCTCCCCTTAAAATGGCATCCTGGGTATACCATGGATTAGCAAGATCAAAGCCATCACTTCCACCATGCACCAGAAAATCCGCTACCTAATCCCTAAAGGCGGTGTCAGCCAGATCAACAGTGATCAAGCAATGGCAAGAAAATGCTCAGCTCAAGGGCTGGAGGAAAGCAATCAAGCACAGTTCGTCCCCATTAATCAAGGAGATCTGAAAGGAGGAGAACAAGTAGAGGAGGAAGCAGATCCCATTCATGACAGTCGAGCAAACCGGAAGGAATAGCCATTCCCCGATAGCAATTAAAGAATCAGGACCAAGACGAGGGAATCCGTACAGAGACCTCTCTTGAAGAAGGATGGAAACCTGAGGAGGACTTGGAGCTAGTACCTTTTGATCCTGATAAGCCAGAGAGAAAAGCGAGAATCGACTTGCGCCTAAGCAACAAAGACATGTTTGCATGGTCACCATCTGACATGCCAGGCATTAATTCGAAGATCATTTGCCATCGCCTTCATGTCAATCCAATTAGAAGACCAATGGCGTAGAAGAGACGCAACTTCGCTCCCAAGCAAGTCTCTATCATCGAAGTCGAGATTGACAAGCTCCTAACTGCTGGGTTCATCGAAGAAGTCTTCTACTCAAAATGGCTCGCCAATGTTATTCTAGTGGTAAACAAATACCAAGGCAACTGGAGTGTGTGTGTAACAAGGCGTGCCTGGAAGACAACTTTCCCCTGCCAAGAATTAATCAACTTGTAGATTCAACTTCTGGCAATCAATAGTTAAGCTTCATGCATGCTTACTCTGGCTACAATCAAATCATGATGCATGAGAACAATAAAGTGAAGACTTCTTTCATAATTGAAAGAGGAACATATTGCTACAAAGTCTACCATTTAGGTTGAAGAATGTCGGAGCAACGAACCGGAGGCTCGTGAACAAGATTTTCAAAGAAGCATATCGGCAAGACTATAGAGATCTATGTAAAGGACATGCTAATCAAAGCTCCTTGAGGATCATATCACATCTAGAACCTTGTCGAACCCTTCAGCCTGCTCCAAAAGTACCACATGAAGTTGAACCCGAGTAAGGGCACATTTGGAGTCTCATCTGACCAATTTTTAGGATATTTAGCCATCCAAAGAGGCTTCGAAGCATATCCGAATCAAATCAAGGTCATCCTCAATATGAAGTCGTCTACCACAACAAATATATACAAATTCTAATAGGCAGAGCAGCAACTCTTAACTGATTCCTTTCAAGATCCACTGACAAGTACAAGTCATTCTTCAAAGCCTTGAAGAAAGGACAAAAAGACAAGTGGGATGCAGAGTGCGAAATAGCTTTCCAAAACTTGAAGACCTACCTCACTTCACCTCCCTTACTCTCAAAACCCATACCAGGTGAAGATTTGTTCATCTATCTAGCAGTGTACAACTCAGCAGTTAGCTCAACATTCATCTGAGAAGAGCTGGGGGCACAACAACAGGTATTCTACACTTCAAAAGCCCTCTTCAATGCAGAGATTCAATATTCAAAAATGGAGAGGCTTATTTTATCCCTTGTAGTTTCCACAAGAAAGTTAAGACCATACTATTAAGCTCACTGAATCATCATCATGACAAAATTTCCTTTAAGATCGATTCTTCATAGTCCTGACGCTTCTCAGTGACTCATGAAATGGGCTATCGAATTAAGTTGGTACGACCTCCTCTACAGGCTGAAGACTGCTATAAAAGCCTAGGCTTTAGCAAATTTCGTTGCAGAGAAAACTCCATTAGCCCAAGAAGAAAAGATGGTCAACAAATTCAAGGAAAGGTTGAGAGTAGACAAGAACTCCTCCGCTGATCCTGACATGCCTAAAGATATGTTGCAGTTGTGCATAGAAGGAGCGTCAAATCACAAGGCAGCTGGAGCAAGCCTCGTTATAATCACCCCAGACAAAACCTTATTAGAGAAAGTCGTCACATTAGGCTTTCTAGCCTCAAACAACGAAGTAGAGTACGATGCGCTACTCGCTGGCTTGCGCATGGCAAAGGAGCTGTAAATTAAGAGGCTAGCCATCTACTCAGATTCCCAACTGATCACCAATCAAGCATCAGGGGAGTACACGGTGAACCACCCAAGGGTGATCCAGTATCTAGACAAAGTCCAAGAGCTTTTGAAGGCATTCCCTGCCTTTATTATCCAACAAATTACCCGGGCAAAACACACACATGTAGATGCGATGGCAAGTCTAGGATCAACATTGGATACCTAGTTCAGACATTTAATCCTGGTCGAGCACCTTGATGCAGATTGATGAGGATCCTAGCTAGCAAAACCCATCATTGAGTACATGGTAAACTAAAATTTGCCAAGGGAGAAGTCCGAAGCTAGTAAAATCAAGCAGAAAGTTGCAAGATACTACATGAAGGACAACAAGCTTGTTCGAAGGTCATATTTCGGCCCTCATGTCACCTTCATCAACTATCCTCAAATTCTCAAAGTACTCTACAAAATCCACAACAACCAGTGCGGCAACCATTTTGAGGGTAGGTCACTCGCTCAGAAAGCTCTTAGCATAAGCTACTTTTGGCCTACCATGAGACACGAGTCCATGGAGTATGTCAAAAGATGTGATCGATGCCAACGATACAAGCCAGTTCCTAGCTTGCCTGCCGAAGTGTACCATCCACAGAATAGCTCCTGACCATTCCTGCAATGGGCTATTGACTTAGTGGGTCCCATGCCACTAGCACCTGTCAAGAAAGACATGATGATCGTTGCCACAGACTACTTTACTAAATGGATCGAGGCCAATGATCTATCCTCTACTAAAGAAGTCGATATGGAGCAATTTGTTTAGAAGAACATTATCTGCAAGTTCGGCTGCCCACAGTCGCTCAGCACTGACAATGGATCGCAATTCATTGGCAGGAAGATCACCGCATTTTTCTCAAAGTATGGCATTAAACAACACATGTCAACACCTAGATATCCGCAATGCAATGGCCAAGAAGAGACATCTAACTCGTGTTGGATTGTCTGAAGAAGAGAATAGAAGACGCCGAAGGAAAATGGGTAGATGAGCTGCCTGGAGTCCTGTGGGATTATCACAGCACCAAAAGAAGATCAACTAGTGAAACGCCATTTTTCCTCATCTATAGAACTGAAGAAATCATTCCTCCTCATATCACTATTCCATCCATGAGCATCGAGGTGGGCAGCCTAGATCAGAATTATGAGCAGATAAAGGTCAACATCGACTTGCTCGAGGAAGAAAGAGAAAAGGACATTGTAAAAGTTGCAGCTTATCAACAACATTTGACGTCCTACTACAACAAAAGAGCCAAAGTCAGACAATTCCAACCTGGGTAATTTGTGCTTAGAAAAGCCTTCATTGTAGCATAAACGCAAGGATAAAAAAAGATGAAGCCCAGTTGGGAAGGTCTTTATATGATCAACCGATCTAGGGTAAAGGAAGCTATACGCTAGATACCATGGAAGGCAAGGAAGCTCCAAGACATTGGAATGCCCATCATCTCTGAAGGTATTACCTATGAAGCTCCTGCTCACTTGCTTAGACCCAAGCAGATGACTAGGCCCACTCCACTTCAATTCGAAGAAAGTTCAAGTTTTTCAAAAGAAGTGTTCAAGAGAAGTTCTAAAGTGTCTGAAGGGAGACGCAAGAAGACATCCAAAACGTCCTAAAGGAGATGTAGACCACTTACCAAAACGTCCTAAGGGAGACATAAGCAACTGCCACAACAACCTAAGGGAGACGTAGGCCAACTGCCAAAATGTCCTAAGGGAGATGTAGGCCACCTGCCAAAACGTCTTAAAGGAGATGTAGGAAAACACCAAAAGGTCCTAAGGGAGACGTAGGCCACAACCAAAACATCTTAAGGGAGACGTAGGCAACTGCCAAAGCATCCTAAGAAAGACACAGGCCACATGCGAAGCATCCTAAGGGAAAAGCAAAAGAGCACCTTTTAAGTAAGCGGTGAGTAAATATTCAAGCATCTTAAGAGAGATGCACAACCAAGGCACCAACAAGTCACTCAAGCAGTTCACAAGACCAACAAAATTTTTGGTATAATGACTAAAATTTTCCATAGCAAAGTGACAAATTGGCCAGAGTTCAACAAAAAAAAGATGGTTCACAAGACCAATTATTGCAAACAAAAAAGCAAATTACAAAGCTTGAAAAGATAAAAGAGTCTTCATCCACTGATCAGCGACCTCCTCAGCTTTGGCCTAGCTCAGCTACATGCTCATCAAATGCAGCCATTTGCTCGGCAGCTCCAACTGCCTGCTTCTCCAAATCTGCCTCCACCTCATCAACTGCGCCCTTCTTGGCATCATCCTCCTCAACTGCTGTCTCATCAGCCACTTGCTCTTCAGCTGCAACAATGATTTTCACATCTTAAGTAGGGGGCATGTCAGGACAAAACATCTCAACATCTTCATCTTCAATGGAATGACAAGGAGCAACCCCACTCTTGCAGGACCCCCCTTTGCATTCCAAGTAGCCCAGCTTGTATGCATCCACGACAACCTTAGACTTGGATCATTCAATAGCCTTGTGGTAGGCGTCAAACTGGGTTAGAAGTTTATTATAACTTTGGGATATGTCAACATTCTTGCACTCAAGAAGGAAGTATGTCTCTTTGCGACCATGCAAGGTAGCAAAAGAAGAGTTGAGTTCATTATCTTTTTTAGCAAGGGAACTCTTCAGCACAGACATGTTCTCCTTCATTTTAGACATCCTCGTTTCATGACAGATCTGCTCGGCCGAGAGCTTGCCAGTCAGATCAACATTCTTCTTCTCCAACTCATTGAGATGAGCATAAGAGGGGGCAATAACATAGGAGTTCTAGATGGCCTCAACATTCTTCTTCTCCAGTTTGATCCTCATCCTTCGACTAGTGTAGACGACTTGAACTTCGGGAAGGAATGTCAACAGCTCTTTGTTTCTCGTCAGGTGAACCTGTTTGGGAACAAACTTCTTTGTACGGTAGATTGCAGTTTTTGAGTTAGTGAGTAGACTTAAGCAAAATGTCTCGAACATTCCGGATGACACCAACCTTTTTACTATATGCACCGACAAGATGCTCGACCATAGCAGACGACGATTAAGCAGCTCTCACTTGAGTCTTCTCAGCAGACGAGACCTTTTTTGAAGAAGACTTGATCATAGCAGAAGGAAGTCCCGACTTCTTCCTTAACGGAAACCAAGGTCTAAAGTATTGATGGTATCGGAAATATCGGTAGTCCAAAATACGGAAATTTCAATAGAAATATCAGGATATTATCGATATCGATAAAAATTGAATAAAAACCACATAAATTGTAAGAAAAACTTGGAAATTTTTATTGAAACTTTGGAGGATGTTTATTTAGTCAATTATCTATTAGTTTCTCACAAAAAAAATAGAAGGAAATGCATTGCATTATGGGTTTAACTGATTTAAGTTGATTATATAGCGAGCTGACAAATATTGTGAGTGTAGAAAATATGTAGTAATTAATGAAAGAAGATTAAACACACCATAATCATTTATATATAATGATTTACTACAATATTTTGCACTTTATATATTGCATGGTAAGACACATGAGTGACCTAGTACCACATAGAGTTCCCATGAAATTCAAAATTTTCACTATATTCATCATCTCTACGTGTAGAGTAAGTGTATTGTGAAGAGTAGTCATCAAATGATAAATTCCCAAAATAGTTTTGCATGTAATTATTTACATGCCACCCATATGGATCCAAGATTGGTTGATGTTGTCCTTAAGCAAAATCATTTGAAGATTGGGTCTCGGATTCTTTCCATGAGCCACTCGATTCCATCCCAAAAGGAAAGGTCAAAGACTCACATTCTCGTATGAAAATATGATTCTTGCAAAAACTGTTCAAAACAAAACAATATAAATATACATATTTTAGCATATTATCACAAAAACATAAGCAACACGGTGGTTAAGGAGTTGGAAGAGTGAAATGGCAGCTGTTTGAATCCCCTTTGCGTATTTCCTTTGTGTTTTTTCTTCACTTTTTCCATTACATCGATATTTTCGATATTATAGCGATATTTTGACAAAATATTGTTGTAGTGTGAGCGAAATTATCGACATCGATATTCTTCAATATTATCGTCGATATTACCAATATTTATATGATATGTGTATGGATACATTCTGAAATATCTGTGACTCGAAAACCGATAATATCCTCAATATTTCGTCGATATTATCAATATTTTAGACTATCAGGGAGAGATATCCCCAGCCCATGAAGTTGCAGCTTCATCTTTGGAGGACTTGGCTTCGACCTTCCTTTTTTCGGAAGGTTCGATCGAGGACTCCTCCTATTCAACAGGTAGGTAGGCCATACTGCCTCCATTTCTCAATATCCTTGGCAGTGGGAATACCACTAGCTTTCTTTTGATACTCTCTAAATAGCCAGCGCCATTTGTGAAACCTTAGAGGGATGTTCAAGGCTCGGCGGACCTTAGCCATTTCTGGCTCGAGATCCAATTTCTTGCTCATATCATTTCCTACAAGCAGAAGACATAAGTCACTTAGTCACACATCAAAGAATTCAGACAAAATTGAAGCAGATCTATAGAGTATGACGTACCATCACAGTGGGTGAGGGCAACAAGTGGACCATCGTCGACCTTGCCTTCTCGCCGACCGCCGACCGCTGACCACAAACACATCGGCATGCCATACATGATCTCCTTGGCTGAGATTGTCAAACTACTTGGAGTTGGATACACAAACTTGAGCATACTTCTCGTAGCGCCTCACTTCAAATAAGTAAAACAACTTTCACATCGTTAGATCCAGCTTGAAGAAACTGCTCAAATTCTCAGAACACATGATCACCCGGTAGACGTTCGAAGTACATTGGCTTGGGGCACAATCCATGGTGCAGAATACCTTCCTGAAGAACTTCGACAATGGGAACGTGAAGCACAAAGAAAAATAGAACGGATGAAATGTGATAATTCTGGCATTCAGATCTTTCGAATCTACACAAGGCACATCGTCAGTCGAAGATGCCGCTAGCTTGACATGCACATCATCAGGTATGGCATAAGCATAGGTGGCACACCACTTCTGGAAGTGTGCTTCTGATGTAACATGATGCAAATTAACCAAGAATCTCTTCTTGTGCACCTCAGAACCACACCATGGTATAGAAGTACTTGTGAACTTGGTGATTGGCTGCCCTTATCGGAAGACATGATTGGTGAATAGCTGCAAAAAGGTAAGAAAATTGAAAGTCATATAGCATGTCAAAACCCTAAGTTGTAGCGCAAAAAAGAAGAAGAAGAAAAAGTAGTGAACCACAATTGTCAGTCGATAATAGTCAGCCACAATCGTCAATTGCTGACAGCAGCTGACAACAGTCGGCAGCAATCTGCAGCAGCCACGCGTAGCGAAAAATGCATGCACCAGCCTGAGCCTCAGTGCAACCCAGTCTGGCATTAGCGCTTCTTGCCGCCTCTTCGAGTAGCAGTTCCAGTTGCATCACGGTTGCGACAACAGTCTCCTCCAACAGCCTCCACTCCTACCACCATCGCTCTAATCATCATGTCGCGATGATAACCAGAAGGGCACACCCAGCTGATCCTTGTCAAGAGCTAAACCTCGACAAACAGTACACTCCTTCAAGATCTCTCTCACAAGTTATAAAGTAGACGATGACAAGTTTGAAATTTGAATAGGAGTGAAGAGAAGGTTTGTATTTATAAAGGTTGGGTATCCTAGGTCAAGGAGGAATCACAAACCTATTCCCATTAGGAGCCCAACCACAAGAAGAAGTCAAGACCCTACTCTAATTATGAGCCCAACTCAAGAAGACAGTCCATATGTAGTTGGAGAGCCCGATAAATGTTACTCATCTCTTCAATGCTTCACAAGCTCCATGCAAAAGCTTGGGGGCATTTGTGGGAAAATATATTTCACCGGCCAATAAGAAGACAACACATGGAAAAGGAATATTCCTTAGGTCAAACTAATTACCGTAATTAAATTCTATTTAATTAGGGAAATTATATTTCATTCAAGATAAGAATATCTCCATAAATCAAGGAACCAATCTCCACCAAATCTCTTGGAGTAATTCCTATCATCTTTTTGGGAAAGAATAATCCTAACCAAGAGTAATTCCTATCGCTAGAGCCTAACTTTTTTTTTCTCCTTCTTTTTTCGATGGCTTCCAGCAACGTTCCCGCTATCTCCATTCCCAATATATCTCACCTTGTCTCTGTCAAACTATCTGATACCAACTATCTTGTCTAGCACAGCCAGGTCAAACCCTTCTTACTAGGCCAAAATCTTTGGCGCTTTGTTGATGGCTCTCATCCTTGCCCTTCCCCTACGCTTCCTCCTTCTGATAAGTCTGAATCCTCGACTCCGCCGTCAGCCAATCCTAACTATGTCTCTTGGTTTCAAACTAACCAAAGTCTGATTAGTATTCTTCGTGCTACGTTGTCTGAGAGTGTTCTTTCCCAAGTTATTAGGTTCCCTACCTCGAAAGAAATTTGGGATTGTCTCCAACAAAATTTCTCGCAGCAGTCCCTTGCCAATTCTGCCCAGCTCAAATTTCGCCTCTTCTCTATTACCAAAGGTTCCAAATCCATCTCTGAATACCTTGCTCAAGCCAAGAGTTTGGCTGATGAACTCTCTGCGATCCAGGAACCTGTCCAACTTCGACCTGGTTACTTATGTGCTTCGTGGTCTGGGTCTTGACTACCAAATGATCGTAACGGCAATTTTGAACTTCCCCCCGCTTCCTTCCTTCTCGGACCTCCGAACTCGCCTCCTTGCTTTCAAAGGGCAACAGGCCTTAGCAGCTCAGCTGGCTCCTGTGGCTTCCCTTGCTGCTTTTGTTGCTGCTCGCGCCCATCATGGCCCCCGCCACTCGCGCCCACGTGACCAACCTCCTCGTTCCTTTGGTGGTCCGTCTCCCATCCGCCATATCTCTGGCCCGAGCCAGCCTTCCCATCGTGCTTCCCGTCCTTCCTCATTCTCTCTCGGTCTTTTGGGTCCTCCACCCTCTCGCCAGTCCATTCAATGTTGGAATTGCAATCAATTTGGCCATGTTCAAGCCAAGTGCCCCTCTACTCGTCCTTTCGCAGGAATGCATGTTGCATCCTCTTCAGACCCGAACTGGTATTTGGACTCCGATGGCACCAATCACATGACGCATGATGCGCAGCAATTACACTCTCGCACTCCGTGTGCCCCTTCAGATCAAGTTGTTGTTGGTAATGGTGACACCCTCCCCATCACTCATTCTGGTAACCTTTCTTTTTCTTCTGGTACCTTTGTCTTTCGTCTCTCTAATGTTCTCCATGTTCCTTCCCTTCGTAAAAATCTTTTCTCTGTTGCTCAATTTACTCATGATTTTAATGTTAGTATTACTTTCTTTCCATGGGGATACCAAATTCATGACTCACAGCGTGGTGTTGTTCTCTTTCAGGGCCTATGTAAAGATGGTCTTTATCCTATTTTTCCAATGCTATTGGCTGGTTCCAAGCACGCTTTTTCTTCTATTGTCACGTCATCCTCCCTATGGCATCGTCGTCTTGGTCATCCCTCCAATAAAGTTCTACGCTCACTTGTTTCTAGTATAAATATGTAAGTTATTCATTGAAATGAAACAAGCAATTCTAAAAGCAGAACTCAAAGCAGTTCCTTAGCTTCTTCCTTTTGTTTCTCTAATTGTCTTAAAATTCCTCTCGTTCCTTCATTCCTATATATTAGGAATTCATAGTTCTATCGACTAGAAGTTTTGGATCAAGTGGTATCAGAGCACCAGATCCGAGTGGGTGACGGTGGTTTATGGTCTCAACTCGCAACCAACGCAAAGCGTCTAGAGAAGAACTTTTAGGTCCTTTGCTCGTACACCGAAAGCCAAGGTCCAAGAGAGGCAATATGACTGGAGAAAACAAACAGGATACATCTAGTGATGACGATCGCATCACTAAACTTGAGAAACAAGTTGAAAAATTGTCTGCATCAATCCTTAAACTCGTGGAGAGTTTGAAGACTGGAAAATCTTCACGTCCATCAACTTCATCTGAGCCTGATCAAAAGCTCAAGAAAAAGGTTGTTGAGGATATCGAAGATGAAGACGACATACAAGCTGAATCAGGTGATAATAAAAATTCTATTGATACCTTAAAGATTGATTTTAAGGTTGACATCCCTATATATAAAGGAGATGTTGATCCTGAAAAGCTAGATAACTAGATAGACACATTAGAAACTTATTTCACAGTTTATAAGTATTCTAATGTGAAAAAAATAAAATTTGCTAGTTGGAAACTTTCAAGCCATGCCCTTACATGGTGGAAGTCCTATCAGAGGCGATATGATGTCTCAGAATTGACTTGGAAGAACTTCAATAAGCTTTTGAGAAAACAATTTTATCCAGTTGGCTATGAAGATGAAAGATGGTATAAGTGGCAACACTTCAGACAAAGATTTGGGCAGCCTGTACAAGAATATACAACAGAGTTCCACAACCAAGTTATGGTTCTGGACATTGACGTTGACGACTACGACGTTTTCATGAAGTATACCGGAGGTCTTGCCGACTACATATGGAAAGAATTAAAATTGTTCACTGTAGATACTATTAAAGAAGCTACGGTGAAGGCCATTGCCATTGAGGCAAAACATAAAAGAACTGACAAAAAGGATGACAGATCAAAACCTGTCAACAAAACTAACTGGCAGAAAAAGGGGAAGCAAAGCAAGGAAGGTCAGACATAGAAGGTCTACTGTGATCACTGTCAAACCAGCAAACATGCCAAAGACAAGTGCTGGATACTCCATCCTGAGTTTCGGCCAAAGCGCGAGAAAAACAACCAGGGGAGAAATGACAGAAAAGCCACCTTAACTACACAACAGGCAGAAGAGCTTCCAGAGTTGAAGCAACCTGATGTTACACTTACCCTTATGACAAGACCAGCAGATACTGAAGACACATACAATCGTGAAGAGTTGTTTCATGTGAATATTCAGGTGAAGCAAAGTGTTGTACAAGCTATCATTTACCCTGGAAGTCAAAAAACTTGATTTCAGAGGCTTTAGTAAGAAAAGTGGGTTTAGAAACTACACCACATCCTAAGCCGTACCTGCTAGGATGGATTCAGAAAGATGTTGACTTACAGATCACGAAGCAATGTACCTTCAAATTTGCTATCACCAACCGATATATTGATGTGGTGACATGTGAGGTGGTTTCTTTGGATGTTTGCCAAGTCATATTAGGCAGTCCATATTTATAGGACCGAGATGCCATCCACTATCGGAGGCTTCGCAAGTATCGACTTGTGAAGGATGGGAAGGAGTTCCACATCAACGTTTGCAAGCCTCAAGCTACAAATAATTTGCTTGCAGATAATTTGCTGGCAGCTAACCAAGCTAAGAGGTTAGTCAATTCATGTGAGCGATTTTTTTTGTTGATGATTCGACCGCAAGATCAGAGTTCTGGAGCTGTGACATTGTCTACATTGTCTTTATCTCCTACACAATGCTCAGACATAGGGAAATTACAGGAGAAGTTCAAGGACTTATTTCATGATGTGCAGGGTTTGCCACCACGGAGAGTTGTGGAGCATGAGATCCAGTTGGTAGGAGATTCACCTCTACCAAACTTGGGTTTGTATCGTACTTCTGTGACGGAATCTGACGAGATCAAAAAGCAAATTCAGGGACTTCTTGAACAAGGAGTTATCAAACCTAGCTGCTCACCATGTGGTTCGCCAGTGTTACTTGTGCCTAAGAAAGACGGAGGCTGGCATATGTGTGTTGATTATAGGGAAATTAACAAAATAACCATCAAGAATCGGTATCCATTGCCGAGGATTGATGACCTGCTAGATCAACTACATGGTGCACGCTACTTCACTAAGCTTGATCTCAAATCTAGCTATCACCATGTCTGCATCCATGAAGAAGATACTTGGAAGACTGCATTCAAAACAAAGCAGGGACTCTTCGAGTGGTTAGTCATGCCATTCAGGTTATGTAATGCTCCAGCTACCTTCATGCAATTGATGAGTGAGGTACTCCACCCTTTCATTGACGACTTCATCATTGTATACTTAGATGACATTCTCATGTTTATTTTTGTTGGTTTTAAGCCATAAAGAATAAATGGCCTAAAATCTTACTTAATTTGAAACCATTAACTTTTTATGGTTTATAACAATTCGTTATAAACCATTAGTTTTTTATGGTTTTAAATAATTCAATAATATAATATAATATAATTAATTATAATTATATTATATTATGTTTATTTTTGTTGGTAGATCCTCTTGGATCATGGCTCCCCCATTTAAGATGCTTAAGCTCCTGGTGAAGCTAAATTGAGATGAGGAAACTCTATTATTGCCTTGTCTCAAATATACCATTTCGACTTGCTAGGAAGTTGTCCTTTTCTACCAAAATACTCATACTTTCCATGTCGAGTCTCACGAACCTTCTGTTCCAATATACAATCCTTCTGCAAAGGATCTTCTTATTCAATCTGCAAGTCATCAACTGATGGAAGACGAGTGTCTTCTTCGGGATCATCATCAAGTAGAGATGGCTCAAAAAGTTTAAGATTCTCGACATTGATGACCGAGTACATATGCATGTATGGTGGTAATTCAAGTTGAAAGGCATTATCACCAATTTGTTTGATGATCTTGATCGGTCCATAACGAATAGGCTTCAGTTTCTTGCCTTCACCGGTTAGCCGCTCCTTTCCAAGGTGTAACCATACTAGGTCACCTTCTTTGAAGTTACATGACACACGATGCTTATCATGGCGAGCTTTATACCATTGCTGAGAACATTTCAATTGTGCCTCTACTTCAGTATGAATCTTTTTGACTCATTCGAGAAATTTTTGTGCTCGAATATGTTCTTCTTTTTCTTTCCCACTTAATGGTTGGTCACTCATAGTGAATGCTAAATCAAAAGGACTCTGGGGTAAATAACCCAAACAAACCTCAAATGGAGATTTGAGTGTGGAACCATGAATTGCTCGGTTAAAAGCAAATTGTAAGTAAGGGAGACTTTCATCCCAAGTCTTTGGATGCTTTGAATTGTAACCCCTCAATAAGTGTACCATAGTCCGGTTTACAACCTCTGTTTGCTCATCTGTCTGTGGATGAAATGCAGTACTTCTTTTCAATCTGGTATCCATCATTCCCCATAACGACCTCCAGAAATGGCCTAAGAATCGACTGTCTCTATCATAAATAATAGATGTAGGTAAGCCAAAATACTTCCAAACATGTTGGAAAAATAACTTAGCAGCTCCTTCTCCAGTAATAGTCTTCTTGCATGGAATGAGAATCACCATCTTACTGAAACGATCTACCACAACAAACAAGTAGTCAGTTCCAGACTTGGTTTTAGGCAATCCACCTAAGAAATCCATCGAGATATTCTCCCAAGGTCGAGTAGGTACTGGTAATGGAAGATACAGTCCTAACTTTCTGTTGGAAGGCTTCGATGTGTTGCATATAACATAACCTCGAATGTATCCTGAAACATCGAGATGCATCTTTGGCCAATACACATAGCGACGAAGATTCAATAAAATCTTCTCAACTCCAAAATGTCCTGCTACTTTGGAAGTATGAGCCTCACGAATCCACTACAATCTATCGCCATCTTCTGGAATGCACAATTGTGTTCCTTTGTACATTAGTCCATCCTTCAATTGGAACTCACTAGTCTTTCCTTGTTGTAGCTTGGCATAGGCTGAGTTGAAATTAGTATCTGTATCATACCCTTTGGCATATTCAGAAGGAACAATTGGTTGGATTTGCATAGCCACCAGCAATGCGGAACTAACTAGTGTAGGTGGTTTATATAACATATCTGCCAACTTATTAGTTGTTCCTTTCTTGTACTTTATCACAATATTGAATTGTTGTAGGTAAGACATCCATTTCATATGGTGAGCTTGTTGCAACTTAGACTGTGTAGTTAAAAATTGAAGAGGTTTATGATCTGAGTGAACTACAACTTCTTTTCCCAACAAGTAAGCTCTCCAATGCTTCACTGCTTGATGCATTGCATACAGCTCCTTGTCATAAGTCGGATAATTCAATACCGGTCCACTAAACATCTCAAAATGGTATGCAACTGGTTTCCCATCCTGAAATAATACGGCTCCCATTGCATAGTTTGATGCATTTGCTTCTACTTCAAATGGTTTCTGCAGATTCGGTAATGCTAATACTGGGGCCTTTGTAATCTTTCGTTTCAACAATTGGAAAGATTCTTCATGGTTTCTCGACCATTCAAACTTTTGATTGGCCTTTGTAAGTGAATGTAAGGGTGCTGCAATTTGTGAAAAGTGCCGAATAAACTTTCGCAAATATTGACATGCACCTATAAAGCTCCGAACTTCAGTTACTGAACGGGGTGTAGGCCAGTGAGAAATCACATGTACTTTCTCTAGGTACATTTTCAGTTCTCCTGTACCAACAATGAATCCCAGGTATACGAGGTGTTGTTTCGCAGATTCACACTTCTTACCATTTAACTGTAACTGATTTGTTCGTAAAACCTCAAAAACTTGAGCAATATGATGAAGATGGTCCTCCCATGTGACACTAAAAATGAGAATGTCATCTAAGTATACAATGACGAAGTCGTCAATGGAAGGGCGGAGTACCTCATTCATCAATTGCATGAAGGTAGCTGGAGCATTACATAACCCGAATGGCTTGACTAACCACTCGAAGAGTCCCTGCTTTGTTTTGAATGCAGTCTTCCAAGTATCTTCTTCATGGATGCGGACTTGGTGATAGCCAGATTTGAGATCAAGCTTAGTGAAGTAGCGTGCACCATGTAGTTGATCTAGCAGGTCATCAATCCTCGACAATGGATACCGATTCTTGATGGTTATTTTGTTGAGTGCCCTATAATCAACACACATACACCAGCCTCCGTCTTTCTTAGGCACAAGTAACACTAGCGAACCACATGGTGAGCAGCTAGGTTTGATAACTCCTTGTTCAAGAAGTCCCTGAATTTGCTTTTTGATCTCGTCAGATTCCGTCACAGAAGTACGATACAAACCCAAGTTTGGTAGAGGTGAATCTCCTACCAACTGGATCTCATGCTCCACAACTCTCCGTGGTGGCAAACCCTGCACATCATGAAATAAGTCCTTGAACTTCTCTTGTAATTTCCCTATGTCTGAGAATTGCGTAGGAGATAAAGACGATGTACACAATGTCACAGCTCCAGAACTCTGATCTTGCGGTCGAATCATCAACAAAACAAATCGCCCACATGAATTGACTAACCTCTTAGCTTGGTTAGCTGTCAGCAAATTATCTGTAAGCAAATTATTTGTAGCTTGAGGCTTGCAAGCGTTGATGTGGAACTCCTTCCCATCCTTCACAAGTCAATACTTGCGAAGCCTCCGATAGTGGATGGCATCTCGGTCCCATAAATATGGACTGCCTAATATGACTTGGCAAACATCCAAAGGAACCACCTCACATGTCACCTCATCGATATATCGGTTGGTGATAGCAAATTTGAAGGTACATTGCTTCGTGATCTGTAAGTCAACATCTTTCTAAATCCATCCTAGCGGGTACGGCTTAGGATGTGGTGTGGTTTCTAAACCCACTTTTCTTACTAAAGCCTCTGAAATCAGGTTTTTCTGACTTCCAGGGTCAATGATAGCTTGTACAACACTTTGCTTCACCTGAATATTCACATGAAACAACTCTTCACGGTTGTATGTGTCTTCAGTATCTGCTGGTCTTGTCATAAGGGTAAGTGTAACATCAGGTTGCTTCAACTCTGGAAGCTCTTCTGCCTGTTGTGTAGTTAAGGTGGCTTTTCTGTCATTTCTCCCCTGGTTGTTTTTCTCGCGCTTTGGCCGAAACTCAGGATGGAGTATCCAGCACTTGTCTTTGGCATGTTTGCTGGTATGACAGTGATCACAGTAGACCTTCTGTGTCTGACCTTCCTTGCTCTGCTTCCCCTTTTTCTGCCAGTCAGTTTTGTTGACAGGTTTTGATCTGTCATCCCTTTTGTCAGTTCTTTTATTTTTTGCCTCAATGGCAATGGCCTTTACCGTAGCTTCTTCAATAGTATCTACAGTGAACAATTTTAATTCTTTCCATATGTAGTCGGCAAGACCTCCGGTATACTTCATGAAAACGTCATAGTCGTCGATGTCAATGTCCAGATCCATAGCTTGGTTGTGGAACTCTGTTGTATATTCTTGTACAAGCTGCCCAAATCTTTGTCTGAAGTGTTGCCACTTATACCATCTTTCATCTTCATAGCCAACTGGATAAAATTGTTTTCTCAAAAGCTTATTGAAGTTCTTCCAAGTCAATTCTGAGACATCATACCGTCTCTGATAGGACTTCCATCATGTAAGGGCATGGCTTGAAAGTTTCAAACTCGCAAATTTTATTTTTTTCACATTAGAATACTTATAAACTGTGAAATAAGTTTCTAATGTGTCTATCCAGTTATCTAGCTTTTCAGGATCAACATCTCCTTTATATATAGGGATGTCAACCTTAAAATCAATCTTTAAGGTATCAATAGAATTTTTATTATCACCTGATTCAGCTTCCTTTTTCAGCTTGTATGTCGTCTTCATCTTCGCTATCCTCGACAACCTTTTTCTTGAGCTTTTGATCAGGCTCAGATGAAGTTGATGGACGTGAAGATTTTCCAATCTTCAAACTCTCCACGAGTTTAAGGATTGATGCAGACAAGTTTTCAACTTGTTGCTCAAGTTTAGTGATGCGATCGTCATCACTAGATGTATCCTGTTTGTTTTCTCCAGTCATATTGCCTCTCTTGGACCTTGGCTTTCGGTGTACGAGCAAAGGACCTAAAAGTTCTTCTCTAGACGCTTTGCGTTGGTTGCGAGTTGAGACCATAAACCACCGTCACCCACTCGGATCTGGTGCTCTGATACCACTTGATCCAAAACTTCTAGTCGATAGAACTATGAATTCCTAATATATAGGAATGAAGGAACGAGAGGAATTTTAAGACAATTAGAGAAACAAAAGGAAGAAGCTAAGGAACTGCTTTGAGTTCTGCTTTTAGAATTGCTTGTTTCATTTCAAGGAATAACTTACGTATTTTTACAAGGTTCGGTTGCTAAAATTAACTAAACTAAAATAGTAAATTATTTTAAGCCATAAAGAATGAATGGCCTAAAATCTTACTTAATTTGAAACCATTAACTTTGTATGGTTTATAACAATTCGTTATAAACCATTAGTTTTTATGGTTTTAAATAATTTAATAATATAATATAATATAATTAATTATAATTATATTATATTATGTTTATTATTGTTGGTAGATCCTCCTGGATCACCAAATAAGAATTATTCTTCCAAAATCATAGCACACAAGGAGACTATAAATACATAACTACACAAGACATTCAAGGTAATTCTAACAAGCCGAATTTCCTCTCTTTCTCTCTCGTCACCCCCTTCCCTCTCTCTCAAACATTGCTAAGTGCCACCACACATAACTCTGGACTCCATCCACTTTAGCTATTGTCGTATCTTTATCAAGATCCAATCAAACTAACTTAGGCATCGGAATACCTTTGGCCAACACCCCCTGGGTGTAGTCTATTTACTCCTATTTATTTCACAAGGATTGAGGAAGAGAGAGAAGGAAGATCAAAGGTCGAGGAATCAACCCGCGAATATTCCCCATGTGGAATTTTGCTCAAACACAACCAATGAGTTTGCAATACTAATTGAAACCCAAGTTCCTACTAGATAAAAGTTTACTTATTTACTAATTAAGTTGTATTAATTCACTAAATACTCAAATGATATTTCTTCAAGGCTAAGATTTTTAAAATTAAAAAAAAACAATAGAGGGAACTTCAAGAGATTGGCAGAGAATACACTTCATTAGTAATACATTCAAAGCCTAGGTAAGTCCCACAAAGAGGAAGAAGATGAGAGAGAGAGAGAGAGAGAGAGAGAGAGAGAGAGAGAGAATAAAATGAAAAAGAAGAAGAAGAGAGAAGAGAGAAAGATTCATCTAAATGATGAAGTCTTAGCCTCTGTTAGTTAATATAAAATAATTATAAGTATTTATTTTAATAATTAATTAAATTATATTGCGGTTTGCGGTTCCGCATATATACCACATTGTTTGGATATGCGGAACCACATCCGCATATTACGGTCGGTTTTATAAACCGTGTGTTGCGGTCGGTTTTCATGATAGATCGGTTTAGATGTGATAAAATCTTAGTTGGTATTTGCAGTTTTTAGGTCTAAAATGCCAGCCCTACACACAACTATGATGTCGCGGGGATTCGAATATGAGAACTCTAGTCTGCAAATCAAGGCCCTTTTCCATTGGGCTCAATAAACCTGTAAATCAAATTTACCTCTCATAATTATTAACTTTGTCATGAAACATTAATTTCAATTAAATTAAATTAAATTTAACAACTACTTTGTCGAGAATTATGATTTATAAGATTAAAAACAATTGTGTATATATATATATATGTATTTAAGAATTTTAAAAAAAATCTTATTTGTATAAATATTATCTATTATATACTAATTAAATATTGAACTGGCCGAGTTGCCCAAGCCCTACCCTATGTTAAAAATATAAGCCAAAATGTCAAGAAAATGACTTATTTGATAGGACCATATAGGCCTGGTCATATGCCCTAAAATAATGGGTAGGGCATGGGCTTAGTTTATTAAAGATAGGTTGGCTCAACCCAACTCGTTCAACTCTTAGGGCCGAAAAAGCCAGCTATTGGGTAGGGCTTGGGCCAATCCCTCTTAGGGCCAAATTGGCCTAACCACGATTCTACAGGCCTAGGGCTAGACCCCGTTGGTTTTATGCACTAATATTTCAAATTTTGGTCAAGAGGTTATAAATTAAAGGGGTAATTACATTTTTGGTAACTGGGGTTTATGGTCAAATTTAAATTTGGTCACTGAAATTTCAATTTTTCAATTTTGGTCATTGGGGTTAGTGTCGTCAGCAAATCAAGTGCAATTGACCCATTTTGTGAGTTAAGACCCATTCTGTTAGTTAAGACGCACGTGGTGTGTGTGTGGAGGGGCAAAATTAAACTTCACCATTTAAACAATTATTAAATTTAAAATAAAATAAAAAAGCAAAGCAAAAAAAGAACAAATAAAGAACAATTAAATGGCATGGGTTTGTTCAAAGTCTCTCTTCCATTTTTGTCTCTTCCCCTTCTATCTCTCTCTTTGGTTTGTTCAAACCCAAAACCCACACCCACCTACCCTCCCAATCCCACTCCAACGCAACCCAACCCACACCCACCTACATTCCCCACCGCTTCTCCTTAATTTTTTGGCCAGAACCACCAATTGATCGAACTTGCCCATCCTTGCCGGGATCTGTTCTCCTCCGAATTCACACACCCACTCAACACCACTGCATATCTAATTCCAAAGCATTTTCTTGATGGGTTTGTGAAAATTTTCAATTTTGCTTCCTAGGTTTTGTTGAATCAATCATCGTTTTGCTTCATGGGTTTGCAAGGTAAATGCTTAAGCGTCATGGGCTTTTGACATCAAATGGAATTTATGGGTTTGACATTGCTTGAGAAACACAGAGGAGTTTCAGAGAGAAGGGACTATGACTGTGCGAGAGAGAAAGAGAGGGGGGCTAGGGGTGAAAATGCAATAATGCCCTTGCACTCATGCAACATGTGAGCATTAATTGACGGAATTTGCCCATTGAACTTGATTTGTTGACGATACTAACCTTAGTGACCAAAATTAGAAAATTGAAATATCGGTGACCAAATTTAAATTCAACCATAACCCATTTACCAAAAATATAATTAATCCTAAATTAAATGTAGAGCCCTGACATTTATGTATTGTCCGTCCTGCAACCCACTCACCTAAAAATGAGGTCCTGTGTGCGGAGAAATTATAGAGTAATACCATATCACCACGTCAGCTGGTGATACACCTACTCAAAATATGCCATGTGTCTTTATTTTTTAACAACTCAAACTTTATTTTACAACTCGACATTAACCTAATTTTTACCCTCTAAAATTAAAAAAAAAAAAAAAAAAAAAAAAAAAAAAAAAAAAAAAAAAAAAAAAAAAAAAAAAAGCATACCCACCCCAACCACCCCTACCCCGCACCGCCGCTCTGGTCGCCACCCCCTCCCTCTCTTTTATCTCTCTCTCCCTCTGTGTTGCCGTTCTTCAACTTTCTCAACCTTTTGGTGACTACCCCAAGATCCATATATATTTTATCATTGATGAAGGTCTCACTAGTAGATGTGAAGAAGGTTGGGATGGGAAGTGGGGCTATAACAAACAGGCTACAAATCGACCAGCATGAAATTGATGTGGAAAGGGTTGATTGTGTTGGGTATTATATTGGATCTAATAAACTCCATCAGATATTAAGATTCATTGACAATGAAGATGAAGTTTCCTGGTTGCAAAAATTTATTAGGCTATAGGGATTTGGCTCTCTTACTTGTGTGACTAATGACTGTTCATGGCAGTCGGAAGAAGACGACGGAGGGGTGGTGTGGGGGTAAGGGTTGGGTTGGGTTGCTAGGATATTCTCTTTTCTCTTTTCTTTTTTTCTTAAGTTTTTTATTTTTCTAATTTATGTCAGCGGATAAAAATTAAATCCAACTGTAACAAAGAACAATTAATTTTTAAAAAAAAATTACAAATGACATATTTTGAGTGGGAGTATCACCAGCTGACGTGGTAGTACGGTACCATTCTATAATTTCTCCAAGGACCAAATTCATCTCAACCACGCAATTATATTAAGGGTAATTCTATATGAACCCCATAAATTACTCTTTACACCCCATAATTTTTTACACCCCACTAAATTTTAATAAAATTTCAAATTACTCATTAAACCCCTTTTTTTTCCCTAAATTGCCCTCATAAACCCCATTCTCTAACCACCCATCGAAAACCCCCTTCCCTTTCTGCCACACCCCATCTGAAATCAAACCCCACCCCATCTGATATCCAGCCACACCCCACCGAAAATTCTCTCCTCTTGCAGACACACTCCATCGCACACCCCATCCCATTTACACCAACCTCCATCGAAGAAGCCCTTTGCCATTGCCTGCATCGCAGAACATCGAAGAACTCATCCCTTGCCATCGCAGATCTTTGCTCACCATCGAAGAAGCCCTTTGCCATCGCCTCCAGCAAACCTGAACCATATCTGAAACAGAACCATCACACCCATCTCCATCTCTGCAAACCCAAAAGCCATTGAAGGTCAAGTTCTCACAAATCCTTATTCAAGGTTTGATTTCAAATTTGATTTATATATTTACGTTTCTAAGTGTTGATTAAGCCTACATTTGATTTCACTTTTGAAAAGCCAAAGTCTGATACTGATTTTGATTTCAATTTCAAGGTTCTGGGTAGTTCGAACCTGGTTTTACGAAATTGGATTCTAGTTTCGGTGGATTGCCACCGAAATGATTACATTGCTTCAGTGGTAGTCCACCGAATTGAACTTGTACTTTCGGTGGGTTACCACCGAAATTGTTACCTTGTTTCGGTGGTAGTCCACCGAATCTGTTTCTATTTTTCAGGGGACTCCCACCGAATTTCTTTTGGTTTTTCAGTGGTACTCCACCAAATATGTATTCTTTTTTCAGTGATTGTCCACCGAATTTATTTCCCTTTTTCAGTGATTATGTACCGAATACGTTACTGAGTGTGTACTTAATATTGTTTATTTTTAGATATGAAGAGGATTCGCAGGGGTACTACTAAAGCTTCATCATCACGACCTAATAGACAACGTCCCACGGCCTCAGCGAGGAGACAGAGAGCGGCTCCCCAAGATCACATTGAGGATACTACAGAGGTTGAAGATGTAGTTCC